TTAGACGTCCATTATGTTACAACGTCAGAGTCATAAAAGGAAGTAATTCTTGGTACAACAATAGAATACAGTGTAAGAAGCCATTGCAATTTAATGTTTTACAATGTAATCTCAGATTAAACGAACGAAGAACGTTTTCAGTTCTTCGAAGCTCGCACATTCATTTTCATCAAATAATATAAAAATGGATTGCTGTTCGTTAGTCTCGCTAAAACTCGAGAACGGCTGGACCGATTTGGTTAATTTTGGTCTGGAATTATTTGTGGAAGTCCAGAGAAGGTTTAATAGGTACACAAATATGAAAATGCTCGGAATTAAATAAAAATAACATTTTTATTTTCCCTCTGATGTGTCCCCCGTCCGACGGATTCCTTTTGTTTGTTTTAAGTTTATTTTATACAAAAGTTTAGGTTTTTTATTTATCGATTGAGGCACTACGAAGTCTTCTGGGTCAGCTAGTTTTCAAATAATATGTTGATGACAAACACTTCTAAAACGGCCATTCTTAGTGGTGACTCTTAAATATTAATATCGCGATTCATAGAGAGCACGTGCAAGTTTGAATTGTAAGGTCAGTACCCTCGGAGCTCGGTCATCATGTCCTCGCACCGCTGTCACGACCTATTTACAGTTTCAATTGTTAACGACAGAGCTAAGCTGAGACGCATAGTTTGTGCGCCGAAACGATACTCAAAAATCGATTAAGACTAAAATGTGCATCGTTGCTTCGAAAGACGGCCGTGTCGCGAGTGAAATTTATCGTGACAACCACACAACATATCAACGAAAATTATTTTACATAAAGTACATTATATTTTAAGAAGTCGTCGTGGTCTAAAGGATAATACGTCAGTTGCATTCGTGTTGAGCGATGCACTGGTGTTCGAAGCCCAGTCGAGTACCAATTTTTCTAAAGAGATACGTACTCAACAAATGTTCACGATTGACTTCCACGGTGAAGGAATAACATCGTGTAATAAAAATCAAACCCGAAAAATTATAATTTGCGTAATTACTGGTGGTAGGACCTCTTGTGAGTCCGCGCAGGTAGGTACCACCACCCTGCCTATTTCTGCCGTGAAGCAGTAATGCGTTTCGGCTTGAAGCGTGAGGCAGCCGTTGTAACTATACTTTAGACCTTATTATCTCAAGGTGGGTGGCGCATTTATGTTGTAGATGTCTATGGGCTCCAGTAACCACTTAACACCAGGTGGGCTGTGAGATCGTCCACCCAAATAAGCAAAAAATAAATAAATTGCATTATATGTTGAAAGTTGCAACTGTTTAGAGCGTGAGCTTATTGTGTGCTAGCTTCAATAAAAACTAGATTCAGAGCGAAGGATTTTTATTTCTTTATGCACAACACGTGCACGTATGACCAGAACAGAGTTTTTTTGTGTACTTCGATAAGGCTATGCGTCATGATAATCGCCTTATCGTTGCCGCCGCCTACTACTCCCCGAATCCTGATCATGCAGGAGTCAGTCACCGTCGACGCCCTAGACACGTCCTTACGGATCCATCAGATCCAATAACCTTTGCATTAGATGCCTTCAGCTCTAATACTAGGGGCAGGCTTAGGGACCCCGGTAACCGTACTCGTCGAACTCGACAAAGAGGTCGACGTGCAACCTAACCCATGCATCAGCCCGCTGATTTTCTCGCCGGATCTTCTCAGCGGGTCGCGATTCCGATCCGGTAGTAGATTCATTCGCGAAACAATTGCTCTTGAGTTGTTAGGTCTCCTTCGGAGGCGCTCGGGCAGTTGTTAGCAAATCCCACCCCTCTTGGCTGAGCCTTTGCTCGCCCACCTGTCCTGGTGAAACTGGAAAGGCCTTCGGGNAGAGGTCCTACCACCAGTAATTACGCAAATTATAATTTTGCGGGTTTCATTTTTATTACACGATGTTATTCCTTCACCGTGGAAGTCAATCGTGAACATTTGTTGAGTACGTATTTCATTAGAAAAATTGGTACCCGCCTGCGGGATTCGAACACCAGTGCATCGCTTCAACACGAATGCACCGGACGTCTTATCCGTTAGGCCACGGCTTTGAGATATCAGATCGAAATTGTAATTGTAATTTAACCATGTATCACGTAAGTGGAGTATCTGCTTGTGCGCGTGACGCCCTGTCAATTATCAGAATGGATGTATTAAAATCGTAGTATCGGGTGGTTCGTTAACTCAGTCCGTCTAATACAAAATAAGTTCCCGGGCACAGGTTCCCAAATTTACAATAAAATAACCGTAGACTTCGGGGGAAGTTCTAAATACTCTGTCCCGTTTCTATTGTTTCCCCATTACGTCCTCCTATTAATATGTGTTACATTACGAGTTAGCACGAGCGGGGCCAACAGTCCAGCTCCTTTCTGTCGTGAAGCAGCTACATATGCAGTTCAGTTTGGAGGGACAACTGTGATATTTATGTGGAGCGTGGAATGGAACGTTATTCCTGCATTCAAGTCTCGCGGGTCGTGAACTGATACGCCTCCCTCAGTTAAATATAAATAATATAAAGTTAAAAATAAAGATACATAATATAACTGAATGTAATTGTATCATTCAGTAATTTTGTTCTTTGCATAATTCTTATAAGGGTCGTAAGGTTGTCAGCTATCCGGTCGGACGAACCTATAGATAATGTTTTTGTAGTTCGCGAACTTTTCACAAACTAATAATACATACATATAATTGGAATCTACTGGACATTTAAATTGTTTAGTTTAAAATGTGAATGATAAAAAAATTGTCGACGTTAAATATAGATAAAGGTTTTTCCTATCAGTACTCCGTTAAAAGCAGTGTCGCTATCGCTCTTAAAACAATCTTTGCCCACACTTTTGGTCCATGGGGAAAAATGCTTAGTATTAAACGTTGCAGAAAAACTTTGAAATAAGACTAAATTTTCCAATGAGTTGAGGTACACCCAATTTATTATATAATATCTTCAATTCCATACAGAAAGAGTACTAAGACTACACTTTAAATATCGGAGATTTTATCCGTAATGTAAGAAGATAGCATTTTGTTAATTTTTAGTGTTTCAATGGTGCAATGAAGTACATAAAATAAATATACGATTTATAATAAATTGATTACGAATCTGATGTGTACATACATACCTACATTAGATCTATCTTCTAGTTAACCTTATTGTTCAAGCGCTGATCAAAATGTGATATCAACTTTTATAATCTAAAATAGATTATGATAAGATTTTTGTACACCGGTTTGCGTTGTGGTGAAATGTAGTGCTCACTCACGCGGCCCGCATGCACATAAACTCCCTCCAGGTCATTCAATCCAATTTCCGCAGGATAACTATAGGAGCACTGTGTTACGTGAGGAATGTCGACCTTCACAACGATTTAAATTTAGAACCGATACGTAAGTATCTTAAGGTAGCGTCAGAACGCTACTTCGACAAAGCGGCACGACACGATAATCCTCTTATCGTGGCCGCCGCTGATTACTTATTGAGGGCAGGCGAAGGGACAACGAAAAATTGCCTTAACCGCAAGATGTCTTGTCGGATCCTCTGGATCCACTTTCCGTGCTTTTACGTCCCTCAAGCACCGGTTACCGTGCTTGTAGATCTCGTCGATTACGACAAAGGGTTCGACAAGCGAACTAACCCATAGACATAGCCCAGTGAGTTTCTAGTCAGGTCTTCTCAGGAGGTCGTGATTCCGATCCGGTGGTAGATTCTGCGAAGCACTACTCTTGCTACGGCTAATGCTAGCGAGCTCTCTCAGGCTGAGCCCATGAACTCACCTACCTGGGCATAGCTGGAATAACCCCTTAGGCTACTAGCGAATAGGTAGGGGGGAAAAATAGGCCAAAAAGTCCCTTAGCCGCGTTTTACGATATCCACGCGAAGAAATGGGTCGGTCCAATAATTCTATGCCGGGAATCGCATGGTTTCTTTTATCATTTATCTACAAAATAATCCTCATTATTCTCAAAATTACTTATATAACTGAGGTATGACTGGATTAACAAGAAATAAATTTACAACGATACAAAAAGAAAGCTTTAATAAGTATTTATATCTTTTTATATCCAACGAAAGCTTCGTATATTTGTCCTGTCTGTCTGTGCTGTGTTATTTATTATTGATCTAAACGAATGGTTGATGTTTGATTTGGTTTGGTTGGTCATGATTCACCTGGTGTTAAAAGGTTATTATAGCATTTAAAAGTCACTACGAAAAGGCGTCCTACCTTCAGATCTAAGTTATACCAGAAAGCTTGAACCTTTTTGCGGCAGAAGTACGCTATATTGTGATATCTTAGTATCATAAAAAATAAATTTGCACTCCACACCCTTAGAAACAGAGGAATTACGTGTATTGAGTGAAGCGACGCAACAAACTATGAAAAAATCTGCGACTACAAAAACTGTGAAGTCTTAGTGTCGAAATTTCAAAAATAACAAACGTGGGAATGAGCCGTAAAACTATTGTTGAATTAAGTACATATTTGTACATAATAATTATGATTCATAACTTTCATTTCATTCCAGGTAAACAATATCCAGTTCCAAAATGTGTTGTACGAGTACTGTGGTTTAATGTTAGGACAGCGAATGTTCCGGGTTATTAGATTATAATCATGATGAACAAAACAGTTAATAAAATTATAACAGTCATTTATTTGTAAATCTATTTTACTCTAGTTTTTGGCATTTGTATTTATAACGAATATTCTTAATGTCAGTTATCTTGTACTTTTGGAGTCATTTATAAATTGTACAAAAAATTGTTCTGATAATTATACGATACATAAAAATCACTGGTGTTTTGTTTTCTTATCGACGCTATAATAAAATAATTAATAAATATTTTTTTTACATAATCATTTAAAAACCTTCAACTTGAGATTACACTTGGCCTCCAGTGGAAACATGTAATAGTTTGGGTACCTATTGGTGAACATACCCAGGATCAAAACAAATTCACATTTACGTTGACGGGGTTGCAAGGAGATTTCAATTTTTAAATGTCAAATCGTAAATCGGGACTTTCGTGGTGCCGCACTGCGTCGCTGATAACGGCCGCCTGTGCCAGCGTTTTGACTGCGGAGCCCGATGAGCAATGCTGCCAGGCTTGCTCGGTCCACGCCACTGCGGTGAAGCACGCGCCGTTGCTGATGAAAGCTCGCAGCGTCACAGCAACCACGCCTCGGGTCATGCACCGCCATCCGTCGGAACGGATCGATTTCACGAAACAGTCCCAAGCACCAGAGTATTTGCCAATAGCGTCGCCTTGCAAACGTGATTTTACGACGTCTATCGGATACAAGATCACCCAGGAAAGTGCCCCCGCCACCCCGCCCGCTGTGAACACTCTAGATACCGATTTATCACCTCTCGTCATAAACTCGTATGAGGTAAAATAAATCGCAAACGCTGGGCTGTCACGTGCCACCGTTATTCCAAGTCCCCGAAAAAGAGCTTTAAATCCTCCGATCTTTACTATATGTCTCGCTCCAGCCCAGGCTCCATTGGGCATACCCTCGCCGGCACTGGCAAGCTGCTGCCGAGTTTTAATAAGTTCTACAGGTGCACAAGCTAGACTTTGGAGAGCGCCCGCTGCTGCTCCCGCCATGGCATGGGTCTTTAATGAATCTGGTTCCGATAGAGCCCTTCTGGTGTTTCCGTATGCACCAAAAACAATTGCGTTAACAGCTGCTATGCCACCTAGTGGAGCCCATACACCACGATATATGTTGCTGATCGTACCGCCCCTGAGAAGAGATTTTGCACATTGTAAAGGGCTGCCTCTACCCGACTGTATGTGTACTTTCAGGGTGTCTAAGGGATGGCCGGCTACGATTCCCGCACAACCTGGAAATATTTTGGTTGTGTAGTTGTTGTATGTATTTCTATAAAAATATTTTGCTCAAAATTAAAATTGCATAACAATCAAAATTGGTTTGACATTATTATTTATATCTCACCTCCAATACATCCAGCAACGAAATCTAGTGCCATTTTATGTGCAGCTGTTTTCAATCGATGGTGCCTAAAAATAAATTATTTTCATTAATAATCAAGTACATAAATAAATAAATAAATTATAATGATTGATTACAATTGCATAGCGAACCATCATGCGTCCATCTCGTGTTACATTGCGCGAAGACACACAATATCGATATCTATAGCACAGATATGTGACTATTTACTTGAACTTTGTCAATTTGACCGGATCGCGTAGCTCTATGATTTCAATCAAAACAAAATGCACTCACCGTTTCGTAATTCAAATCAGGTAGTCGTAGTGGGAGTTGACGTTGTCTCCACTTGATGTGATGCCAATGAACATATTGGAGTCGAGAGCGTCGGCGTCCGGGGTCCGGCGACGGTCCAGCCTTCTGAGCGAATGTGTCTCGTATGAGAGCTGGATCGCCGGCCGAAACGCTCTACCGACCATCAGCTTGTGATACTTGGACAACCTTATCACTCGGGGTCACCGCCCTTATCTCCGGGGCAACATACGTCTTTAAACAAAATATATTTATCTACCTACCACCTTCATCATTAATGTTCACAGCTAATGATACAGCTAAGAAAGTACATACGACATGATTAAAAATAATAATATAATTAGTGATGAAGACAAAGTTTCGCCTTTAATCCTATATTCAGTTATATATATATTTTTTCAAGTAAACAGTCACTGAATTTTCGTATTTGTCAATAGTTCGAGAAAGATGAATATGAATATAAAGTATGAATTATCAACAGTTTCGATATCAGTGCTATGAAATTAGTTGAAGCTTTGGTCACAAGTAAACGCTACACCATAAATACATAACTTTATAATTATTATTATTGTAACTTGTTTGCATTGCCACACTCTTCTCGTGATAATTTTTTAATTATGATACTTTGGGATCGTCTCATAAGATGTGTTTTATATACACTTTATTACCAGCATTGTAATTTACAGGAATATATCACAAACATAAACGGTGACAAAAAATATAACCACAAATACAAAGACGAGGTTGGTTCTGTTATTTATTGTTTAGATGGGTAGACGAGCTCACGGGCCAGTTAGTGTTGAATGGATATCGGAGCCCACCAATGTAAATGCCGCTCCCCACTTTGAGACATACGTTCCAAGTCTTAGCCTTATAGTACTACGGCTGCATCACCCTTCAGACCGCAATGCCTTACTGCTTCACGGTAGAAATAGGCAGGATGGTGGTACAGTCACGTGCGGCATTTATAGATGCCTTAGCACCAATAATAACGCAAAATATAGTGATTGCTGGTTTGATTTTTTATTACAAGACGTTATTCTTACATCGTGGAAGTCATTCGTAAACATGCATTGAGTACGTGTTTTATAGACGAATAGGTCGATTAAATATTTTTCAATTTGGCCCCTCGAAGCCACGGACGGGCTTACTGCGAAAAGGGACCCCTTTACTATGATAGCTAAGTACCAAGTGTTCTGGTTTACTAGCCGATAGACAGATTTGGCAACCTTACTAAACTAAAGTCAAGTAGATCACTTTAATCACACTAAAAATTTAATAGGTTGAATATTTTTTTTAGTTTTTCTAAATAATGCACTTATTATTATTCTTAATCAGATAACCTACTTTTAACTTTTTTTAATTAATTTAAAAAAAACCGCATTTCCTTTACCTGTTCAATACTTTAAACTGAAAATTATAGCTTACATGTTTCACACCACGATAAATCGGAACAATAGCTTGCTAAAAGTTTTCAATATATCAAGGTTTTAAAATTTTAAATTTAATTAATTTTTTTTAAAACATCGTGGCCTAGGGCATAGGACGATACATTGGAGCGGTTCCACAATGACAGTGCTCGCATCCTGTAGGCTAGTACCAGTTTTCCTGATGAAATATGTACGTACTTAAAAAAGAATACGTGTGACTTACACGGTGAAGGAATAAATTACATCGTGAAATTAGAAAAAAAATTATGATTTTCGTAATTACTTGTGACAGAGCATTTTGCGGGTACCTCAGCGTTTCGTTCGAGGCGGCGTGCGTGCTCGCTGGGACGCCTCCGTGGGACCTAGAAGCGGATGCGCTCGCTGCGGATTATGCGTGGCGATACGATCTCCGTTAGGCGCGGAGACCTCCTAGAGGGTTGTTCGGCCCCCGGCCCGCAAAAAATAGGGCATCTTGAGAGCCCACACGGATAGATACCACCACCCTGCTTATTTCTGTCGTGAAGCAGTAATGCGTTTCGATTTGTAGGGTGGGGCCGCTAATGTAGTGTAAAAAACTTAGACTTAGAACCATGTGTCATTATAGGCGGCGGCATTAACATGGTTGATGAGCATCAGCTGCCGTTACCATTCAATACCAGGTGAGCCGTGAGGCCATCTTAGTAATAAAAAAAAAGTAGTAAATGTATGTCTGTGCCTTGACCTAAAGCTTTTTCAGACGGAATAAGCTTATCATCTGGCTTTTTGGCGGGAAACGAGGAACAAAGTTGTGTGAATTGTTTTTGTTAATTTAGTGTTTCTTTAGGTTTAAACGTCATCAATTCACTCTAATTGGTTTCTTGGGTCCCTCCAAATAGTCTACTAAAGTCTTAGTAAATAACCACCACTATATGTACTGAGCCTTTATTTCATTTAATCTCATTTCGTTTCATTTAATTTCATCCTAGATGATTACAGTCTCAAATAAAACAACTTCATCTCATTTCGCTCCATTTCATTTTTTCATAATGATATTTGAAATATCTTAATATAATACATAGGTATTGTATAATTCAAGATTTTTAAAGGATTTGACAATGGTACAAATACACACAGCTATTGAAGCAAATTGCCGTTTAAAAAAAAGAAGACATAAGAAGCTTATCATCTATGGCCTAACATATGTATTGGGTGTATGGGGACTTTTTGGCGGGAGCGCGAGGAGTGAAGTTGTGTGATTTGTTTTATTTTGTCTATTTAGTGTTTTTTCGGGTTTAAATGTGTAATAACGGTGGTTTATTATCTGTTTAATTTCTGTGAAAGTGCACAAATTTGGGAAAATGAAACAAAGCCGCTGGACGTAACTTCTCGGGATCCTCCAAAAAGTCCACTGAAAAAGTCTTAGTAAATGACCACCATTTTACTGAGATTATATTTCATCCCATATCATCTCATTTAATTTCATCCCAGTTGATTAATGTCTCAAATTAATCATCTTCATTTCATTTCACTCCAATAATATCATTTTTCATAAAAATATGAATATAAATTAAAATAAGACATGACTTAAAAGTCTCAGTTTCCAGGTCATAAAATCCCTTAAAAAAAAATGGGTGTATGGCTTAGTTCTATTGCCTTTCTCTTTGAGAAAAACCCTACATATGTACTACTGTCATAACTGTCTACTGTCTACTACATCATAGCCAGCCAGGTTACAACATTCAACAACAATTGAGTTATTGTTATTTATATACCTATTAAAAAATCAGCTTCTAATATGTATGCAATGGGTTTTTTCCCACATTTATAATTTAAAACTATTAGTTTGTCTTCATACAATTAATTTTACAATATGGACGTTAAAAGTGTTTCTCCTGAGACTTATTTGCAAACAGTGGATATGATGAAACCGAATATCCAATATCATAAAATCGACATACCAATTCATCTATTTGACTATTTGAATAGTGACAACTGCAATTTGGATAAAATATGCCTGTCCTGTCTGTCTATTAATAGCCAATTGATGTACCCGTTATCATTGGACAAGGATGAGAATTTATTATCAAATGCTTACACTGCTGTTACTGCTATTAAGGTTAGCAGTTAATATAACTTATGTGATATAATACAGTTAATAATATAATTTAAATAATTTTTATTTTCGAATTAAAATACTAAAGAACTAAAATAATTTAGAATTTTAAATTCAAACCTAATTAAGACTTCTCTGATATTACTGTAAAGACTAGTATTAAACAATATGGGAAAAACCAAAATTGCTTGAGGCTCTAAGCATAGCTCGCTTATTATTACTATTCTATTATTTTATTATTACAGCCACATTATGAGTTACCTTCGAAAGTATGCGCTGCATGCCAAACATCAATACTACAATTTTATGATTTTAAAATTCAATGTGAAAAGTCACATTACATATTGAAGACTACTCTGCTTGGAGAATTTGCTTTAGTACATGATAAAAAAGAAAAATTGTACAAAGGGAAGAATGAGTAAGTATTTGATTAATGTAACTTTATATTGCATATTTATGCTGTGAAACATTCATATATTTAGTTTTGTATGAGCCATGAACTAATCAAGTGAGCCCTGGCAATAAAAAATCAAAATACACCAATTATATAATTATTTACTATACATAATAAAATGCTCATATAAATAAATAAAAAAGTTTATATGAATATCCCGTATATGTCCCTAAACCATTTATTTAATCATAATATATGAAATTTGAACATTCCAGAGGTTTCTACCATAGTACCATTAGCATAGAATAGATGATGCACAAGTAGTTTCAAGAAACAAAGTGTTTTCAAACAATTAGATATGATAGCAGAAAGTGACAGGGATTTACTATGATTAATTGTTTTTTTGTAATATTCTCAAAAATTATTTTACAGAAATTCACAAATTGATATTTCTCATAAATCTAATCAAGAAAAAATAGAATTGGAAATTAAAGTGGAATCCCCTAAAGATGAAGAAGGTATGAACTGAAGGTGTACTCAGTGTATCCTGTAGACTTTTTTATTGTAGATAGGTGATGAGCCTACAGCCCACCAGGTGATCACCAGACAGACATTGTGAATGACACCACCAACCTTGAGACTCGAGATCTTGGACTTAATTATATAGCTGTCCCACTCTTCAAAGAGCCTTACTGCTTTACTAAGAAACAGGCAAGGTGGTTAAACCTACTTATCTGATCTCATATAATGCTCTCCTATAGTGATTTGTAATGACTTTTCATAAATGACATGATAGTTTTCTGGCTTCCCTAATCACGAAGTATAATTTATGTATGTAAAATTGTGACAGCAAAAACATTCATCAGTGTGATAGTTTTTTGTCGGAACAAGCAAACAGAGTAAAAATCAGTTTTACATAGTTAGGAATTGGAGTCATGTTTAATGTTACCTGTATATCATTATTTACCATATTCTATGTAAAAACACACTTCAGTAATAAATTTAATATTATCACTACATAGTATAATGTCACTTTCTCTGTCCCTATATCTGTCTGTCCCTATGTATGCTTAAATCTTTAAAACTACGCAACGGATTTTGATGCAGTTTTTTTTTTAATAGAGAGAGTGATTGAAGAGGAAGGTTTATATGTATAATAACATCCATTAAATAGTGGAGAAATCAATAATAAATTACAGTTTCCGAAGGGAAGCGAGGGCAGGTTGCTAGTTAGAATATAAAATAAATAGATTATTTAATCATTGACATTGTGACAACACCCCAAGCACCTTGGTCAAGTGGACGGTGCCCCAACTTATATTCCTTGTGAGAGTCAGAACTTTTCTGAATTATATTAAGTATTTGTAGTATGGATTAGGAATAGATTTAGTACTTGTTGTTTTATTGTAACTTTCTGTTGTGTGATTAACTTTTTGTCAAGTAACTGAAATATTATGGGGTGAAAGGCTATTTGGTTTAAGCGACAATTTGCTTAGTACATGACATTTATCTGTGGTAATTAACCCTTTTACTGCCATGTAGGTCACCGGTACCCTACGCGGCGCACTGAATTATGTCGACTTACGATACTGAGACGCCGGAATATCAAGTAGGCTCGGAGAAAGACGAATCCGAAGTTACTGAGAATGAAACTATTTCTAAAACATACATTAAAAACAAACGAAAGCAAAGTTAGACAATGCAGGCGCTTAGTAACAGAAATCGAAATAATTACATCAGTGTGCCGCGTAGGTCACCGGTGACCGGCATGGCAGTCAAGGAGTTAAAGGTGCATTTTATTGGTACTAGCTGACCCGGCAGACCTCGTAGTGCCTCAATCGATAAATAAAAGACCTAAACTTATGTATAAAATAAACTTAAAACAAACAAAGGTTAAAAGGTAGATAAATATCAAAATTCCTTTTGATATTTATCTACCTTTTAAACCTTCTCTGGACTTCTACAAATAATTCAAGACCAAAATTAGCCAAATCGGACCAGCCGTTCTCGAGTTTTAGCGAGACTAACGAACAGCAATTCATTTTTATATATATATAGATATAGAATATAGATTAGCATCAACAGTTAGATGTTTTTGAATTGAACTTCAATTAAGTTTAATTCATTGAAATAGCTGAAGAAGTTTTTTTTGTTATGATATTTTTTCCAAATTTTAAACTTTCTCCCCTTTCTGCTCTCCTGTAAAGTTCCAAAAATTTCGCTAAAACCAAATACCCTTGACTCCTCGATAGGTACAAAACTCTTCCATGAGTAAATACAATTAAATATTGCTCCCTATTTTTAATATTGTTTCATTATATGTATAAACTCTATGTTAAATGGTAAACTATGTCATATTTTAGATGCAGTTGAATACATTGAAGATATCAGCGATGATGAGAAACTTTCTGTCATTGTAAATACAATTAAAAAGAGGTAAGTTAAAATTATATTATTGAAAAGGTTATTGTATCGGGAAATGAAAAAAAAAAGAGATTAGGAAGATTGGTTTGATAACATTAGGTAACAAAGATTAGGTTTTTTTTATTGCCTTTGTAGGCAGACGAGCGTACGGCCTACCTGAAGGTAAGTGGTTACCGTCGCCCATGGACTTCAGTAATGCCAGGAGCAGAGCCAAGCCGCTGCCTACTAGCCTTAAATAAAGACACAACATTAAATTCATAATATCAATAATCGAATTACTTTTAAGTTAAATTTAATTTAAACATTAATTTTAAGTACAAATAGTTTTAATTGTGATTCTTCACCAATTATGATGATTCGTGAAATCTTAATTAAAAAAATACCAAAATCATTACAGAATTACAGAATGTATTTCATATTACAGGGATACATCGGAATCAGTCAAAAGTACGTATTGTTGCAATATATTTCGCATAAAAGGCAAACAATCCTTTGAGTTTTATGTAGTCGTCGTGGCCTAAAGGATAAGACGTCCAGTGCATTCGTATCTAGCGATGCACCGGTGTTCGAATCCCACAGGCTGGTACCAATTTTTCTATAATAATAAAATATTATACGTACTTAGCAAATGTTCACAATTGACTTCCACGGTGAAAGAATAACATCATGTACTAAAAATCAAACCCGCAAAATTATAATTTACGTAATTACTGGTGGTAGTACCACCTCTTATGAGTCCGCACGGGTAGGTACCACCGCCCTGCCTATTTCTGCCGTGAAGCAATCATGCGCTTCGGCTTGAAGGGTGGGGCAGCCGTTGTAACTATACTGAGACCTTAGAGCTCATATCTCATGGTGGGTGGCGGCATTTACGTTGTAGATGTCTATGGGCTCCGGTAACTTAACACCAGGTGGGCTATATGTATGCAATAAAAAAAATTACCACAACTGTAAACAAACTAGAAAGTACCTGTTGGATGCTTGGGTTTCTTGAATAAAACTTCCAAATCGATCTTGAGCTTGTATTTTCTTTATACAGGTTTTTTTCTTAATTTTTATGTTGCGAACAAGTTATCTTGGCACGGCGATTAATTGAAGTGTAAATGGTGTAGGTAATCATTAATAAAAATTTTAACATTGCTCCTTAAAATTTCGTAGGAATTAACACTACCAAATTATTTTGAATTATGTTTATGATGAGACTGGTGATGATAGGACGACCCGTCTGATTGTAGGGGCTGCTGCTATGCAATGCAAAAATGTTGTGGACACAGCCAGCCAGGAGAAATAAAGGAATGGCAGAACACTCATTAGTACTGTGAAATATTTACTTTAATATATTGTTTAACTTTTTGTCTTACAGATATAAATGAACCAATCCTAGTGAAAAAAAATAAAACCAGAAAGAAACGGAAATCACATTATAAATGTCAGATTTGTTCAAAGGTATTGTAGCATTTATGATTTTTTTTCAAATTATATGATTACTAGTTTTATTTATTATTTAAACTCGCCTTTATTATTTTCTTTTCGGATACATTAAAGTTTGCTTGGTAACGGACGACAAAGGTGCTATTTATCGATGTATGTATATGCTATCTACTGTATAATAATATACTTTCAGAGCTTTTTGACATTGAGCAAACTTCGAAGCCATGCTAAGAAGCATGAGGAAATAACTGAGCTACCTTATTCATGTAAACACTGCCAAGATTCATTCACCTCTGAGCACGATCTAAATCTACATTTATCTTTGCACACTGAAGGATCTAATTGGAAGTGCAATAAATGTCAAAAGGAATTCAACTGTAAGTAAAATTCAATCTAAATAGTATTCTAATTATTTGTATCTTTAAATACAGGTAAAATAGAAAAAATTAAAATCCCTTATACCGTAGAGTTATTATACATACCAGGTCCAAGAACTTGCGTTAGGCCCAGGAAACGCTGGTTGGATGTGGTAAAGGTGGATATGGAGGAGAATAACCTCATTCAGAAGGACGCCGAAGACTGGACAAAGTGGAAGACTTTAAGTAGGAGAGCAAACCCTGGTACTAGACCGGGAGAACGTTAGGCCCAAGATACGGTAGAGATCTGGTTTTGCAATCTTCTGTCTCGATATTGATGGAAGTATTTATGTCACGCCTTTATGCCCCAGTGACGGCCAATATCATTATAATAGCCCCAGCATTGACAATTTTTTTTTTTTTCTTAGATTGTAGAACGAGCTCAAAGCCCACCTGGTGTTAAGTGGTTACTGGAGCCCATAGACATCTACAACGTAAATGTCCTACCCACCTTGAGAAATAAGTTTTAAGATCTCAGTATAGTTGCAATTAATTATCGAGCTCCACTATAAAAAAAAATACATGTGCGCAATTCACACGTGGTAGAAGTGAAACCTTCAAAATTTAAAATACAATTATCCTAAATGTCTAAGTATATGTAAAATTTTGTCATTAGTAAATAATTGTAAATCATCTTTTATAGTATGACATAGCGCCCTCTGTGAATTTATATTTTAACTTCACGTATAATACTAAATTAAAATTCATTACAAGAGGTTTCATACACACGCTAGTATTAAAAAAATCTCGTAGATGGCGCTGTATTAACTAAACTGAGAACGTCTAATGTGTTCCATCTCATTCTCTCGCCGGCTGAATTCTATATGTTTATGTGTTTGTGTCTTTATGGACTTTTTTTTTTATCGAGTTTGAAATCACAACGATTCTAAGGAAGTTTCACTTCAAAAGCTATGGTGTCACGTTGCTTTCAGCGAAGCCTCTGCTCCGGCGGCACATAGACCGGCACATGGATTCGAAGCGCTACTCGTGCGAGACGTGCGGGAAGCCGTTCGCGGAGCTGTACGCGCTGCGCCGACACTCGCGCGTGCACACCGGCGAGGCCGTCGAGAAGAAGTACAAGTGCCATCTCTGTGACAAACGGTACATACGCACTGCCCTTAGCGATACTATACTTGGGCCATTACATCTTCAGTTGGTGTCGATGCGCCACATCGATAAAGCGGCACGACACGAGAACCCTCTCATCGTGGCCGCCGGTAACTACATTCCCGATCCTGCGGACAGAAAGGAAAGCAGTCGACGTCGCCCCAAACACGTCATTTCGGATCCTCCCGATCCACTAACTGTGGTACATCAAGCAATGGTCTTCGTTCTCGTCGAACCCGACGAAGGGCTCGACAAGAAAATTAAGCCCCAGACACAGCCCACTGAGTTTCTCGCCGGATCTTCTCAGTGGGTCGCGTTACCTATCCGGTGGTAGATTCTGCGAAGCACTACACTTGCTAGGGTAGTGTTAGCAACACCTTCGGTTTGAGCACTGAGAGCTCATCTACACGTCAGAAAAAAGAAAAAAACGCGCTAAATAAGTCATAAAACATTACGTCATAGAAATGTTTTTTTGTTTTCCTACCTGAGCTTATAGCCTTGAGAGGCTATATAGGCGTTACCTTAGCGTGTAGGTGAGCTCTCGAGGCTCAAACCGAAGGTGTTGCTAACACTGACCTTAAACGCGACCCACTGAGAAGATCCGGCGAGAAACTGAGTGGGCTGTGTCTGTTGCGATAAAGACTAATATACCACAACGGTCCAATAGTAGAGTGGTGTGTTATAAGCCAGTGACGTCACCGAGTTTGTCCGTTGCAGTTACTCTGACAGCAGCGCGCTGGCGGCGCACGTGCAGCGGCACTCGGGGCTGCGTCCGTGCGCGTGCGACACGTGCGGCAAGGGGTTCCCGTCGGCGCGGCTGCTGGCCTCGCACCGCCGCGTGCACTCCGACCACAAGCCGCACGCCTGCCGCTACTGCCACAAACGGTACACCGAACAATCGTATGAGGCCGTCAGCGTAAAAGTGGCCTAACCCACAATTGTTCATATTCGTCGTGCTTATATAAAATAAAAATTAAAATGCCCTTTATTCCATGCAATTTTTTTGTCATATGCATGGACCCCTCTCAGGTAAAGGCCTCGTCCAAAGATTTCCATTTAGTTTTGTCTCTGGCGACATAAATCCAGTGTGGTCCAGCAACTTTTCTAATGTCGTCCTCCCAACGCGTGTACGGTCTACGGACGCGCCGCTTGCCCTGTGGACCGTCCCGTGCATATATTGCAATTTATTTAAAACAATAAAAAATGCAAATACGATTTATCCCTAGTTTCACACGTAGATAACAGATGGCTTTGTAAACACTATTTTTGGCTACGAAGTATGTAAATATAAATTCATATCTCATTATCTGCATACCTACTAACTATAGTAAGCTTAGGTCACTTTTACACTGACGGCCTCATATATTCGTGTATTGATTGTCCGGTTCTAACCGGTTAACGGAGCTCATAAAGAATACCACAGCTCCGCAGCCCACATTCGACTACCCACAACACTGTTAGAAGGATGATGTTGTATATACTATATCTATTCATCGTCCGGTTTTAAGTGGTTATTAGAGCTCAAGATCAAATAAGGTATTAAGATATTTGACAGGTACTTGAATCGCGCTAACGATATTTTCAAGATGCGTATATACAAGTACCGGACAACATTTGGAGTGCCGGTCTACCCGGCGATTTCATTTCAGTAGGAAAGTCTCTTGGGGTCATCTAGGAAATCCCTTTAGTGGTCCTCCTCCAATATGTTATTTTTTTTTGTAAATTTGTTAGATTCCGCCACGAGTCTTCGCGGAACACGCACCACCGCACCCACACCGGCGAGAAGCCGTTCGTTTGCTCTCAGTGCCCGAAGACCTTCATACAGAGCTCCAACCTCAGGCAGCACATGAGGACGCATACTGGTAAACAACCAAATATAAAAATAAGGAAAAGTGTGTGTGTGTGTGTGTGTGTGTTGTGTGTGTGCGTGTGTGCGTGTGTGTGTGTGTGTGCAAGTCACACACGGTAGAAGTGAAACTTATAAATAAGATAGATATAGATATACTGACTATCCCACTACACAGGAGCATACATATGGACAATGTTTAGTAGACGATAGTGGGGATGCTACGAAGAGTCGCACAAAGAGGAGACCGAGAACGTCTAATGTGTTCTATCTCATTCTCTCGCCGGCTGAATCCTATACATTTATGTGTTTGTGTCTCTATGGACTTATTTTTTCGTTTCATCGAGTTTGAAATCACGATTCTAAAGAAATTTCACTTCAATAAGGAAAAAAATGCTACAATAAATTTTTAATAATACACACATAACTGCCTAACGGTAGGCAGCAGCTTGGCTCTACCCCTGGCATTGCTAACGTCCATGGGCGACGGTAACCACTCACCATCATGTGGGCCGTATGCTCATCTGCCTACAAGGGCAATAAAAAAACACGTATTGTTCTTGCAAATTTTTGTCTTGCTGTATTCCGTGATCTGGACAGAAATAACCAATGATTCATGACGTAGAGCTACATAATAATTTAATTTAGTCTAAAAAGTTTTTTTTTTATTATTATAATATTATCCATCCAATTAATCAGAAGAAACACCTTTGGTTACTACAGTACTGGAATTTCATACATTAACCTTAAGACATTTACGTCGTAGTCTCAAAAAGATATGGTAAAAATACATGAAACGATGGTATCTACCCGTGCGGGCTAGAGAATAGCGACTACAAAACCTTTACCAGTTTCAGCGGAATTCAGCTTTATAACACAATATCGTTTATGAGCTCCGATAAACATTTAAGATCAGGTGGTACTCCTGGTCGAACTCGTCGATAGAATTCGACGAGACTCTCGCTCTGTCTCTTTCTATTCCATAGTAGCGTTAAACGTTTAACGCAACCTTATTGGAAGTCGCATTAGAAGTTTCACTTCAAAAATAGAAATGTTTCAGGAGAAAAACCACACACGTGCAAAGTCTGCGGTAATTCATTCTCGTCGAGCTCCACGCTGAAGGCGCACGAGCGCGTCCACACGGGGGAGCGACCCTACCAGTGCAACGTCTGCGGGAAGCGGTAATACCTTATAGAGTTTTGAAACTCGATCACTACACCAAACCAAACACTGGCCATTAATTGAAGGAACTTTAAAAAAAAATTTTTTTTTTTGGGTGATTTTCAAAAAACTGAGAGAAAAATTATCGTACAGCAAAAAAACGGGTAATTGTAGGACCAAGTCTCTAATTTTCAGATCTTATCATTTTCGGTTCCGGAGCAATCCTAAGAACATAACCCAAAAAGACCGCAAGGGTTTTCGTAAAAAAATCATAATTGTCTCAATAGAAAGTTTTTAAAGATATTTGAAGACCCCTTCAATTTGAATTAATTAAAAAGCCTCTAACGGTAGTATAAGCAAAAAAGTTTTTATAACTTTGTTAATCAATAATTCTGTTAATAATGATCAAACAGGAAATCGAAGGAGCATTTTGAAAACATAGACATTCTCCAAAAGAAATCATGCATGGCGCTTGATGAAAAGGATATTGGAATTGTTTGGTATAACTTTGGATAGAATGGATATTATTATTTTATCCCTCATATCTATATTGTATATGACTCTTAATTTGAACCTAATAAAAAAATAATTAAAACACATTATCGTAATGCTTCCAAGCTATTCGAATTGCGACAGGATTTTCATTAGCAAGAAGATCTTTCATTAAACTAACTATAATCTTCAATATAATTAAGGAAAGTTTATAAAAATTATAATATTAACTCGCCTAAAAGCTGGACGGTATTTTCTTTATTGCTTAGATGAGTGGACGGGCTCACGGCCCGCCTGGTGTTAAGCGGTTACCGGAGCCCATAGACATCCACAACGTAAATGCCGCCACCGACCATGAGACATGAGTTGTAAGGTCTCATTTTTAACACTTCAAACCGAAACACATTACTGCTTCACGGCAGAAATAAGCAGGGTGGTGGTACCTACCGTGCGGACTCAAGACATCCTACCATCAGTATTATGTAACGTGTACAGATTCAGTCGTATGAACCTGCGCGCTCACATGGCGACACACACGGGCGAGCGGCCCCACGAGTGCAGCGTCTGCCACAAGCGGTTCCTGTACCTCACGCGACTGCGCGACCACGCACGGGTACATACAGGTGACGAACACATAAAAAAAAAACATTGTCTCCTCTTTATTCATGATCGAGTGACATCTACATAGTTTTTTTTCTCAGCCCACCTGGTGTTAAGTGATTACTGGAGCTCATAAACATCTGCAACGTAAATGCGCCTCCCACCTTGAGATATAATTCTTCAAACCGAAACGCATTACTGCTTCACGGCAGAAATAGGCAGGGTGGTGGTGCCTACCCGTGCGGACTCACAAGAGGTCCTACCACCAGTAGTTTATCTAATAATATAATTGTTGGGACTTCCTTTATTTCTTCCTCAAACTCTCAAACCACTATCCACGCCATCTATTGACGCTCCAAGTAAAACTATTTGTGTGAAAGCGTGCAGTAAAAACTAAAACACGGTACCGGTCCAACGAAAACATGTGAATATTGTTAATCAATCTGCATGTAACACAAAATTCAAAAGTGCATCAAGGAGCATTGGAGTGAGTCAATCAGTTGATCCTATTCTGAGTCCCAAAAACATTAAACATTAACAGTATACTGAAATATATTCCTATCTGTTTTCATGTCCTTGGGTATGTAAAGTGTTCAATCAGTCAGCCTGTATTGGCAGGACAGTGCGATATCATCATACACCCTACTATTAGCAAGTTGCTGATATCCCAATATCAGCAGTTGAATATTCTGTTTCATTTCAACGGTAGCGGATTGAGGCGTTCGATCAATAATTATACCATTTGATTCACTAAAGATCGAATGTATTTCAGGTGAAAGACCCTTCGTATGTGAGAATTGCCAACAAGCGTTCCCAACGAAATCGCACCTGGTGCGGCATGTTAAATCTCATCATAACGACAAAGCGAAACAACAAATTATTAAAAACAGAAAAACGAAAATACTGAACAGATTAATTAATGAAACCATATGTGATAATAATAAAGGCGTTGAACATATTGAGGAGATTGAAAAAGCAAACGACACCGAATGTAGAACAATAATGTTTGACACCGAAGAGGGACCCCTGGAGGTCAGCGGCGAATTAGTTCTTGAAGACGATAGCAACATTAAAACAGAAGTTTTAGTTTTTGACAACAGTCAAAATTTCCAAAGTGCGAACATACTGAACGCTAGCGAAATAATCGTCAATGACTATGCCAATAATTTAGTGGCGGTGAGCGACGGTGATACTATATCCGCGACGAGCGCAATTCTAGAGGGAACCACAGTAAAGCTCTACCAGTTAGACCAAAGTTTATTACAAATTCACAATGCAGGTGGCCGGGTTACTATTAGCAAAATAACTAGTAAGATGACTGCTAATTTTTAATGTTATTCATAATTTTAAATATATAAAAAAAGATTTCCATTCTAAAATTCATGTTGTTTTACTTCTCCAAGACGTAATAATTCAACAGGAAAGAATAAATCACATTTTTATTATAACTTAACAGAATACTGTAAATTAAAACTATAATCTATAAACTAGCACATTTAAATGCTTTAAAACCATGTTGATTTCTTTGCAGCTTCATATTTCTTAATGTTCACTAACATTGATTCATAAATTTCTTTGGCATTCCTATTCTGTCCATAATAATCGACAAATTCACCATCTGGATTAACTAAATAAACTATAATGGTGTGGTCAACCTGGAACAAAAAATGTGTCTTTTAACTTAACTTTAGCTGTTTTTTCTTTTTTTTTTTGGACATGATAAAGAAAATGCATTTTTTTGGAACGAAGTTCCTTATGAGACGATGCGGAGGGGTACCCTAACCAGGAAAAAACATCCGTAACGTAAGATTTTTATTATTTATGTAGTCTTAGTATGATGGCTATACATATATAGTCTATGTGATGACGGTTATTATTATTATTATTATTATTCATATGAATAGCTGTTTCTTTGTATATTATTATTATATATTTTTTATGAATAAAATAAAGTTGATAACTTTGTAAAATAGTTTTTTTTATCAATAAAAAAACCATGATAAAAAATGTATACCCGAATAATTATTTTCTTTAGACCTTGAATAGAACTTAAAATTAATATTTTTATAATAAGGAACTTCGTTCCTATCCGGTGTCCCACGACACCCCACATCTTTTTTTTCACCAGAATATTGAATTTAGGGTAAATTTCAATTCACAATGGACTAATAGTCTGAATACACAAAATATTTTTTTGTTTCTGTTTCAAAAAAATTTAATAAAAAATTAGATCCAATTTTCAACATTTATCAGCAACTTCTTCAAATTTTCTTACAAATTAGTTACAACAGATTGTTCATTTTTTATTTTAGTAATCATCACAGCAAAATATGCACTACCTAATGCATGATTTCATCTAATTAAATTATAGTAAGGTCTACTATCAGACAATGATGTATAAATAATGAAACAAACTTACAATATAATCATTGTCAACATCTTGTGGCCCGGCACTGAAGTACACTCTATAAGACTTGCAAGCTTGCTGGACTTGTTCCTTTGTTCCAGTTAAACCTAGCAGTCTTGGTGTAAACTCCTTACAGTACCTAAAATGATTTTTAACAAAAAAATATTTCATTCAGATTAAATGTGAATTCTTAATTATAGGATAGAACTAACCTAAGATAATTAAAACTAACTTAGATATTTCATAACCATTTTTTTAGATGGGTCCAAAAGCCCTCTGATGGCCCTCTGATTACTAGAGGTCGGAGTAGCTAAACTGATTTAAGGTCATTGACGTCAAACGTAAAGGATAATATGGATATGCCTCCAAAATACTGGAACTTCATATTTATTGTGATATTTGTTCTGGAATTTGGAAATTAGCATGAATCTGTGGTTAAAGTGAAAAACGTATAAATAATATTAATCTACGCTACCAGTGCTAGCTAATGGTGAAAGAAATCAGTATTTTATTTTATACAAAAACACCGTGGAATAGTGACACCGTATTTTGTCCTTTTCTGTTGAATTAGAAATGACGCTTATCAGAATGAGACAAAACTTTTGTTTTTTGTTACTTTATCTCATAAAAATATTTTTCTGTTTATTATCATTTTATTATCATTGTATCTGATGAAGTTAATTTTTTTTTTTTTTCAATTTAAAAAAATTCTCATTATGGATGAAATGGCATGTCCATATTATAATATCTTGACGCAAGTATATAAAATCAATCTACCTACTCCGACCACTGGTGATTATCATTGTTCAATTCTAATGTCTTACTTCTTATTGATTAGAATAATAACCACATTCAATATTAAGAAAAGTAAAAGTATACTTCTTGCAGATTTATTGAGAATTCATAAAATTTAAATTAAATATATCTTGAGAGAAAAAGGTTAAAGGTTTAACTTACTTGCCAACTAATTCTGGTGTGTCCCTCTGAGGGTCTACTGATATGAAGACTGGTTGCAAAGGTGGTGATGATGGAGTTTTGTCTGCAATAATCATTTCAACTTTGAAATTTAAAATTAATGAGGAATTGGGTGGGGAATTCAGTCTTAAATTGATGAGATGTGACAATTACAAATTTAAGCAAGTAAAATTGTTCAATATATTTAGTTGTTTGCTGTTTTTTTACAACAGGTACATGAAATCAGATTCACATATTTTCAACTTCACAACAACACTTCTAATTGAATTTGATTCGATAATAGGTATATATCTGTGAACATGTTACGAATAAGGTTTCCTAAATAAAAATAGATTTAGACAGTATAAATGGTAATATAGTACAGTACAGAGAGTGAGATCCTAATAAAATTGTATGTGAATTTACTGTATAAAAATGATTTTTTGGGAAAAAAAAAACAATCTATTACTTCTAATAATGTCATTATAATGTCACAAGACAGTTGTATGTTGCTGTGCTTTATACTTATACACCCTAATCCATCCCATCAACACATTAATTGATCTCTATACAGGCAAGTACCTTTTTAAAGAAGATAAGGTAATTCATTTATTATACATATAAGGTGTATATTTTAAATCAATAAGTTGATTAATTTTATTTTACTTTTAACTTACCATGTAAATCCACAACTTCGGCTAACTTTTCCAACTCATCTGGACAAATATCTGGGCAGTGAGTGAAGCCAAAATAGATTAACATCCATTTTCCTAAGAAGTCAGCGCTTTTAACTAATTTGCCCTGAAAACATATTTTTTGTCATTTTTTGTTCGCCAGTAATTTAGTTAAGGAATATCGACAAAATTACCTCCGAATTTACTAGCTCAAAACTGCCACCTATTTTTGCTTTTCCAAGTTGTTTTTTTCTTTCTCGGTCAAGCGCCTCCTGTTTTTCTTTTTTGACATACATCATAAAAGCCGTCAAGCCTCCTCCAACTACAACGGTTGCTGCCATTGACTTCCATGTTATCGGCATAAGCGTTTTAGGAGTTCTTTTAGGAGGAACAGCACATTGTCGCACGGAAGTTGTACTTAATGCACGAAATACAAAACTAACTCGATTCCGTAGCATGGAATTCATTTTATTATTATAACAGTTTCAGGTTACCTTGGATAGTAAGAGCTTAATGAGTTTTATCAGACCCGGTTTATCACCGATAATTTCATAATTTTCATAAAAATCCTCGCATGTATTCAATAGTTACAGCCAGTAGGTGATTGACGGTCAAATATTGACACTGTCACTGTTCTTCTGACATTTGACAATACTGTAGTTTACCTTTCTTATTAGACGGGCAAAAGAAACCCAGCAAATCTTTGAAATTCAAACCGATATTTATTGAAATTTAATACAAAATATGAAGATTAAAATTCATAAATTTACGTGTGCCAATTCATACATGTTATATATTTGTGCTGTAGCAAAATATAAAGATAATCTTGTAAACTGATATGAGCTGCGTTGAAACAGAATACGTGCCGATAAACTTAGACTTTGATTTAGGAATCATACTTTTAAAGTATTTAAGACATTTTTCCATTATTTACAACTATTAATGTATTAGAATTTTCGAGGAACACAACTCTATAAAAGTTTTTATTTCTGTTCTTTTATATGAAACATGGAGGGTAGAGGTAAGGAGCACGATGGGAACAAGTTGAAAAAGTGTCCACCTGTAAACAGAAAGTTATTGTTTGAAGACTCTTTTTTTCCTACCCATGCCTTGCCTTGCCTTGAGAGGCTATATCAGCTTTATCCTAGCGTGAAGGTGAGCTCTTGGGGCTCAAACCGGAGGTGTTGCTAACACTGGCCCTAGCAGGAGCAGTGCTTCGCAGAATCTACCACCGGATCGGCAACGCGACCCACTCAGAAAATCCGGTGAGAAACTAGACTCAGCGAAATAGTGCTAGTATAGGAAGTGGAAATGATATGAATATAGCAGTTTTAAACAGAGTGAAGTGTGCTGGATTGAAGTGGTAGTTTATGGCGCTGTTTTTAAAACCCTTCTACTTGCTACTATGGCACCACCTAAATTGAAACCTTTTCAGCGGACACAGCTTACACACAGCTTACACTGTAATGGTCCTCCTTATTTCTACCCTGCATGATATGAAACTTCAATGTCAAATTCTATCTATTTCTGCCATGAGGCATTCATGCACTTAAATATTCCTAAGTGCAATATGTATGTTCATGCATTTTGTTTTAAAGGTTTAAATACAATTAAGAATGTCAATCATGTCCCAAGAAATGCGACACCACCACTAAAGGCTTGACATTAGATAGGTCTTACAGCTAGTCTATGCACCCACGCAAACCAGAGATTTTCGTGGTCTAATTTCAACAGTTCTTACTTCTAAGCGTGCAGCTTTTACTAGAAAATCATATTAGGGATATATTCGAAATTGAATTTGACGAATAGTTGTTGTTGTTGTTGTTGTCGTCCTAGGGTACCCCGCCGGTACATAAGGCCCCCACAAGCTATTTCCACTTGACCTTGTCTTGCGCTTGCTCCTTAATATCACTCCAGGTCATACCGTCAGTCCTCATCTCGCTCTCCACGGTGCGTCGCCAAGTATGTACAGGGCGAGCAGGTCTTCTTCTGCCAAGCGTTTGTATTCTCGAGTACTATCCTCGTCTTACCCGTAAAGGCTCAAAACATGAACTTCTAGCACCACTAGTAGTATAGTTTTGCTTCTTCTACTACGACTATCAAATTTAAAAGTAATAATATAACGATGGTTATACGAAGTCAAATCATAAGTTCAAAATATAATCAAAGATGCTATTAACTGAACTAGCAAAAGAAAACGGATGGAGAAATAAGATAGAACCTTGTAAAACGAATCGAAAATTTTGATTTAAAAATTCCCTCAAATAATAATTACGACCTTCTATACTCTTCACCCAGATGTCGCCAAATTACTGGTTGCAACTTTTGAAATTTCGCACAGTTCGTGCTTAGTCTTAATTAAAAATGCCAGAAGGCGGATTCAGTTGCAACCGCAAACCTAGCAGGTTTATAAGCTGGCACCGCACAGAATGCTCCACAATCCTCATTCACGCCGCAGACGGACCACGGACTTCAACTAAAAATGTTTCGAATTTTATGTGTAAGTTTTTTTTTAAGTCGAAAACCTAGAACTGTGACTATTAAGTAATATTTTTTTTATTATTTTGTTTCTTTTTAGATCACTCTTTTGGCGCTAAGTACATTATTGATAAATACGTCTGCCCAAGAATACCTGCCTCCTAAAGTTGGGCTGAAGAAAGCTATAGCAGAACCAACGGTATGTTATTACATGAATTGTTAATGAAGAAAGAAAAAAATGTATTCTTGGTGATATAAAACTGTTTGGTACTATTTTTAATACGCTTTTATTAGCTTCAGACGTATGTATGTTAGTATGTAACGGAATCTTTGAACATGGTTTTGAACCCCTTCAAAACGTCTGATTAACTCGAAATTTGGTATACTTATTAAGGACCGATGACAATTCAATATTTAAAAAAAAAATTGAAAAAAAATTATTGAAAGAAAATCTTTTCTATTTTTTATTTGGATTTTCTATAAAAGCGTATTTTGTTAGTTTTTTTAACTATTTTTTTTTTTTCAATACTTTTTTCGTTTGGTAACACAGGAATCGCGTATTCGTCGAAAAATTGAACACAACGTGTTTAGTTTATTTTCCGAAGCTCAAATTTTGAGTTTTTATTTTTGATTGCTAAGATGGATGGACGTGCTCACGACCCACCTGATGTTAAATGGTCACCTGAGCCCATAGACATCAATCACGTTAGTACGACCTACCTTGAGACACGAGTGCTAAGTCTCAGTTTTTACAGTACAACCGCTGCCCCGCCCTTCAAACTGAAACGCATTGCTGATCACGGCAGAAATAGCCGTAGTGATGGTATCCCTGCCGGCCCACAAAAGCCCTACCATAAGTAATTACGTAAATTAGACGATGTTACTCCTTCAGTGTTTAAGTCATTCCTCAATTTTTGTTTAGTATGTATTTCATTAGAAAAATCGGTACCTGCCTTCGGGATTCAAACACCAGCACAGTCGGTTCACTCGAATGCACCAAGCATCCTTTAGGCCTTGACGACTAGTTCAATCATAAGTCTGTTATTCACATCAATACTATTTATGAAATCCGCATTTTCTGATGTTTTCAAAATTCCGTCGTCTGCGTACCACTAAAGCCGATGCAACAAATTGATAACTTCTGTCCACTTTGGATCTCACAGCTCTACAGATTGAATTAAAAAAATTACTATTGTATCCAAACTGGAATGCAGACCGTTCTGAAAGAGAAACACCTAAGCGTACCTTGATTCGTCTACCCATAAAGCTGATTAAATTTGATTTTAATCAGCTGCCAGCCAATTACGATTTTGCGTACGACGTGCAAGATAACGCAGTCAGCTTAGACTTCGGCCACAACGAGAAGAGGAAGGACGATCACGCGTCCGGCTCCTACCACGTGCTTCTCCCCGACGGAAGGACGCAGCTCGTCGAGTACGAAGCCGGACCAGACGGATACAAACCACAGGTGCTATATTTATTCAAACAGTAGCTCACATTTCGGTCTTTACGGTGTAATCTGTACAAAGTAAACACTACCTTTTGGGGACTTTTTGGCGGTAACGCGAGGAGTGAAGTTGTGTGATTTGTTTTATTTTGTCTCTTCAGGATTAAATGTGTAATAACGGTTGCTAATTAATTGTTTAATATCTGTGAAAGTGCACAAATGTGGGAAAATAAAACAAAGCCGCTGGACGTAACTTCTCGGGATCCTCCAAAAAGTGCACTGAAAAAATCTCAGTATAAATGACCACCATTTTACTGAGATTATATTTCATCCCATTTTATTTTATTTCATCCCAGTTAATTAATGTCTCAAATTAATCATCTTCATTTTATTTCATTTCTCTCCATATTATCATTTTTCATAAAAATAAGAATATAAATTAAAATAAGACGTAAAGATCTTAGTTACCAGGTCATAAAATCCCATAAAAAACCTTTTGATTGACTCGGTGGTGCGATAGGTAGTTAGCGGCTCTAACTGTTGCGACGAAGGGTCGTGGGTTCGATTCCCACACCGAGCAAACATTCGTGTGATGAACAGATTTGTTTGCTGTTTGTCTAAGTGTTGATTTATCTAAATATGTATAAATTTAAACGCATATAAATATGTATGTCTGTCTCTGGGACCCATAACACAGGGAATCCTAATTTAATGACTGTGCGTGATTTGTTCCGGGCTTTTTTTTTCGGAATTCGTTCGTTGTAAAAATATTCAAAGACACACTATTCTCTAACTTCCCTTCAAGAAGCTTTATAAAGCCTGATTTTATCATGTTGATTAGTGAGAATCGCCTTATATATTCACCAGCAGCTTCGTTTGTCATAATAATTATGACGGTATGTACAGGTAATAATAAAATTACGTACTGTTTTATTCACAAGGTAATGTACATGGGTACGGCCACGTTCCCGGCAGCAGGGTCCGGTGATAAGTTTGATGGTTACCACTACAACGCGGCCTCGAATCGCCAGAGCGTGAGGCAAATAGCTCCACGAACTCCGCGTCAGCCGTCCACCCAAGCACCCACCGCACAACAATCGTCCAATAACGCTACACAATGAGAGATCTTTGACACGATAAAATCGAATTAACGACAATCGGATTATGATATTTATCGACAGTAAATCGAGCACTGAGAGGGTATTTGGTATAAGCGACACTTTTGCAACTTTACAGGAGAACTACCACTCACCATCAGGTGGGCCGTATGCTCGTCTGCCTATACGGCAATAAAAAAAAAAAGAACCGTTTAAAGTTTAAAATTTTGGAAAAAAATCAGCTATTTGAATGGAGTAAACTTTGAAGTTCAATTAAAATCATTGAATCGTTGATTCTAATACCAAATAAAACGCACCTTTAATTGCAAAGAGAAATGTCTCTTAAACTAAATAGCCTTTGATCCTTCGTAATGTATTTTATCTATCTATCTATCTCTTAGGTTTATGGCGTTTCCTTTTAGATTTCGCCAATGTCAAGTGTATTTAATACTCTGCTTTCTATAGCGGGCTTCGTGAATGAGCAAGGTCACAGATATTCACTAAGAATTGTACTAGAAAAGTTTTTGTGTCAGAATTAAGTGTGTCGTCATAAAGCGCAATGGAACGTCAAATATTTTGTATTATGTTACATATATAATGCTTCTTTTAAAATTGTGTAAAATTGACAGTATCTTTATACATCCGTGTTATAATTCTGTATCTATGTTTTTACAAAATTAAGAATATGGTAATTGAAATCGGAACGAATATTCGTTATTGCGAATGAAACTTAGTTACAAGATTGTTTTACGAATAATTTATGTTTAAGTACTTACCTACTATCAATGTAATAATATTAAATTGTACAATGTAGGTGTTTGTTTTTGTATGAAGGATTTTTTTTTTGTGAATAAATCATCACACCAATGTCACAGGTTTTTTAATATGTATAAAATTTAAAATAAAAATATTTCTAATAATTTTCGTATTACCAACTATGCGACATAACATGTCGTTCCATTGACGTATTATATTAAAAAGTTTAAACATTAAAACAGTGTAGATTCGCATTTGGAACAGTCATTAACAAGTTATTTATTATTAGGGTAAAATTTATGAACACTAATTACAATATGACGTTTACATATGAAGAAGCATTATTTCATACTTGTATTTTATTTGGCATCGATATACTTTCGATTATTACAAGTAGGTACACTACAAATTAACATATCTTTGGGGGATATTATGACATTTAGCTTAATCCTATAATACTTTGTCATAAATGAGATAAATCGGACGCTCATGTCGAATTTTTTAAAAATAAAATATTAACACGAGAATTCAATTCAATGCTTAAAAATTCTGAAAAGTACCCTATTAATTTAAAATTAAATTTTAAGTATGATTTTTTTTAAATTAAAATTTTAAGTATGTTTTTTTTTAAATTAAAATTTTAAGTATGATTTTTTTTTTATTAAAATTTTAGGTATGATTTTTTTTGCCTACCTGTCGCTAGTAGTTTTCGACAGATTCTAGCTTCACCGAACGTAGGCGAGCTCACAGGACTCACCTATGGAGCCTTTGCTAACATCTGCCCTAACACGAGCTGGCTTTTTCGCTGAGTTAGTTAAGTATCGTATTTGTAATATAATATTTTGTGAAGCCACAATACAAAATTCATGAGTAAACAAACCTTCTGAAATAGTTCAACTATGATATTTTATTGATCTAGTTCTATTTACAATTATCGATTGAAATCGTCTTTGTAATGTAATATTTCGTGAGGCCACGTAAATTCATGAGTAAATAAACCTGCTGAAATAGTTCACCTGAGATTTTTAATGATTTAGTTCTTTTTACCATTATTGATTGAATCATATTTCGAAACCGATAAAGATAGGTATTGGACGTAATAATTCAACAAAATTAATATTTAAAGTAATATTATACCCAAAGTATCGATTTTGGAGAGTGCTTCTCTTAAACTCTATTAAGAATCATTCATAGTTCATCGTTTTGGCACGTTGATATTTCCACTGACGCCAAGTTATCTATAACATAGTTAAATCTACCTATCAAACCTATAGTATACTACACTATTTTCAGCGGCATATTACATCAATTGTTTATTTAAAAGAATTTTCATAATAAATAATTTGTTACCACAGAAATCTATAATAATTGTGTTGTTACTTAGATATCCGAGTATTGTTAGTTCTTTAAGTAGCATGTAATATGTCGATGTTCTGGTCGGGCCAGTGCACGCGTCTGTGCGTTGAAACTGTATCGAACCCAACATTATCGAATGAATGGTAGTCCTTTTGCATACTCATTTCGGCCAGATTACGGTACCTGAAAATGAAAATACATAGGTGCCTTCAATTGTAGTGTAATCTAATCAGTAATAACATAAGATGATATTTCCATGCAACACAGGGGAACTTCCCGCAGCACATGTGAAGATCTTCTCGTAACACAGGAGAAAATTTAAGATTGATGACTTAGCTGAGGTTTTTATTCAATAAATTAATTTAGGTATTTTTTTTTCCTACCTACGCTGATGGTCTTGAGATATATTCAGATCCATATCAGCGTCACCAGGCGAGTAGGTGAGCTCACGGGGCTCAAACCTGACGTTGGTGCTAGCACGAACCCTAGCAAGAGCAGTGCTTCGCAGAATCTACCACCGGATCGGAAACGCGACCCAATAAGAAGATCCGGCGAGAAACTCAGTGAGCTGTGTCTATAGGTTAATTTACTCGCCGAGCCCTTCGTCGCAAGCGACAGGTTCGACAAGAACGATGACTGGTGCTTGGGGTACCTAAAAGCACCGTTAGTGGATCGAGAGGATCCGAAATGACGTGTTATTAATTTAGCGCTAACCTTTTGACTAAAACGCAGCAACCGAGTAAGAGCAGTAGTTGTACGGCGAGCCATGTTAGCGCCAACGCTACTAACAGCAACTCATGGACGCACACCACGCCATCTACCGGACGAGCCTCCTCCGCTGTGTTTAGAGAAAGAGAGAGAGATAGAAATAGAGAATATACTTCACTGCACACCAAAACAAAATTAACATTAGAAAACAGTCAACAAGCAGCATATATTTGTACAATAGGCGGTATTATCGCTAAAAGCGATCTCTTCCAGACAACCGTATAATTAAAAAGAAATTTTGGAAAAGCTAAGATTTAGTAGGTATGTTGCGGTGTACTATTAGCAATACATTATTATAGAAAATATATGAATACAATAAATAGATATATAGGTACCGTTTACATATTCATCATCATCGTCAGCCTTTATCTGCCCACTGCTGAACATAGGTCTTCCCCAATGCCTTCCCTCAGAATGCGGTCCTCCGCCTTCCGCATCTAACGATTTCACGCCGTGCACACTAAGTCGACGACATAGCTCTCAAAGTTAGCAGGCTAAGGTGGCAATGGGCCGGTCACGTCTGTCGAGCCAACGACGCCAGGTGGGGGAGGAAAGTCCTCGAATGGAGGCCACGGATGGGTACCAGGAGCGTGGGGCGTCCTCCAAGCAGATGGACCGACGACTTAGTGCGTTTACATATAATATCAAATAATTGTTTGATTTATATACCAATATACATACTTATATACTAGTTAATATTTTAGTTCATTCATTTATTAACTTCTGGTTTCAACATAGTTAACCTACCCTTTTTATTGCTTAGCTAGGTAAAGAGGCCCACCTGGTGGGTAAGAGTTATATCTAAGCGTGACAGGTTATCGTTTAAGCGAGATTTCGCTTGATACGCGATATTTATCTTTGTAATTAAAGAAATTAAATTTGTTTTAATTAGCATCAACATTTCAATGTTTTAATGGACCTTTGATTAAGTTTACTCAATTGAAATAGCTGAAGAAGCTTTTTTTGTTATGACATTTTATCCGAAATTTAAACTTTAAAAGTTGCAGAAATGTCGCTTAAACCCAAATAGCCTTTCACCTTTCGATATGAACTTATAGACGTAACAACACGAATTGTGTCACCCACGGTGAGACAAGAGGTTCAAGCCTCAATTGTGTTATGTATGAGCTGTTCCACCCAAAAAATTGGAAGAAATCACATAGTAGACTGATAATATGGTGTGATAACTACCCGTGCGGGCTTCTTCTCAATCATTGCTCTATCTATATATATAAAAATGAATTGCTGTTCGTTAGTCTCGCTAAAACTCGAGAACGGCTGAACCGATTTGGCAAATTTTGGTCTTGAATTATTTGTGGAAGTTCAGAGAAGGTAGGGTAGATAAACCATATTTTAATAATCCATGTAAATAGAATGCGAAATTAAATCCTAAATGAAAACTTATTTAGGTACGCTTAAAATTCCTAAAAAATAATTAGCATTGAATTATAACTGAATCTAATGACGAGGTTTAAATTTCACAGTAGATTGACTCACAGATCGAACCGTGGCAAATTACCGCGCATTGAATCGTAAACGAGGAAGGTTTTTTATTACTTAAATGGGTGGACGAGCTCACGGCCCATCTGGTGTTAAGTGATTACCGGAGCCCATATACATCTACAACGTAAATGCCGCCACCCACCTTGAAACATGAGTTGTAAGGTCTAATTTTTAACAGTACAACGGCTGCCCTGCTCTTCAAACCGAAACGTATTACAGCTTCACGACAGAAATAGGCAGGGTGGTGGTACCCACCCGTGCGGTTATTATATTATAATAAATATCGATTACTTCGTAAAGCAACTCACGGTAGCTTGACCGATGATCAGCCCTGACGAGTGCGTCAGAAGCCTGAATGCCTTTAGAGTCTACGGCCAGCTCTAGTTCAAGTGTCAAAGGGTCGTCGACCCCGATGTGGCACACGCGTGTCCCTCCCTGCGCCACGACGCGACCCTGCTCCGTGTCTTCACTGAAGTACGTGACGTTGGCATCGCGAGTTATCCTGCCTATATTCTCCATGCAATCTACCTGAATAAATAAACCCAAATTATTATAAAGTTGTTCTTCTTTTGCTTGAAAATCTCAAAAAAAAAAACCTCGACGTAAATTCGCAATTGTTATCATTGGTACAGACGACAGGTCGCGCAACTGCGCCTATACGTCTCGTTAAAGGAAACTATTGTATAAAAGAAAGTAAAAAAATCTACATTTGTGAACGATGGTGGATGATAATTTAGATAAAGTTAGCCTGTTCATTCCGTGAAAAAAAAAGATGTAATAACTAGTGTTCTAGTCTATAATCTATTATTCTTCTCCCCTCCTTATCTACGTGCAACGGTGATCGCCGATCATTGCCGAGGATTGTCGAAGCATTGACGTTATACGCGTTGGATTTAAATCGAATTATCTCAATCTCGGAAACCGAAACCCCACATTTTGTCACAAAATTAATAACAATTATTGATTAGTCTATTACAGCATTAAATAAATGGCATTGAGCCGAGTAGCCAGACCTTCGAAGATCAAAGAAAAATAGAACGTAATAAGGATATGGCACCATTGGAAATCAAGGTGTGAATGCACCATTTCCAACAGCAATACTTTCTACCTCAGATGGTTACAAGTGTCGTTAATTAGATTGATTGTTCTTGGCCAATTATGCTTTTTATCATCGCCTAACAAAATCAACCTATTGACCATTTCACCATCTTGAATACCTAAGAAATTTGCCAAAATCAACAGCAATTCAAAAGCGAAAAGTCGTAGGTGTGAAACATGACCAGACTTTTTTGTTTCGATTTTCATTTATCATTTTTTTTATATTACTTGACTTTTTTATTTGACTTACAAACTATAAACTTATTAGAACGACTAGTATTCATAGCTTTGTAAATAAACAATCTTTCTCATTTACATTCAAGTAGTAGTTGGCGTACTACCTATATTTAATAATAAAAGGTTTCAAGTGCCCATTATAAAGTATTTATTTATAATACAAAGGTCAGAAAATGGTACGTACCTTTTCACATTTGTCTTCACAAAATCTCACCATGAGCGCGAATCGTACGATGTGTGACGTAGGAAAACGGAACGCTTTGAACCGTACACTCAAGCGCTGGGTCCCGTCCAACCAGGTACGAGTAAATTCCGGGAAATCCACCTTTGTTTATTAGGAAAAGATAAATTCTTTTATACACGTCAGTTATCGACGAAGTTACGGGCCATAACATAAACGCTAGAGATTTTAGAGCTGAAGTGACGTCATTCTTTCTTTTTATTCACAGATACGCATACATAACATTCATTAGCTGTTGTTACTGTTCCAAAAAACGAAGGTCGGTCGGAGCTCATAATGACAGTAAAAATCTATTTTAATGTACATATACTACTAAGAAGACGTCCTATGACGAAAAGTTCAATGACGCTCCCAAAAAGTCCAATCCGCTGGTCATACCAGATACGCTCTACTCTCAACACCTCAGTCCATGCAGCCGAGGATAGGCGGGGCTGGCGCAGGATAGTCCAGGAGAAAGTTATTAAAAGAGAGACCACGATCCTCAGCATTGAGGATTATCGACACAAGGAGGAGGAGAGATACTACTAGTAATCATGGCAAATATTATTTTCCGTTTACTTCCAGTGTCATGTTTCGCGACGATGCCGCTACCTTTATATCGCATAATCCATCATTCTTATTACTTGGAATTATTGTGTTCATGCAGATTACTTTTCTAGAGATCGTTTTAGACAGGTATTAATACCCTGACTTTCCCAACACGGTGTTAACCTTATAGCCTTTTTCAAATAAGATCATAAGTCGCTTGGTTGTGCTATTATGACCCTTAATGTCTATGAGCGATGGTTGCCATCGGATGTATCATGTTCTATCTGTCGGTTGTAGAGGTAGCTTACGGCTTCAGAACGTTTGCTCACCTGACCAGTAGGACAGCCTTTACTGTCCAGCAATACAACAGAGCTGTCGCCCAGGCGAGATGAGGCCACTAAATAATAGGGTTGAATCTCCGATGTATCTGCCATTAAGAAGATTAGTTTAAGTTTAATTTGATTAAGGATTAAGTTAAATGTCCACGAAATTAATCTTCGAATCTTATACAATTGAGAAATAACAGGGAAAACTACAGAATATTCTAACCTTGTTATTGATAGGTAACTTTTAAAACTCTATAGACATTGCTTCGAGACATGAAGCCAAATATCGAGTACATTTGACAACGGCTATTCCATTCTTCAAACCTACCTGCTTCGTTCAGGACTTACAAAACGCTTTTTACAAATTATGAATTCATGATTCATTTTTACTACACCACGGTATGTACAATAGCATTGACTTAACACGCGTTCAAAATTTCATTTGACTAAAATCAGTTGTGATTTTTTTTTATTCTTTAGATGGGTGGACGAGCTCACAGCCCACCTGGTCTTAAGTGGTTACTGGAGCCCATAGACATCTACAACGTAAATACGCCACCCACCTTGAGATATAAGTTCTAAGGTCTCAAGTATAGTTACAACGGCTTAACTAAAATATGCCAAATGATACAAAACAAATGTGTCAGTTTGAATTATAAGATCAGTAGTTCAGTACCAGTAGTCTCAAGCCTCAATTCGAGTGGTTCCCCGAGTGAGACGGCCGCGGACGGAGGCTGCACGGTTTCCGCGCGTACCACGTACAGCCTCAGGGGAGCGTTGCCCCCCACCACCGCACTCGCCGCTCCGGTCCACGATTTCCGACCGGAATTCGTCGCTGGGGCCCGTCTAAGCATCAACATAATATATATTTTTAACGATTAATAATTATACAGTACTAGCTGTACCCGTCCGCTTCGCTGGGCATTTAAAATCTATCTCTATATATAAAAATGAATTGCTGTTCGTTAGTCTCGCTAAAACTCGAGAACGGCTGGACCGATTCGGCTAATTTTGGTCTTGAATTATTTGTGGAAGTCCAGGGAAGGTTTAAAAGGTACAAAATATAAAAATGTTGGTTTCCCAAATAAATAAATAAATAAAATTGTCGTTTAAGCCAAGTTGGCTTTCACGTCTCAGTGTGTAATAATATAATTCTTAGAAGATGTGTAATAATATAAACCTTAGAAGGTAAGTTCTTACCCGTTATCAGTAACAGCGAGCGTGGCGTCTACATGTGTGGGTGTGCGAGGTCCAGGCGAACATCCTACACGAACCCATCTGTCTCCTGCCGTCTGTATTATGGGATTGTTCTGGATCATAACCATTACGTACGCCATTGTTCTAGGGACGATAATTAAGATTATAGGACGCGAGAAGTTTTTTAACTGGCAGCGTGTACCCGAAGTATTTCTATTTATGCATAAAAATATGTGAAGTTATATTTTTTTCCTAACTTTTCGCTGGTAGCCTAAGAGGCTATACCAACTACGCCCGGACGGGTTAGTGGGCTCACGGGCTCAACCTGAGAGAATTTGCTAACACTAGCCCTAGCAAGAGCATTATATGTTAATAATAATAATAAATAATAATAATAAACTTACTACACGTAATAAGAACTAACATATTAACTCATAGCTACTGTATATTACTTGGCCAAAAGCCCGTATATACAGTTCTACCGGCTCTATTGACAGACTGAACTGAGAAAGGGAAAACCTATGAATAAAAATAAAAATAATAAAATCATTTATTGCCTTTCACGTTAAATAAATTAAATACAAAAAAAAAGAAAAGAAAAAGGCAAGAGGAGCTGGCTCAGCTAATGCTGTTCAAGGTCGATACATCGAACAGCGCTGATTTTCAGTCACCCCCGGGCAATGAAAGCTAGGTACGTGTGTACAGACTTAGAAAATGGAATAAACTAGTATAAAAATAAGAAAAAACAAAACAAAAATCACATTAAATGGTGAACCCGAATACAAAAACCTGTGGGCAACGAAACAACAAAGAAAATAAAATAAAGCACGTTAATACTATTACTGGCAAGCAGCATAACATTTCCACTTATTTACACTTAAAGAACACTTATACATGTTCCATTTCATGTCCCGATATAGGCAATAATGTCTAGCTTTTTTTCTGAGACACCAATGCCTCTCATTTTGTAGGGTCAAATAAATTCCATTTCAAGCGTAAGTTGGAACTCGAGCTTCAAAGTTGACCACGAGTTATTTAGACCAATTGAGAAAGAAAGATTTTCCTCACCTATTAATGACACCGGTAGGTCCATTCGAGATTCCGTATGCAAAATTAACGTCACATTCTCCGTGCATCGGTAACGTCAATTTGACGGGACCTCCCTTCCCTCGCGCCCCGCACTGCTCCCCTCTCCCCGGGACGTACATACGACCCCGAAAAACTCCGCGCGGCTTGTATGTTATGTTCAAACCCTTGTTGTCGCAGTCCACGCTTACTTGAAATGAAATATTTTTCTACTATATACCTACCAATATAGTAATTTTTCCAATGAAATACGTACTTAACAATTGCTCACGATTGATTTCCACGGTGAAGAAATAACATCGTATAATAAAAATCAAACCCGCAAAATTATAACTGGTGATAGGACCTCTTGAGAGTTCGCACGGGTAGGTACCACCACCCTGCCTATTTCTGCCGTGCAGCAGTAATGCGTTTCGGTTTGAAGGGTGGGGCAGCCGTAACTATACTGAGACCTTAGAACTCATACCTCAAGGTGGGTGGTGGGATTTACGTTGCAGATGTCTATGGGCACCAGTTGTTGGGCTGTGAGTACGTCCACCCATCTATGTAAAAAAAAAACATACGTACATGTTGTCCATATGCTTGGTTCTTCTTAGTAGTGAATAGAGGGAAAGTAAGAAATTAAGCATAGTAATAATAATAGAAGGTAATACATTTTGTCAAGAAAACTAAACAAATATTCATATGATGACCAGGAAATGGACGAAAAATAGCCGTGTAATGATTTTCATTTAAAACAAGTACACGTCATCATTATCAGGGCAACAGAATAAAATGAAAAACTGCCTCTGTTTATACAGAGGCAGTCTGTTATCAGAAGCCTTATAAATTCTTAAATAACTTACTATTCAAACATATGACCCGCCTATAATAGGTTGCACCTGACGTTTTCCGAAGCAGCCAAGAGCCAGTAGTAACTAGATCTTCACTGTGCAAGTCGCAAATGCCTCGAACTCCACTTTTTTCTTCCTTCGATATCCAGCTAAATCCCCGACATATGAACTTTTGTTCCGTTTCACATGCTTTCTTGCACTGTATTGAGGGATCATTACATTAGTTGGTTTTTATTGCATTTTTATTGCCTAGACGGATTAATGAGCCCTCGGCCAACCTAATCTTAAACCCGGTATCATCTTTCTGGCCGTTCCCTCAATGCTGAGGATCGTGACTGTATGTCAATCTTCTCCACTCGGTCCGGTTCTGCGCCATATGTATATACCGATCCTTTTTTATTGCTATTTATTTATTTATTTATTGCTTAGATGGATGGACGAGCTCACAGCCCACCTGATGTTAAGTGGTTACTGGAGCCCATAGACATCTACAACGTTAATGCGCCACCCATCTTGAGATATAAGTTCTAAGGTCTCAGTATAGTTACAACGGCTACCCCACCCTTTGAACCGAAACGCATTACTGCTTCACGGCGGAAATAGGCGGGGCGGTGGTACCTACCCGTGTGGACTTCCAAGAGGTCTTACCACCAGTTACCTGAGAGATCTTGCTATCACTAGCTCAAGCTAGAGCAGTGCTCCGTTGTACTGGGTCGGAATCGACCCACTGAGAAGATCCGGCGAGAAATTCAGTGGGTTATTCTATGGGCTAGGGTGACCGCTGCTTGGAGAGCCTAAAAGAACCTAGAGTAAATCCGAAGGATCCGACAAGACATGTCATGGATGACGGCGGCTGGGTCGGATATGATACCGATTCAAATCTCTCATGTAGATCGGAAAACCCCCATTAATCCTGTGTATATTTTATGAACGGGAATTACCTCGGCTTGTTTTTCTTCTACATTTTTCATAACTAAGCCACATCTATTCATCTAGTAACAGTAAAAAATGTGTAATTCTAAAGCCATCGATGTAATTTAATGTTCTCTCGATACCCATTATCAGCACGAAACGCGACTTAGACTTCTATTGACCTAAATATTCCATTATAATTTCTACCGTCATTGCTTGAATATTTTTATATGATTATTCTTAGATGGGTGGACAAGCTCACGGCCCACTTAATATGAAGTGGTTACCGGAGCCCATAGACATCTACAACGTAAAACCCACCTTGAAACATGAGTTGTAAGGTCTCACTTTTAACAGTACAACGGGTGCCCAGCCCTTCAAACCGAAATGCATTACTGCTTCACGGCAGAAATAGGCAGGGTGGTGGTGCCTTCCTGTGCGGACTCACAAGACGTCCTACCACCAGTAATTATGCTAGCTATGAATTTGCGTGTTTGGTTTTACAAAAATTATTTTAATATACTGGTCCCTCAATGAGGCAACTTTCAGATATTAAGCTGAAAAGAACAGATACTACACTTTTATCCTAGCCAAAAGGCCGAAAAGCGATAAAAGAAGCGAACAAATTCAATTTGACGAATATTACCAGGTTACCGTAGGAGGGCTATGTTTTTCGAGTGTGTACATACATAAGTACCTACATATGATTTTGAACAGCCTGCATTTTTTACGGGTTTCAACATATCCCTTCATATTGCTCGAGCAATTTATTAAGCGAGTGAACGAACTCACGGCGTGCCTGATGTTATGTGGTTGCCGAAGCACAGAGATCACATACCACCACCCTTGAGTTATTTCTTATTTAGTTATTTCTCAAATTTATATCAGCTGTCCCTAACAAACACTTAATTTCATAAAATACCTAAATAAAACGAAAAATTTAATCGAAAATAAGCGAATCAGGCTTTTTTCTTTTTAATATTCTATCTGCCGATGCATATGTAACATAATATGGTCCACTGCAGTAAACGAATTAACATATATTGTGAGTATGTGACGTTACAACACTATTTATCTATGCTACGATCGTTATGCGCTCATAAAATGAGTTATGTCGTGGTTATGGCACAGAGATAAGACCCCGCATAATTTTATTATAATGAACCTACAAGTTAAACGTGAACGATGCTAAAAAAATGGGGAAAACACTGTGAAAAACAGATGTAATTGACTTAAACACATAATGGACGTGCCTCGTCTTTGGTGCGATTCTTCAGTGTGAATTCGACGTGTCTCAGCGTTTGATTGTTGTATTCTTCGTATGAACATCTATCTATTTTTATTAAATCTGTAAATATAAATTTATTATTGATTTATGAAGATGCGTTATTAAATAATGACCTTCCTTGTGAGTGCAATAAAAACGTACTCACAGTCGTGTTTACATTGATTCTCGATGTAGAATGTATAGTAGTTTGATACTCTGTAAGATTCCGGTTCAGTGAACTTATCCTCGGCGTTGACGAGGCAGCTACCGACGGTTGAATCTGCCGCTTGTATCAGCTCCGCGTTGAACGAGCCGTCTGGTCCCACCCATTGGCCTGAACTATAACGTAAGATAGTTGATTTTGCAACACAGACCAGTGTGTTTAGTGCGAGCTTTTTAACGTTCTCGTTAATGTAAAAGTTAACTCAAATTTGTATGCAGTTGGAACAGCGCCTCTAGCGGTAAACGTATGCAAACGTTCCAACTCCATACAAATTTAAGTTAACTTTCACGCTATCAAGAGCGTTAAAAAACTCGCACTAAGCATTCAGAGGTGGCTTTACCTACGGTGCAGGGTGTAGGTTGCACACGGGCGCAGCAATGTTACTTACGGTCTTGGCACATTCAATGAACGTGTTACATTGGTACCAATTCCATTCCGACCGCGCGCTTACTAAAGGCGCTAGGGAAATGATTGCACATGGGCGTTACATTTTTACGGGGCACCTGATAGTGAGTGGTTGCCATTGCCCATGGACCTCGGCAATGCCAGAGGCAGAGCCAGGCTACTGCCTACTAGAGCCTACATAGGCTAGAGACGGCACTGACACGGAAATCAGCTGTTCCTTCATTATATTACCATTAAATTAAATTCAATATAACATTCTGCAGTTACAAATTCACCAGTTCAGAATTTTATTTATTTTAATCTTGAAACTTTCGTTAGAACGTCAAGGGCGATTAACGTTTTTCAAATTCATGAAAAAGCAATACAAATACGTAAGCCTCAATTCACAGGTCTTAATATGATTTTAAATTTAAAAAATAAATGTTTTTTTCTAACACGTCGCCGAAGTAACAATTGACTCTGATATTCAACTCGTAGAAAATCCATTGTCTCGATGTTAATAGAAAGTGTTATGTTTTTACATGTATCGTCTGATTCGGACTTTAACTTACAGTCGACACGAAGCATTAACAACAATAGTAGTGAATACAACAGGCTATTATAAATTAATACGCAGTTTAGATCTGAATTCATGGATGATGCGATTTTTTTATTATCACACACATCTTTTACTTGTGGTAGGACCTCTGTGAGTCCGCGCGGGTGGGTACCACCACCCTGCCTATTTCTGCCGTGAAGCAGTAATGCGTTTCGGTTTGAAGGGTGGGGCAGCCGTTGTAACTATACTTGAGACCTTAGAATTTATATCTCAAGGTGGGTGGCGCATTTACGTTGTGGATGTCTATGGGCTTCAATAACCACTTAACACCAGGTGGGCTGTGAGCTCGTCCACCCATCTAAGCAATAAAAAAAGCAATATACATAGAAAACAAGAACGTGGACACCAAAACCTATAATATACTGAATATCCGCGACTGTTGCGTTTAAGGCTACCTATTGTCTAGCAACGTTGGATCCTAAAACTACTTTAGGTATTTAGATCTTATGTAGAAAACTTATTAACTGAGTAAGGCGTAAGATTTGCAAACTTAATTTGAAACTGGTAGTGCATTCTGTAGGGCGTAACACATAAAATTTTCTGTCAAGAAGCAGTTAGGCATTTCGACAACGCTATTGAGAATTAAACTTTGTATCTCAAGATAAATTGTGTTATTCCCGTAGTGATCTGAATCCAATAGCTACTAACTAACACCAGTCAAAGCGAGAGTCCGCTCACTTGTGCCATAAAAATAATTTCACATTACCTTATTATGGAATAAACTTTGTCAATTCTATTGTACGGTCTTGTCGGAAAATCCCGTAACTAGAAAATCCATTTAAGTTATATTACTTACCGGTATGAAGTTCTACGGGCTGAAAGTATTGAATCGTAGCAGTCTTGGATGGTAGAGTTTGGTAGCACCTTCACTGCGCTCTCGGAATGTAAATGGTAACCAGGAGTACTCTCTAACGCCCACCATTTTGTGGAACATTCTTCGGAAACTAAATTAAGAACATAGTTTAAGTTTCGTTTAGTTATATAGGATAGTATGTCAAGAATTGCGTATAGAATAATATTCAATTTAGATATATGGTGTATATAGAATAATAACTCGAACATATTTAGAACTAATGGTAGTTTAATACCGATGTTCGAACACCACATATGTATTATAGAGGGCGCCGACGGTAATGCACGCGGTGCGTGTTGAAATTCACATCCGTCTCGGCTCTTATCAACATAAATATTAGGAAATGCGTGTTTTTCTTCGCATTTCCTTTTGGTTGTGTTTAAGATCACGTAGCTTGTGAAATATAGGTTTACGAAAATCGTAACAACTAAGACCCATTGGTTCTCCCCGTCTGGTTATCCATTTTCATCGCGTATGGACCAAATATATTTTTTTATTACGCAGCTGTTTATTGCTCGATTTTAATAATATATTGACGATATTGTAGTAAGTAAGCCCTTCGTGACTATGCAGCCCTTTACGTGGTGCGACACGCACTTGATCGATTTTATTTTGATAATTCTCGTTTTTACTCCAGTACTCTGAGTAAATTATCCCAATTTATCTGAATATGAATAATGTAATGGTATGAATTAGAATATACTCTACTCTACAGAGTGTAAGGGAGCCGTCTCTGAAGCTACCAGTAATCAACTAATTATATAATATAAGCAATATGTACACTTATTCCACATCTAAGCTTAGAAAAAAATAATGTTTTTGTAACTTCATAAGTATTTCATAAACCCGAAATGGAAAGCAAACGAAGTTGGCTCAAATGGCCCTAAGCCCTTTCTCATTATGTTTTTAACCGACTTAAAAAGGAGGAAATTCTCATTTCGACAATATTTGTTTTATCTACTGTGCTACGTCAGAACTTTTTTTTAGGTTAACATATATTTTATTAATTGAAAGCTGGCGCTTCTCCTGCTGTACCATTTAAATTTTATCAAGATCTAAGCGGTTTTTATGTTAACCTTAATAAAGTAGTTTTAATTGACTTCGAATTCATTGAGGATATTCTCATTTTATATTGTTGAATAAAGTAAGTTTCCTTTTTTGTTACCATTTTGTGTTATATTATATTTTTTATAATTTACATAAATTTAATGTAATAGGAAGATCTAAAGAAAATCAATCTTAGGAGTACCTTAGGCAGACCTATAGGTACTATCATAAGTAGACTTCAATACTTTAAATACATACCATGCAAGCAAATCTTTTTAAAGTACGTGACATCGTGATCAGTTCTCAAGTGGGGTTCGGGAGTATTAGCTACCCCAACACAATTTCCTTTCCCGTACGCGACGACCACTGCACCGCAGTCCTCCAGTTCCCTGCATTGAGCTAAGCAAGCTCCGACAAGGGAATCTTCTTCGCCGCTAGCCGTGTAGACGAACACTGGCGGCGCTCGCTCTGACGTCACTCCGGACCATCGCACAAATGTTACCGACCGCCCGTCGCTGCACAGTTGGCCCGCAACTGATTAACATTACAATATAACAAACGTAAAGCAATATATTAAAAACAAAAAGCACGGCCATCAGTTAAGTGATGTGTAAAAACGGCAGCTCAGTATAAAAAAAAAAAACTAGTCGCAAACACATTTTAACTTAATACCCGTTTGACAGTAGTGACGGTTTGTAAATTGATCCAAAATTACAATTTGGAATGTTTTTAATATTTTAAAAAAAGATATGTTTTAGCGATTTTATAATGCGTTAAAAGTTCTGGCGTAAGTGCGGAAGTACACTTTCTGACTACATCTCGTATTCTGTTAAAAAAAGTATTTTGTCGTTTGTAAGATCACATTAAGTTTGAGTGGCCAACTCATTAAAAAAAAACGATTGTGAGTGGCAAAGCCTGTGTTCGGAGAACTGTCTTCCTGTGATGGCACAATCTGACCCGGTAACGGCTGTGAACTCACACGGCTTAAGACCACCATCGAACTTTTTACCATCGCGGATAAATCCTACGTTCCGATTGGGACAGGGTACCCGTTATTCTATTACAATTAAAGTCTCCTCCTTAAGTGTCAAAGTCTCTTCCACGGCGACGGTATTCATGTCTATAGGCTCCAGTAACTATTGAACATCAGCTGAACTGAGCTTGTGTGCTCGTCTACGCTAAAACAAATATACGTGACTCATACATACAGAACGAGCCATATTCGAGTCTATGTTCATATTTATTTGGTGAAAATTCACATCGAAAAGTAAGAGAAAAAATCATTCAGAATTATCAGGTGACCACACCCGGTTTGAGAAGCCATAATCTTAGCAGTCATGAGTACTATATTATATTTAGCTTTCAATGTAACTATTATCAGGAGGCCTATAATATAAGCCTTCAAAAGGCCTATAGTATCAAATATCGGATCTGAGACTCTGTGTTAATGTGGTAAATTTTCTTGTATTGTTTCGAATGTCTCATGGCATCAATATGGCTATGTATATTTTACAAAAGTACAGTTTACAAAAGTAAACAATTACGCATTACAAAACCAGCTTACCTGAAGAGCATAATGTTAATATTACAAAATAAATAATTTCGTTTGAGTTCATAATTCCTGATAATCGTCAGATTGCTTGAAGACTTCGTGTAAGTAAAACACTTCGCACAATATGAACCATTATTTAAAAGTCAGATTTTGAGGAAAATTCTGGTAATCGCACAGCTTATAATTACGACTATGATTATCGTGATTTTCTTGATACACTAGGAATTTTCAATTTGATTTGAATCTCTCACAGGGCACTAGTAGTTTAAAAGGGTAACGAGTCTTCATCAAGATCACTTGTGTAACCCCCTACGGAAGGCTCTACGCGGAACATCTGAACAAACATTACAAATGCCTCTATAAATATTTCAAATCGTTCGAACTGTAATATTGAATCGACGTAAGTTTGATATCTATTACCAATTTTAAATACACTGTTGTTTTTATACGTATAATTACGTGAACGTCGTAACATAGAATTGCGGTGCACTAATAATGCGATGCAAGTCGATATGTTGCGGGCAAAACGCGGCTACTGGTTCATAAGTTGCAGTTGTCATGTGGTAGCTCCCCACTACGCGCTGCCATACGTACTCCACTGCGACCTTGCAGTTCATTATTATGGGCTTACAGACTACAATTTACAATGGAGTGACGAGTCAACGACAAACGACGCTGATAATGACTATGTCACATCAATAAAGACGTATTTTGCAATAACGGGCCATGCGGGATGGATAACACAAAATACTACGTATGTACGGAAGTGTGTTTACCGATCTAACCGTTTATTTCGATACTTCCACCGATTGTGCAATGAGTCGAAATTGCTGAATCCTTAATCCGTCCGTCTCGTGAATAACGACTTGTGTAAGACAGGAAATGGGCGAGATAGGTCCATCGAAGTTTGCTTTTTCAGTCTAGGAGACAATGAGCAAGGAATGACTAATTGAGTTACTGTTTGGATTATTCACCTGTCCTGTTTTGACCGTCCATTGTTATGCAAATGTGTTATGGACGGCTCTGTGTAGATTCGCGTAAATATTATATGTCAAACTAAGTTACGGGTAAAATAATAGTTCCTATACATCATGATATAATTACCTAAACTCCTTAAAAATCAAGCAAAGTGACTAATGTCAAATTTTACATAAAAAACCTTTCAAAACGGTATGGTTTTAACACATTTTCTTGCTCTAGAGCAGACGAGATCCCGATCCACGAATACTGAAGCCAATACACATCATTACGACTTTTTTGACACCGCTTCTTTGAGACCAATTATTTTTCTTGTATAATATCTTTCAGACTTTTTAAGCCCGTAATCTTCGGAGCAGAACAGGAGAGGACTTTGGTATCTGCCACCATCAATCACACTAAATTTTCTTGCGGTAAATTTTCACTACACAATGTTATACCTTCATAGTGGAAGTTGTTCGTCAACTTTGCCATAGCATCATATATACGCGGAAACAAACTACCCTTCAAACTGCGACACTCTTGCCTCGATACAATTAAAACAACCTGCCATATAGTGCCGATAATTCGTCCATTTGTTCCAAATCGGAGCTAGGATTTTTTTTCATAAAAAACGCAACGGTATCCGACAAATTACGTCAACTGTAGAACAAAATCGTGTCCTTCTTGTTACACATTCATGTCCGTAATGTTTATATCAGTTACTTGTCAAACATTCTGATTAGCACTTCATTAGAATATTGACTCCTTCCTCATAATACACGTATATGATACTGACAATACGTAATTTAGATTATTCGTGTGAGATTGTGAATTATTATATCACAAATCAAACTATTAGGTTTGCATAACTACTGATGGTAAGTGGTAAGAGCGTACTAGTAGGTACTACATATCACTGATGTAAGTAAATCTGACATGTTTGTCTGTGTGCTTGAAGGGTGGCGCAGCTGTTATAGTACACAAAATAATTGAGACTTGAACCATAGGTCTAAAGGAGGCGGTAGCCAAAATTTCTTAAATGTCTATGACATAGCTCTATAGCATATCCTTCTTCAAACGAGGCTTGTGGAGAGTACTTAACGGTAGGCGGAGGCTTTGCTCTGCCCCTGGCATTGCTGAAGTCCATGAGCGACGGTGACCACTCACCATCAGTCTCGTTTGCCTACAAGGGCAATAAAAAAAAATGTTGGTAGCGGCGTTCTCATTGTGATGTCTATAAGCTCCGACAGCAATTAACACCAAATGGGCCCTAAGCTCGTTCACACATATGTATACGAATTTTATAAAGATAATAAATACATTCAATGAATGGTAAAAATACGCTAATCTGTATTTTATAACACAAGTGGTCTTCTTCTTTTTCTTGCCCTCAATACACATTAGGTATGCGAGGTCTGGGCATTATGTCCTCTTATCATGCTGCATAGGAATTTGTCCTGAGTTTTACGACCGAACGTCCACTACTCTCCTTAGGTTCCTCATCCATACATCCATTGCAAAGTGCCACAGAGAGGGACTTTTCTGTTTCTGCTTTTGGTGTTTCTTTTTCTTCATCCATTTTTGGTTAGCATTGGCATTTTCTTATAAAAATAACACTAAAATTAAATTTTTAATAGAAAAAGATAACTATCACATGTCATTAGTTTTTCACTATTCATCACAAAGTCTATTGAACATCAATTTGGGACGTCTTTTATAGTGGGTTCGTACGCGCCTGTGCCATTCCTAAATAGTATTGAATGAAATCTAAATCTATAGAAATCGAACGACCTCCAACGTGTTTATAGAAAATATTTAATTGTATTTGCATTCAACAAAGCCGGTAGATGTCATTGTGGCTTCGCCCAAATATGTCACTGATGGTAGGACCTCTTGAGTCCGCACGGGTAGGTACCACCACCCTGCCTATTTCGGCCGTGAAGCAGTAATGCGTTTCGGTTTGAAGGGTGGAGCAGCCGTTGTAACTATACTGAGACCTTAGAACTTATATCTCAAGGTGGGTGGCGCACTTACGTTGTAGATATCTATGGGTTCCAGTAACCACTTAACACCAGGTGGGCTGTGAGCTCGTCCACCGAAGTAAGCAATGAAAAAATAAAAAAATCTAACTATGGATCCCTAGTGCCCTATCCTAGTACATTTACGATAATGAAGATCTTTAAAGTGCTCTATAAAATTATCGATATTTTCGGCTTTGTCGACCTAACTTAGCAACGCCCCACTTTTTTCAGTGTCTTGAGACGCGGCTAAGAGATTCACCGCAGAATTATTATACCGACATTCTAAGATGGCCAACTTGCATTTATGATTTTAAATATGGAACTGCTGTTATGTACACAAAACAAGTGAGACTTCGATATTACCTCTGTATGCAATAATAAAAAAATCATAATATACAGTTATACTCTATTCCAATTACGAAGTCCCATGAGACAGATGTTATTATTATTTTGTTGTGTGTGTGAATTAATTGTATAATGATTTAGATTGATTGTGTATTTTTTAAATGATGTTTACGACCATGAATAAAAATGTTTATAATTATTTCGAATTATGCGAAACGTGAAGAGTTACGCTCTAAGAAGTGTCAAAAGGGACTTCGTAATTGGAATAAAGTACTATAGTATATTTTACATTTGCTATTACAACTATGTATATGTCGAAAGAAAAAAAAATGTGAGCCGTCACGGGACGCCCGGGCGCCCGGCAGATGTGAAACATCAATATTAGTTTTTAAAAGTAATATGCAGAAAAGAACAGATTGTGATGGGAACTAAATATGTCATAATGATAAAATAAAATATTACGAAAAAATAATTTGTTTTCAAGTAAAACACAGGTTATGTGTACTGTAGTAAACAACACTGTATACACTAGGTATAGGTATCCGAGCTCAGTGTAGCGAGAGAGATGGCTTAACGCCGGATCGAGTGGGAGAGAATCGCAGTCGATTGCGCATGGCGACGCGTCGCCACAGCATGCCTCGCCACGCCAGAAATCGGTTTTACGTGTGGCTATAGATGTTTCACATCAAAAAGTGTGTGTGTGCAAGTCACACACGGTAGAAGTGAAACTTATAAATAAGATAGATATAGATATCCTGACTATCCCACTACACAGGAGCATACATATGAACAATGTTTATTAGACGATAGTGGGGATGCTACGAAGAGTCGCACAAAGAGGAGACCGAGAACGTATAATGTGTTCTATCTCATTTTCTCGCCGGCTGAATCCTATACATTTATGTGTTTGTGTCTCTGTGGACTTATTTTTTCGTTTCATCGAGTTTGAAATCACAACGATTCTAAAGATTCTAAATTTAACGGCCGTCTGGTGTAGTGGTAAGTGACATGGTCACTGCACAAGGGGGTCGCGGGTTCGAATCCCGCCGAGGGAAGATGTTTGTATGATAAATAATATATAAATGTCTTTTCCAGGGTTATGGATGTATATTAAATATATGTATGTGTATAATAAAAATCTTACATTTATATCCGTTATCTGGTACCTGTAACACAAGTTCTTTACGAACTTATCATGGGACCAGTTAACGTGGCGTGATTATTAGTAAATATTTATTTATTTAATTATAAAAAAAAAGAAAAAAGACATTTCAGTTCAAAAACATATAAGATTATAATTTGTTTACGATCACTCGTGCGTGTTCACTAACACAGCAAAATATGCGTAAATGAACTGTTAAAGTCAGATATACTAAAACGATGATAAAATCCGATGTCAGTGGCGCACATCAGGAGAATTCTCAGAAGTGGACAAGCTTGCACTGGTGACGATCATGGGATTTATCCGTAATACTAATCGCGTTCCCGACACATACAAATAAAAACTTATAACCTCATTCGATCGAAAATCACATGCGGGACACAAAATAAAACACCAGTTTCCTTAAAGCGTTTATTCCACGGATTCATTGAACATTAAAACTCTTAATAAATCACATAAAATATTGTGCTCTAAATATAACAACAAACACGCGCTTTTGCGTTAAGCGTAGCCAAACTAGCCAGTTTAAGTTGAAACACGAATTATTTTCACTCACGCTAGACATACGAGATACGCAAGACGTATCGTTAGATATCATTTGATTGTTTTGCCTAAATTTTCATATCGAGGGTTGAAAGATTATTTGGTTTAAGTGACATTTCGCTTAATACGCGACATTTATCTTTGTAATTAAAGGTCCCTTTTATGTGGTATCAGCATCAACTGTTCTAGATTTTTAATCGAACTCCAATTAAATTTACCCCATTCAAAGAGCTGAGCAAGTTTTTTATTGCGATACTAGCTGACCCGGCAGACTTCGTAGTGCCCCAATCGATAAATAAAAGACCTAAGCTTTTGTATAAAATAAACGGAAAAAAAATCAAAGGAAAAACAAAATTGTTATTTTTATTTAATACCGATCATTTTCATATTTTTCTACCTTTTAAACCTTCTCTGGACTTCCACAAATAATTCAAGACCAAAATTAGCCAAATCGGTCCAGCCGTTCTCGAGTTTTAGCGAGACTAACGAACGGCAATTAATTTTTATATATATAGATAGATTTGTATCCAAATTTTAAACTTTAAATGGTTCTCTTGTAAAATTGCAAAGATGTCGCTTCAACCAAATACCATTTCACCCTTCGATATATTATGTAGTTAGTTATTTTGTACAAAAATACTTCTCAGGTACATGCAATACTTTGGTTTTGAACGTTTTAGTTTTCGGTTAAAATGGCCGATGTTTCGGAACGTCGCTTACAAAAGCATTATTGTCATAAAATCGAGGCCATAGGACCGACGATACGTCAGTAAGGTTTCTTTACAAAATTTTCTTATTGGAAATTCTGTATCTTAGTATTTTTAGTAACTTATCGAATGCATTGTACGTGTTACGTGAATACAGAATTTTCTGGAAAAAAACTTTTGATGTGCCCAGATGGGGTAACATTTCAATACGTTATCTTTCTCACTCAGATGGACCCCAAAATTTTGTAGCTAAAAGTAAATTGACCCGTATCGTTTTAAAGTTTAATGACAAATAATCTTTTCATCTTTCATCAATACAGCCACGATATGATACTTCTATCTTAATAATAATTGTAAATATATTTATATGTTTATACATTTTTTAATACTATAATTCTCATAATAAATTTATTATTTGTCTCGACGCGACCATATAAAATAGCAAAAAACGGAAGCGTTAAATGTATATAACACTAAAAATATAATCAAAAGTGTACAAAAACAATATGCATTATATTTATCTTAATATAAAAAAGCAGAGAGGCATATTGACCCCACTTGAAGCCCGCGAGCCCAGAAAGATTACAAAAAAATCAGTAATTAGCATCGCCAGACTTTTACATATTGACATGTAATGTAGGTACTTTCAATTATTACCAAAAGTCGGATCTACAACTTTATTAAAAAAAAGAAACATTTTACATCGTAATTGGTTCTTGTCTATGGTAGTTTCTAGAAACAGTTGATCTATGGGAGCATTGGAAACCGTTTTTGGTTCAAATTGAATTAAATAATTTATTATAAAAGAAAATTTGTTCAAAACGATATCGTAGTGTAAATACACAAGACCATAATTATTTCGAATCCGGAAAACGATTTTTGTAAAAAATAAATAGATCAGACTTTTGGCTTTTAGGAAACACAAAACATACACCCGCGTATCGCGAAAATTTATATTGCAATAGCAACTTGAATTCATCTCTTGAATGATGATTTAAATTAAACATTTAATCACAATTTATTAACTAATAATCATTGTGCAGCAAATTAAATGATTTAAAAAAATCAAGGTATCTTTCATAAACTTAAATAAATGTGTATTTTGATTCACTATTCGATATCAACGTTTAAATCTTCAATCGTTTGAAGTATTGAATCAATAAATAGTTTCCAAAAAGAATGTTTATCACAAATACGTTTTTTTTTTTGGCAATTTTATTGAGTATCATTACAAACACATTGTTCGACTTTGCGAACTCCAATTAAGTGTTTTACTTATTAAAAATAGGCTTCGTTCTTTTTATAGTCAAAACAAACAAAGCATATTTCATTATAATATATAAATCCGTGTAACAATAGTTCATACAGTACACGTATCACAACCGAACACTATTTTATTTTATTATTAAAAAAAGAAAACAATATAATTAATAATCAACAAAAATCAACAATAAACGAAGCAAATGAATATAATGAATAATTTATCTTATAATTCCCTGGAATGGGTTTATAACTTTTAAGCCTCAAAATACTTTATAACAAATATTAAAACTTATTGATAAACAAATTTAACAAAATGAAAAAAATAAAAGTACGTTTTTCAGGTACGTAACAAAAAAATAATTGAAAAGTAAATATATTTGGTTCAGTAGCTAGCCGCCTTCATATCTGATATGGCTTTAAATATTTTTGTTAATGATAAAAATATGGATCACATAAATAAGAACATTGTGGGCTACTCGTGAATTCATATTTAAACATGCCATTAGAAATGGGACATAAACATATGAATTAAGAATTATACTTGATCCAACAATATACATAATATTAATTAATTTTATTGGTAACTTTGAATTAATGCAGACATATTGATATGCAATTTTTGTACGACAAATATAATAAATAATGTAAAACTGCTTTACGTCTATTCTCTTTGCCTTGTGGTTTATCTCTGTTTTTTTTAATAATAATTTGTGTATATTATAGATTTTAAATTCACTAAATTAAAGTACTATTTACTATTTTTAATTCGATATTATTATTCGAAATTGGTGTCCTAAATTGTATCCAACTTGTTTATGTGATCTATACAATAAACTAGATAAGTTATTACTAATAAAAATAAGGTGTTGTGACATTTTGTTTTTCCCTACATGTTTGATGGTGACCTAATGGGCTATATCAACTATGCGCGAACGGTGGAACATTTTGTAATTATTAAGTTGTAGTTAAGGACCGCCAAGACTTTATGCATGAAACTGGTTTAAGGTGGGTGAGGAGTAACTAAAGATTCAGTATTGAGATTGACTGAAAGAAAAATCGAATTGTTAACGTAACGTCTAGAACATTCTAAACCGGTGTTTCCCAACGTAGGGCCCACGCCCCACAAGGGGACAATTTGATATTTAAAGGCGACAATCGCACTAAAATTAATATACATAATATGTAGAAAAAACGTATTAAACGTATTATTTTGAATTTGAATTTCAGTTCCTAATTTTATCTTTTGAAATATTACTTACTGTGTTTTGATATAAATTTTATAGTGATTTCTTCCTAAAACCTATCATTTATGTTACTCAAGTGAATAAATCAATTTTTTAATGTTAAAATTTATGTATGGTGGGCATAAAAATTTTAGAAATGTTACAGTGGGGCAAAAAAGGTTAGGAAGCACTGTTCTAGACGCTAGAACGCACAGGAGTCAAACGAATGTTGAATGATCAAAGATGATGTTGGTTTCGATTTTGACCACTTAAGGCGTCAAAAAAGAGACATTTTGAACGAAATACCTATCAAACAATATCGTAGCTGAAATAATGTTAACAAAATATGAGGCGTCTTCCTATTTGATCTAAATACCAAAGGATCAAATTTGATTTGTGTCCAATACTGAAACAATACTGTACTGTGTGTACAATACTGAAACTTGTTATATTAAAACAATAATAAATACAGGTAATTGTAATCACTTATCTACCTACAATTTATTAGTAATAACTCAACTAGCGTAAATATATCACGCATACAGCCATTGAACGACTATTAAAGGTGGCGCCTTCTTATAAATTCAATAACAGTATCAAATTGTAAATAAATATGCATGGGTATATCACACCTTTAGAATTGAAGTAGCTTAATCCAAAATTCTTGTTTTTTTGTAAACGTCAAAATGTAATTAAAGAAATGTAATTTTCCGTTTCAATTTTAATACTTTAAGCCTTAAAGATTTAAAAGTGACGAAAAGTGTAGGTACTTTGTCTTTTTCTAAATTTAAAAATTTAATTTTAAGTTTTATAAACTCATAAAATACATACATATTTATATAAATAGTTCATATTATTAAAACTCATTTTCTAATTATTTTTTATTTAAGCTACTTAAATTCTAAAGATACGATATATATATATATATAAACTCGTATATCTCTGCAGCTTATTCTTTCTTTTGTATAAGACAAAAATATAATAAATAAATGAAAAACCTGCATGTGCATTCATTCGTAGCGCTAGGCGGTAGGGATCCGGTCCCGCAGGTACGAGAGCACTGAGGCGGTGCCCTTCGCCAGCACGGCGTGCCGGGGCTGACGGAAACAGTTGCCCATCAACTCCAGTGTCCTGCAACAGAACGGTGCTTGAGTAAAATAGATATCGAGGGCTATTTGGCTTAATACGTGACATTTACTGGTGGTAAGACCTCTTGTGAGTCCGCACGGGTGGTGGTACCGACGGCCACCAGGAGGCACCGATCGTATGATGAAGTTTCTGTGAGATTATATCACGGAGGATATTATAGCTGAAACTAGACTAGGAAACTAGACTAGGAAACGAGTAGCCAGACAAATAAGCATTGTGGTTTAAACAATTTTAATAGGACAATGGGATACAGCCGTAATAGATGATAATCGGAATTTCGCATTTCTTATTCAATTGTTTCATTAGAACTTATATTTGTATGGAGTCGGAACGTTTGCGTACGTTTGCCGCTAGGGGCGCTGTTCCAACTGCATACAAATTTTGCATTAACTTTTACACGATCGAGTACGTTAAAAAACTCGCACTAAGCTCATAGAACACATAACTGATATGTATTTCTTATCTATGTATCTTTGTATGTATGTATCTATGTATTTGTTTTAGCAATGTAATTTATAACCTATATTTTTTTTATTTTTTTTCATCTCTTTTTATCTACAATCAGTATCCACAAATAACCTATATAGTGTTCATTTTACTCATGTCTACTGTAATTCTTTAAATTATCGCCATGTATTAACTTCATCACAGCTAACGCACTTCTTGAATCTTTCACTTCGTCCACAAGGCTTAACTGGAAGAGAATGCCTGCATAGCGTTAAGTTCGCCTTTGTACACTATTTTGTGCAATAAAGAATTTTCATTCATTCATTAATTCATTCAACTGCTTCACGGCAGTATAAGCAGGGCTGTGATACCTACAATTGCGGACTCACAAGACGCCCTACGGACCAGTAAATAAACAATAGGAACGAACCTCAGATGCGTGAAGTTCCCGAGCTCGGGCGGTACTGTAGAGATGCTGTTATTGGCCAGGTCGAGGACGGCCAGCTTGCCGAGGCGGGCGAGCGCGTCCGACGATACATTAATTTCCTCGATCTGATTATAGGCGGCCAGCAATATCTCCAAGTTCTCCAAATCATAAACGCAACGAGGGATTTTCGTAAACCTTAAAAATATATATAGATATACTTTTTTTTTTCTTTCCTACCTAATCTGGTAGCCTGGAGCGGCTATTCCAGCGTAACCGTGGCTAGTAGGTGAGCTCATGGGGCTCAAACCTGGCGACGATGCTAACACGAACCCTAGCAAGAGCCGTGCTTCGCAGAATCTACCACCGGATCGGAAACGCGACCCACTGAAAAGATCCGGCGAGAAACTCAGTGGACTGTGTCTGAGAGTTAATTTACTCGTCGAGCCCTTCGTCGCAAACGACGGGTTCGACGAGAACGGTGACCGGTGCTTGAAGTACCTAAAAGCACCGTTAGTGGATCGGGAGGATCCGAGATAACGTGTTTTGGGCGACGTCGACTGCTTTCCATTCTGTCCGCAGGATCGGGCATGTAGTTACCGGCGGCCACGATGAGAGGGTTCTCGTGTCGTGTCGCTTTATCGAAGTGGCGCATCGACGCCGACTGTAAATACTTACTGACGGACTCTAAGTCCAGGTCGTCATGGAGGTCGACGTTCCTGACGAACCACGGGGCTCCGACGGCTATCCTGCAAAAACGGGATTGAATAATCTAGAAGGATTTTGTATTTTTAACACAGCGCCATCTATGAGATATTAATGTCAGACAGTATTACAATTGTCTGTAAAAACTGATTTAAGACGCCATCTGTTTTAGAATTATGAAACATACTACAATTAATAACAAAAATCAACATAAGAAATCATTTTGTTGTTAATTAATAAATATTGCGACCATTAATCGAAATAAAAACCATTCTATCTTTCAAGTTGGATCAAACTGCACACGGTGTGCAATTTAATTTAAAATCGGTTAAGTAGTTTAGGAGTCCATCGCGGACAAACAACGTGACACGTGATTTATATATATTAAGATTTTTACCTTCTTTGTAGTAAAATTTTAAAATGTATCGAATTTCTTCATTAGATTCACTCATCTAGACTACGAAAAATAAATAAAAATCACACATTTTCCTAATTTGAATTAGAAATTATCTTCTTTAAAATTTAAACTTTTAATGATACCAAAACCAGCCAGATACAAATAGTATAGGCAAAGAGATGTTATTACAAGTTTGTAGGAATATACGACAAAGGGAAGATCTTCCACCGAGCGGGTGATATTGCTCGGTAGACCGACGGTCCGAATGTTGTTGTTCGGAACTTGTATATATGCGCTTTATCTTGAAAATGTCGTAAGCGAGATTCAGGCATCTGTCAATTATCTTGCGTTGTATGATGGCTACCCGCCACAAGTTCATACATACTATAATGCATGTATATATAATATAATATATTGTTACTTTCAATGGATATCTAGTTTTAACGGATCCCATAGACGCGGTAAGGTTTGCATCGTTGTTTAAATTAGAACGGATGGTTTTTTTCCTACCTACTCTAGTAACCTCGAGGGGTTATTCTAGATTCACCGAAAAAAAAAGAAAGACATGGACAAAGAAAATATCAGGGCACAACCATGTATGTTCCTATATCTTTATAATTATATGGATTATTTCAGAACGAATAAACAATAAAAGACTTAATTGCGTTTTATGTTATAAAGTAAGAAAAAACCATTTAAAGCCCTTAATCTCTTTTAAAATTATGTAATATAAAAAATTAAACAATATTATTAATATACTATAAAAAACTGAAATTTCTTTTCACTGAATGACAGAGAGGTAAGTGATTCTAAAAAACATTTTTTTTAAAACAAAAGAGTTTTAATGATTTTAAATGATAAAGGTTTTTCTTTACATATATATATTGAAACCTGAATACTCTTCTCAAACCTTGTTAATTTAAATAAAATAACACTGAGGAAAAAACCACATACGAGTCAACAAATTCACGTCAACGTAAAGAGTTATGTTCTGGTGTCGGGTACTACGGTAATTAAAATTGAGACATAAGCATCAGTACCATTCGTCCATCAGTTTATACCGTTGGCTTGAAAGACCATACATTTAAAAAAGTTTAAAGTAACACTCACTTGTTATTCGATATGACGAGTTCCCTCAAGTATTTCAGGGAACCAATCTCCTTTGGTAATTCGGTGAGACAGTTCTTCCCCAAGTCTATATACTGGATATGTACGCAGGTGCTTATCTCCGGTGGAAAATTCGATATATTGTTCGACGATAGCACTAATTGCGTCAGCGATTCTTTAACTTGACAGATTCTGCAAAAATAATTAGGTTACATTTTGATTGAACCCAAGTAAATATTCTTACAAAAAAAAAACTGGTGCACGTGCAACTTGGTGCACGTGAAAGAAGTAAAACTTCAATGTACCTTAATAAATAAAATTAGCTTAAAAATAAGTTAATGCCGGTATTCGATGATTACCGAACGAGAACCTTAGGTTTCGTGTGTTAGGAGTGGTTTTTTTTTATTGCTTAGATTGGTGGACGAGCTCACAGCCAACTTGGTTGTTAAGTGGTTACTGGAGTCCAGACATCTACAGCGTAAATGCGCCACCCACCTTGAGATATACGTTCTAAGGTCTCAGTATAGTTACAACGGCTGCCCCACCCTTCAACGCATTACTGCTTCACGGTAGAAATAGGCAGGGTGGTGGTACCTACCCGTGCGAATTCACAAGAGGTCCTACCACCAGTAGTTTGCGAGACGTTCTATTTTCTTACTCTCACTCTACTTAAATTGTATTTTCTCTCTCTAGCCTTAACGAATCTATCGCGAGTTAAATTTTACTCTCAACGCGCCTAAAGAAGTTTCACTTCAAAAATAATGAAGTAGGTGTAGCTACAACAGCCCGATGTTAAATTTTCTCCCGATTACTGTAATATGTATCTGTATAATCAATTGTAACATACAAACTAATTGTATTTTAAATCAACAGAAACTCACCCAAAAGGCACACTGGTTAACTTGTTCTTGGACAGATCTATAATATGGACCTCCGCATCGGCCGCCGCTTTGAACACTTCGTCTGGTACGTTTTGTAGCTCGCGCGATGGCAACATCAACGCCTGACTTTTCTTCAACGTGTATCTGTAAAAACGGAAATACAATCAAAATTAAAAACTGTTAATTTCCATGATCCGCGCAATAGTTGAATGGATTTGGATAAAACTTAGAAGTTTTATAGTTTTATAGTTTATGTATAGATACAAAGTTCAACAAATAAACTGTTCCTTGAAACTTAAATCCGAACTGTTCGGCGATCAGGCTTTTCGAAGTGTTTTTTTTTGTGTTAAGTGGTTACTGGAGCCCATAGACGTCTACAACGTAAAAGCGCCACCCACCTTGAGATATAAGTTCTAAGGTCTCAAGTATAGTTACAACGGCTGCCCCACCCTTCAAACCGAAACGCATTACTGCTTCACGGAAGAAATAGGCAGGGCCGTGGTACCTACCCGCGCAGACTCACAAGAGGTCTTACCACCAGTAAAAAGGTTGAAGTCACAAAGGCGTTTCCGTAATAGCCGTTCGTATAGCTTGCCTAGCGCTAGGAGGAGGCTGATTGGGCGGTAGCTCGCAGAAATTCGAAGTGAAGCATAATACAATACAATGTTAATTTCCCGCTTCATTCACATTGCGATGTTTCCATGTTTTTTTTAATTGCTTAAATAGGTGGACGAGCTTACGGCCCATCCGGTGCTAACTGCTTGCCGGAGCCCATAGACATCAGCAGCGTAGATGCTAAAATCCACCTTAAAATCAGAGTTCTAAGATTTACAGTACAACAGCTGCCCTATGCTTCAAACCGAAACGCATTACTGCTTCACGACAGAAACAGGCAGGGTAGTGGTACCTGTCCGTGCGGGCTCACAATAAGGCCTAACATCAATATATGTTTTAATGAAACAATTAAATAAAAAATGCGACAGTCCGATTATGATGAATATGTCAGTCTGAATATGCAAATAAAATTCGAAAATATCAATTTTAACTATTCCGTGCTATAATTGTGCATTGTAATTGTAATTTTTTATAATTTAATATAGGCATGTATTTCAATGTTTTTATTGTTGTTGTTGCGGTTATTGTTATTATTCTAAGCTCAGATAATGATTGGTCGGTCTGATGCTGGTGTGCACGTCTGTCCGCAGGTGCCGGCGGAAGATCAGCGCCCCGGTACCGATCGTCTCGATACTCTTAGGCATTGCTGAGCCGGTAACCCTTTCCAAGCCTCGTTATTTTTCTTTTAATTTTTGTTTCATTTTTTGTAAATTTATGTTTGGAATAAATGTTTATTATTATTATTATCATCTAGGACAACTAAAATCCATTGTACTATTAAAATTGTTTAAACCACAATGCGTACTTATCTGGCCACTCGTTTTCCAGTCTGGTTTCAGCTAAAATTTCCTCCGTGATACGATCTCGAAGAAACTTCATCATGCGATCGGTGCCTCCTCTGATGATGTCCTGCCTCACGAACGACAGCCTGTTACCGTCCATGTTGATGCTTTGTAATTGTGACATTAAACCTAAATTTCTTGGCAACCTGTTAAAGAGAACACATCTTGAGAAGCACGCCTTATATATGTCTCGTCTTCGTTTCGGAAAAAAAAATTTCTTCGTTAATATGACATGACAGTGACGTGATATGACAGAGACCGCAATGTAACGAAAAAAAATTACGCTTGCATTTAAAAGTACACGGGAACCTGAACAAAAAAATACGATGAAAATATTTGTTTTTCTTTTATTATATAGAATAATCATTAAAGAATACCAACATACTTTATTTCAATCTAAACAAGTTGAAATTATAAATAAGTATACAATTTTATTACTAGGAATTTTTTAAACTAAATATTACTACTAAACTTACTAGATAAGATTGATCACATAGATACTCATCTAGAAATATTATCGGAACAAACTAAACTTACTTATTTAAATTGTTATTAGTGAGATCCAGCCTTTTCAATTTTTGCAATAGTGATATGTTCTCTGGCAACACTTCGAGTTTATTGTCGCGTATGTTTAATATGCTCAAGTGTTGCATTTGGTCGCAAAACTCTTCGGTTATCTCCTAAAACGTAAACACGGTCAAAAACGATCTTACATTAATAGTCTGATCGATAGATCAGGATTATAGGAATTTGTGATGACCAGAATTATTAAAGGTCCTACACCTACTACTCCCATTCGTATGTGGTGCTAGACATCATTATCCTATTTTGAAACTTATAATTGATAAACAACTAATTTGGTCGCGAGAACCTCGAATATTCACAAAAAACACCTCTGATGTTCGTACAACTTTACATTGGATCCCAATGTAACACATTACAATAAATAAATAAATCTTGCAATTATTCTGCTACTCTGTTCTCTCTTGTTTTTATTACATTTTTAATAATATTTACATTGACTGAGGAATAGTGTACAATTAACTAGTAGAACTCGTAGCTTACTTTGATATAATTGTTGGCTAAATATATTTCCTTGAGCGCCGTACAACCGTAGAAGTCTGGCAACTCTTCAATATCATTATGGTTTGCGTCCAAAATTTCCATTTTTCTCAACTCGCCTAGCGGAGGCATCTTTTTTAGATTATTATTACTAATGTTTAGCTTTTTCAAATCTAGAACAAAGGAGTTTATATGAAATGACATATTTATGTTGTTTAATTTTACATTCTTCTATTTTGTATTCCAATTAGGTAACATATGCTTGTAAAGTTATTGTACAAGAGGAAGCTATGTTATGAATGTAACTATATGGGTTAGTATTGTTGTGTTTACATTTCTGTGGTTTAAGGGGCGTCTTCCAAGCGTTCCAAACAGTGATAGAAATTTCCTGGAAGGTACACTATACAACCTAGCGCAAGTAAAAATGACATTAATTCTTCTTCGTTGCTACACTCTTGGCAGTAGTCGTGGCTGTCATATCATCAGTGACGTATTTCACAACCCTACACTACTCTTGCTTTCCGGCTGCGCGTCCGGTGCTTAAGTGTAGATAGAAGACAATCTATTACATTCTTGACATGGTCGGTCCACTTTGAGAGAGATGTGCTGCACAGTCTGTCTCCCTCTAACCTGCCCTGCACCACACTAGACGCTTTTTGCACTTATGTAGTGGCATGTGCCACAGGACGCAAGATCAGTTATGTGAGAGAACGTACAGGCGGCGTGATAATGTCAATATCTCATTACAGAATGTTGATGAATAATTAAGGTTATAAATTTACGAATACGTACCTCTTAAATTGACAATATCAGGCGGTAGCTCAAGTAGCTGGTTGTGCGAAAGATTCAGTTCGACTAGACGCACGAGATATCCCATTCCGGGAGGTAATACTGTTAGTTTGTTGTGCGACAAGTCCTTAAAATAACAAATAATCCATTATATACTCTACATACTTATTTTAGGGTACATTTTAAATTATATCTCAAGGTGGGTGGCGCATTAACGTTGTGGATGTCTATGGGCTCCAGTAACCACTCAACACCAGGTGGGCTGTGAGCTCTTCCACCCATCTAAGCAAACAAAAAAATTATACTGCTAAAATAGGACTAACCTATTGACAAATGACTATATGATCTCTATGAAATGTTTCAGTATTAAAGGATGAACAGAGATAAATTAAAGCACTAGAGACATTACAGAGCAGAGCAGAGATTACAGAATAAGCATGTTGGTGTCTCAAAACTTGAAAATATCAAAATTTAGGCAAATAAATAATTATAAAATTATAGCAATGTGTCCTTACTAAAAAATTTAACATGACAAGATCTCCGAAATCTGGTTCGATTTTTTTCAGTGCATTGTGTGATAGACCGAGCCACCTCAGTTCTGTTAATCTGTAGAACTCTTTAGGTAGAACTGACAGTTGATTGTGGTCTAAGCTTAAATTCGATAAATTCTTGAGGTCACCAAATTCCGGTGGTAAGCTTTCAATAGCGTTGTCGTGCAACTGGAATGGTAAAAAAGTAAATATTAGAAATAAAAACTAGAAAATTAATAATTGTTTATTTGAATTGTTATAAATATTTCCAAGAAGAAAACCAAACCCTTCAAATTCAAATTCAATTCATATTAATCAGCATTTATGTCAGACCCTTAGCTTTAAAGGGTTAAACTTGGAAAGTAGAAGAAAATCCTATGAATTTAGGAATAAAATATTCTTATATTATATTATTATATATGAGTCGTCTATTATCAAAGGTGGCAATCTGTACATTTGGACAAAAAAATGTTATTGATATGTCAATACAGATTGATTTGAATATAATTGTCTCCTTCAAAGAATACGGTTCAAAACCTGCATTAAATAAAGGTTAATACTTAACCTGTTATCTATCTAAGATGTCGTTCAGAAGAGTTTTGTGACTGCCAATGGAATACAAAGTCAATAATTCTTTTTTCTGATTTACCAATAATTGTCCAAAAGTCACATTGCCGGCTTTGATAATAGTCGACTCATATATAACTATTCTTATTTTAGTGGTATAAAGATATTAGATCAAAGTATATAAATCACTAACTGCTCTAACAACTCTAAGTAATACACTTCTATAAAAGCACTACTAATAAACAAAAACTTCACCAAAAATAGTTTAAAAATAAAGTGCTGTGACTGTTCATTTTAACCATAGAACCTATAAGAACCACAATACTACCAGTCTACTTGATACCACAAAACTCAATTTCAATGAATAATGCCCCACCAGATACCTGCGAAGAGCCTGCTAAACACTTAAGCTTCTGCTTCTGAGCAAAACTAAGCTTGATATTGCTGAGCAGGCTCACAACTACTTTACCATGTGCCTTTTACCAAATAAATAAGAGCATAGTCACTTATGAATATATAATCAGCATACATTTTTATATCCAAGAACGAACATATGAGTCGTCTATTATCAAAGGTGGCAATCTGTGCATTTGGACAAAAAAAAATTATTGATATGTCAATACAGATTGATTTGAATATAATCGTCTCCTTCAAAGAATACGGTTCAAAACCTGCATTAAATAAAGGTTAATAGTTAACCTGTTATTTATCTAAGATGTCGTCCCGAAGAGTTTTGTGACTGCCAATGGAATATAAAGTCAATAATTCGTTTTTCTGATTTACCAATCATTGTCCAAAAGTCAGATTGCCGGCTTTGATAATAGTCGACAACAGTGCAACTATCATCTTACCTGTTACACTACACAAACTGAACACATTATTTCCTTCTTTGACATTTTTCTATTTGATGTTTATATAGCCATAAATACAATAAATAAATACTGAGTTAAAGGATATTATTGCAAATGAATAATTCATACTGAAATCCTCTCCGTGTTAATCATTGTCATCAACTATAGTATAAAAATAGGTTCTGGTTTACCTTGAGTGTAATAAGTTGTTGCAAAAGTCTCACATTCGGAGATATAATTTTTATAACATTTGAGCTGAGATCCAGAGTCTTCAATGGCTCATAATTCCACCAACTCTGTTGATCTGATCTTGTAAAATCTACATCTTTAGTTTCATCCATTACTAATTCATCTATCTTCCAAACATTTTCTGGTACTGTAAGATAAAAATAAATAAGCATCTTAATGCTATTACACATTTTCACTATCCAGTATAATGTTATATTAAATGTAGGCTTACTGATGTTTAGACCTTAGTTTTTCATAGCCGTTTTATACCATAATAATTTAGTGATAGTTACCATAATTTTATTACATATCAGTACAAATATTAATCAATTTGATACATTATATTTATAGCTGGATCATGGTAATAAACAAGCTCACACTGCATCACCAGTATTCAAAAAGGAATAAAGGCAAAAATCCAGTAAAGAAGTTAAAAATACTACTCCTGATGGTTGATCATGATTAACTTACTTTTGTAGTGTGTTGTTGTAATATATGAGTCGTCTATTATCAAAGGCGGCAATCTGTACATTTGGACAAAAAATTTTATTGATATGTCAATACAGATTTATTTGAATATAATCGTCTCCTTCAAAGAATACGGTTCAAAACCTGCATTAAATAAAGGTTAATAGTTAACCTGTTATTTATCTAAGATGTCGTTCCGAAGAGTTTTGTGACTGCCAATGGAATACAAAGTCAATAATTCGTTTTTCTGATTTACCAATCATTGTCCAAAAGTCAGATTGCCGGCTTTGATAATAGTCGACAACAGTGCAACTATCATCTTACCTGTTACACTACACAAACTGAACACATTATTTCCTTCTTTGACATTTTTCTATTTGATGTTTATATAGCCATAAATACAATAAATAAATACTGAGTTAAAGGATATTATTGCAAATGAATAATTCATACTGAAATCCTCTCCGTGTTAATCATTGTCATCAACTATAGTATAAAAATAGGTTCTGGTTTACCTTGAGTGTAATAAGTTGTTGCAAAAGTCTCACATTCGGAGATATAATTTTTATAACATTTGAGCTGAGATCCAGAGTCTTCAATGGCTCATAATTCCACCAACTCTGTTGATCTGATCTTGTAAAATCTACATCTTTAGTTTCATCCATTACTAATTCATCTATCTTCCAAACATTTTCTGGTACTGTAAGATAAAAATAAATAAGCATCTTAATGCTATTACACATTTTCACTATCCAGTATAATGTTATATTAAATGTAGGCTTACTGATGTTTAGACCTTAGTTTTTCATAGCCGTTTTATACCATAATAATTTAGTGATAGTTACCATAATTTTATTACATATCAGTACAAATATTAATCAATTTGATACATTATATTTATAGCTGGATCATGGTAATAAACAAGCTCACACTGCATCACCAGTATTCAAAAAGGAATAAAGGCAAAAATCCAGTAAAGAAGTTAAAAATACTACTCCTGATGGTTGATCATGATTAACTTACTTTTGTAGTGTGTTGTTGTAATATATGAGTCGTCTATTATCAAAGGCGGCAATCTGTACATTTGGACAAAAAATTTTATTGATATGTCAATACAGATTTATTTGAATATAATCGTCTCCTTCAAAGAATACGGTTCAAAACCTGCATTAAATAAAGGTTAATAGTTAACCTGTTATTTATCTAAGATGTCGTTCCGAAGAGTTTTGTGACTGCCAATGGAATACAAAGTCAATAATTCGTTTTTCTGATTTACCAATCATTGTCCAAAAGTCAGATTGCCGCCTTTGATAATAGTCGACTCATATAGAACTGTTGATTTATTTTAAAATGCAGTGTCTATGTGCAGAATGATTTTTTTACTTTTATGGAAAATGTGTTATTTAATGTATTAAAACATATTATAAGTACAGACAGTAAGACGGAAGTCTTATTTTTGACCTTAGTAATTTACAATTGCACTGTGCAAGAATCAAATAATTATTTTACACTATAATCATAAAAATATATTTATTTCTACATTTGGTATTATTATTAACGCTAGATTTAAGTAGCGATTGTCGTAATATATAAGTATATTGCGGAGTAAATAAAATACGTTTTATAGCTACATAATATTGGAGTTTACTTTAAGATAAGATACCTAAAATATTCTCACCTGTTCCAAGACCTCTGTTGCACAAACTTAACTGTCCAGTTCTCTTCGCTGATTTTACCAAGCCCATTGATAATTCATTTTCGTCAGCCTTTTTATCTTGAAGATGAAAAATTGATCTATCAGTTACTTTTATTTTCGACCTCACAGGTAATTTTCGCGACATTACTACAATGTTGTTTGTTATGGAAACAAATGTTTTTTTGTAATACTCCGTAGACAGATAAGGTTTAATTAGTAGAGCTGTTTTCTGTTATCGCTAAAGTCTGGTAAAATGCAGTATGAATATGACAATAACATAATGACTGTAAATAATGTCCCCTCATTCAACAGCCAATCCCCATCCTGGCTAATACATTAAATCAAAGAGTAAGGTAAATAGGCGGTTTCAATTAAAATCTTTAAAAAGCATATTACTGCACTCTTTGTTAGATGTTAGTAACGTATACGGTTGAAAATTTAGATTTTAATTAAGCTTTTTTTTCATATTACTGTTAATAACGAAGAGTTTTATAAGACTATTATTAAATTTGCAAAATGACATTGTGTAGGTACTACCTACATGATCTGTGACAATACTGACAATCTAATTCAATCTATGTTACCTATCAAACCGACTTTTTGGCGGGAACGCGAGTGTTTTATTTTGTCTATTTAGTGTTTCTTCGGGTTTAAATGTGTAATAATAATAATAATAATAATCCCATTTTATTTCCAAAAACAAAGAAAGAAAAAAGAAAAAACACCTTATCAAATAAAAATTACAAAATTAAATATAAACTTATGTTTGGAACCCCATTCGGGTATAGGCCTCCTCCAGCTTGCTCCACTCTTCCCTATCCTTGGCTTTGTTTCTCCATTCTTTTCCAGTTGCTGCTATTATTTCGTCGATCCATCTGCTTCTTGGTCGTCTTTTTCTTCTTTTGCCCGCTGGTCCTTCCCATGTTGTAATTTCTAATGTCCATTTTTTATCCGTATATCTCGCAGGATGTCCTGCCCAGCGCCACTTTTGTGTCAGAGCGTACCTGAGAGCATCTATCAGCTTTGTTTTTTCTCTAATGTATTCGCTTCTTATCCTTTGTATTTTTATAATTCAATATACTTCTTTCCATCGCTTTCTGACAGGTCGCTAATTTTGTTTTTATTTTTGTGTTGTAAGTCCATGTTTGGCACCCATATAAGAGAGTCGGAAGAATACAGGTATCCATCACAGTCTTTTTCAGGTGAAGAGGGAAGGACCCTTTTAGAATTTCCTTTAAGCTCCAGAATTTTTTCCAAGTTATATTGATTCGGCGTTCGACTTCTTCTTCATCGTTGTTGTCTTTAAATGAAATTAATTTTCCGAGATATATAATTATATGAGTCGACTATTATCAAAGCCGGCAATGTGACTTTTGGACAATTATTGGTAAATCAGAAAAACGAATTATTGACTTTGTATTCCATTGGCAGTCACAAAACTCTTCTGAACGACATCTTACATAAATAACAGGTTAAGTATTAACCTTTATTTAATGCAGGTTTTGAACCGTATTCTTTGAAGGAGACGATGATATTCAAATCAATCTGTATTGACATATCAATAATTTTTTTTTATCCAAATGCACAGATTGCCACCTTTGATAATAGACGACTCATATGATCTATTGTGGAAAAACCCGAACGGAGTCCTGCTTGTCCGATCGGCTGGTGTTCATAAATTTTTGGAGTGATTCTGCTTTTTAAAATTGATGTGAATAGTTTGTACATACTCGAAAGGAGGCTAATAGGCCTGTAGTTGCCTATGTCATTTGGATCTCCCTTTTAGAGCAGTAAGATTATATCGGATCTTTTCCACTGTTCTGGCACTTCCCCAGTATCGAGTACTTTGTTAAATAAGTAAGTAAGAGGGTGAACTAACAAAGCAGAACCAGTCTTTATAGCCTCATTTTGTAAACCATCGGGTCCTGGGATTTTGTCTTGCTTCATCTTTTTAATGTGTTTAATAATTTCCTTACCGCTTATTGGTGCTATATCTACCTTCTCCGAAGCGATTTTACAATACTTGCAATACTTACTAGAATAATAAGCAATTGAACTCGAAGAGATGTCAACTTTCCTGCCATATAGTACTTTAAAAAATTCTGTAGCACAATTTATTACACTGTCTCTAGTTTTGGTCTCTTTGGTGCTTGTTTTACCGTCCGATTAGTCTCCTCCCAGCGATAGGCAAATTTTACGAACGGCTCCTTCGGAAACGCCTCTGGGACTTCGTTACCGCGAATAAAATTCTAATAGACGAGCAGTTTGGATTCGGTGCCAAACACTCGTGCGTACAACAAGTGCACCGCCTCACAGAGCACATCTTAATAGGGCTAAATAGGCGTAAACAAATCCCGACCGGCGCCCTCTTCTTCGATGTAGCGAAGGCGTTCGACAAAGTCTGGCACAACGGTTTGATCTACAAACTGTACAACATGGGAGTGCCAGACAGACTCGTGCTCATCATACGAGACTTCTTGTCGAACCGTTCGTTTCGATATCAAGTAGAGGGAACTCNAGCGTACCTGAGAGCATCTATCAGCTTTGTTTTTTCTCTAATGTATTCGCTTCTTATCCTTTGTATTTTTCTTATATTCAATATACTTCTTTCCATCGCTTTCTGACAGGTCGCTAATTTTGTTTTTATTTTTGTGTTGTAAGTCCATGTTTGGCACCCATATAAGAGAGTCGGAAGAATACAGGTATCCATCACAGTCTTTTTCATGTGAAGAGGGAAGGACCCTTTTAGAATTTCCTTTAAGCTCCAGAATTTTTTCCAAGTTATATTGATTCGGCGTTCGACTTCTTCTTCATCGTTGTTGTCTTTAAATGAAATTAATTTTCCGAGATATATATATAGCTGTTTACGTACTCTAACGGTTTGCCATACAAGCTGATTTTATCAGTACTACTGTTTGTCATTACTTTGGTTTTGTCTTGGGTCATTTTGAGACCGACTTTTTCGCTTTCCTCGCTTAAAATATTTATCATTTTTTCGACTTTTTCGTTTGTTTCAGCGAAGAAAACGATATCATCAGCAAATCTCAAATGTGTAAGTCGCTTCCCATTTACTTTGATTCCGTTCGATGGCCAGTGTACATTTTCAAAGATAAGCTGTAGTACTGCTATAAACAGCTTAGGCGACAAAGGATCACCCTGTCTTACTCCCCGTTTTTCCAGTTTGACTCTGCTGATACTTCCATCATAGATGTTTTTTAATATTTTTATGTATTTATCATGAACGTGACAGTTATCTAGGGCTTTCCATATGAAATTATGTACGATTGTTTTGAAGGCTTTAGCATAGTCGATGAAAGCTATGTACAGTGGTCTATTGAACTCTTTATATTTCTCTATAACTTGTTGTATAACATGTATAATATGATCTATTGTGGAAAAACCCGAACGGAATCCTGCTTGTTCGATCGGCTGGTGTTCATAAATTTTTGGAGTGATTCTGCTTTGTAAAATTGATGTGAATAGTTTGTATATACTCGAAAGGAGGCTAATAGGCCTGTAGTTGCCTATGTCATTTGGATCTCCCTTTTTGAGCAGTAAGATTATATCGGATCTTTTCCACTGTTCTGGCACTTCCCCAGTATCGAGTACTTTGTTAAATAAGTAAGAGGGTGAACTAACAAAGCAGAACCAGTCTTTATAGCCTCATTTTGTAAACCATCGGGTCCTGGGCTTTTGTCTTGCTTCATCTTTTTAATGTGTTTCATAATTTCCTTACCGCTTATTGGTGCTATATCTACCTTCTCCGAAGCGATTTTACAATACTTGCAATACTTACTAAAATAATAAGCAATTGAACTCGAAGAGATGTCAACTTTCCTGCCATATAGTTCTTTAAAAAATTCTGTAGCACAATTTATTACACTGTCTCTAGTTTTGGTCTCTTTGGTGCTTGTTATACCGTCCGATTAGTCTCCTCCAAGCGATAGGCAAAATTTACGAACGGCTCCTTTGGAAAAGCCTCTGGGACTTCGTTACCGCCAATAAAATTCTAATAGACGAGCAGTTTGGATTCCGCGCCAAACACTCGTGCGTACAACAAGTGCACCGCCTCACAGAGCACATCTTAATAGGGCTAAATAGGCGTAAACAAATCCCGACCGGCGCCCTCTTCTTCGATGTAGCGAAGGCGTTCGACAAAGTCTGGCACAACGGTTTGATCTACAAACTGTACAACATGGGAGTGCCAGACAGACTCGTGCTCATCATACGAGACTTCTTGTTGAACCGTTCGTTTCGATATCAAGTAGAGGGAACTCGTTCTTGTCCCCGTCATCTGACTGCCGGAGTCCCGCAAGGCTCCGCACTCTCCCCGTTACTATTTAGTTTGTATATGAACGATATACCCCGGTCTCCGGAGACCCATCTAGCGCTCTTCGCCGATGACACGGCTATCTACTACTCGTGTAGGAAGATGTCGTTGCTTCATCGGCGACTCCAGATCGCAGTAACCACCATGGGACAGTGGTTCCGGAAGCGGCGAATAGACATCAACCCCACGAAAAGCACAGCGGTGCTATTCAAAAGGGGTCGCCCTCCGAACTTGGCCCTGGCATTGCTGAAGTCCATGGGTGACAGTAACCACTCACCATCAGGTCGGCCGTATGCTCGTCTGCCAACCAGGGCAATAAAAAAGAAGAATAAATTCAGTATTTATACTCCATAATTTACTCTATAATTACTTTAACTTTATTTTTAACTAAAAATTATACTTAGGCCGTCTTTGAGCTTTTGGAGATGCTACGTAGAATTAGGTATTCATGATTTAATGAGACTCTAACAATGAAATAAAACATAACTTTTTATAACGTCGTTGTTACGTAACATGTTAAATGAAATTATCACTTGTAAACTACAACATAAAAACTAAAACCTTTTCATGTGAATGACATTGGAATATTTCAACCCTATTGATTTTATCAAGATTTTTATTGACCTTTTAATTTAACTTATCAAATGCTGAATGAATTTTTTTTATGAATGAAGAATTACTAGTGGCCCGGAGGCTTTACCAGATTCACCGGGACAGGTGGGATACGATTTTCTAATAACCGCCCAAGCGCCTCCAAAGGAGACCTAACAACTCAAGAGCAGCTGCTTCACGAATGAGTCTACTACCGGATCGCGACCTGCTGAGACATTTGCGGCGAGAAACTCAGCAGGCTGATGCATGGGTTAGATTGTGTGCGAGTACGGTTTAATGAATGTGACACTGTTTAACCACTCACGTGTGCAAATATAAAAAGATGAAGAGTAGGTTAAAATGGCACTCAATAAAAACTCAATTTCTCAACTGCTCAATTTCTCCGTTTTATTGTTCCTTTGTTAAACTGATCTAACGTCCATTTATTACCGGTTACCGTCCTCGTCGTAATCGACGAGTTCGACGAGCCAATTAACCCATAGACACAGCCCACTGAGTTTCTCGCCAGATTTTCTCAGTGGGTCGCGATTCCGATCCAGTGGTAGATTCTGCGCAGCACCGATCTTGCTAGGGCTAGTGTTCGCGAGTACTTTCCGGTTGAGCTCATGAGCTCACCTACCCGGCCAGGCGTATCTGGAATAGCCTCTTGGCTACCAACGAATAGGTAGGGAAAAAAAGGCCTTTGATTTACAGATCAATGCAATACACGCATTTTACTAAAACGAAAAAACTTGTACTACTGTATTCATTAAAGAGAGCATACCTTCAACACTATTCGAAATCAATGAATTTTTTGAAAAGCTTAGATGATTGTCCACAGCAGATGCAATTATTTCTTCCATGATTACAATAACATAATCAAAACTAATTTTACTAAAACTCCATTACATACTTTGAATAATTTTAAAATAATAAATTCATAGCAAATTCGATTAAAGTTAGGTACCTATTTGTTGTGAATGTGACAAGTATTAGACAAATTACCAAAGATATTAAAATAACTGAGAAGGTATGTAGCCACTACGCAGTAAATAATTTTCGCCCAGTTAAATATTAAACCGTGAAGTTTTATTATAAACTAGAAAATACTTTACAAATGTGAATATTCCAAACTAGATCATTCACTACATCACAAAACAAAATTTTTTTGTTGTCCAGCTGGAGCACTGGGTATGAATACTCCAGAGGGTCCCACAAACAAGTTCGAAAAGGAATGGTAGCGAGCGAGGTGCGGACGTATTCTCGTGTGTATGCTTCGGTGGTTGCGGGTGAACTCGGCGCCAGTAAAGGCGCACGCGCGGCTTGCCAAAAGGAAAGCCACTCGGTCGCTACTCTTTGAATCGCGCCGGAAGCCGACAACGAGAGTCCCTGATTGGTCGCGGCGCGCGATCAGACGCGGCTGCCGACGCGGCAGGCGTTAGGGTTGCTATATACTCCCCCTCTAGTCCTGGAGAACGCCCTCGCTCCTGGACTAGGACATCAACAGCCTTAGCTGGGCGTCCACGTTTCCTCTTAGGAATCACAGGTTTGGGTAAGGAGTCTTTGTTACCGTGATAACAGGTAAGGTCTTGGGTATGGTATTTCCCTAATATAATATCAGGCTGTTCGGGGGTTGCGATTGTGTAAGTCGTAGGACTGACTTTTTGGGCAATAATATAGGGACCATCGCGGCGTGGAAGAAACTTGGCAGTAAGGTCCTTCGATCCTTTGCTGAGAAAGTGGGACTTGACGAGAACCAAATCACCTACCTGAAAGGTGTTGGATGGTCTGCGCGAAGTGTCGGCNACTATTATGTACAAGGACAGCAATAAAAATCTTCAGAGCTTCGTCAAAACTTGCTCCCATTAAATTAAGATACGGATCGCGAGGGGTTGTAGGAAAATTGTGCTAAAATTAGATATTCAAATTACAATCTGAATGTCGGAATTATCTTTTTTATCCGCTTGTTAACGGCTCAGACTTGAATCTAATGGCTTGTACGATATTACTATGTGAACCAGAGTGTAAGAAAATGTTTTGACGTCCATTTCGAATCCATATAAAAACATTCAACATCAGGATTTTTGTCAGAAGCCTTTGAAAGAGCATCGGCTCAGGTATTGCATACCAAACTTTATATTTTGTGTTTTCTTCTTTAACACTGTTTTTTAGATGTACCATTTGTTTCTGAAATCTACTAAGTGTAATGACTTCGTACATTAAGTTTTCCTGAGGCCTATGTTGCACTTGAACCAAATCCGAAAACGATAGAATCAAACAGAATGATTGTGCCCGTGGCTTTGCCGATGTCCCTGACTTACGATCGAGTTGGTTGTAGACATTTGATAGCAATAACAAAAACTTTTAAGAAAATTCTAGGTAATTCCTCTAACTTTTATTTTTATTTATGCATTTACAGTTTTCAAAATGTTCAACAAAATTAACAGACTGAGTATGATGACCGTTGGGCTTATGGCGTGTATTTGCTGGGCCTTTTTCTGTGTTGACGCATCAATGAGTGTACGCTGCAAATTAAAGCGCCATTCACACAAAGTTATGCAGACTGATTTAAATAGTCGCCGTTGTTGGGATGACGTTAAAATTGTATCATGTTGGGGATACTGTCTTTCTTATGAGGTAAGAATAGGCATTAACTTACCGAATATGCAATTCTTTAACTTGATTTGAAGTAGTTTGTAGCTTTGTATATCACTAATTGTATCTGTAATACTGTATATCAAATATTGTGTCTGTTTTTTTTTATAAAAAGACGCTTTTGGATTGTTAAAAAGACCTTATATTGTATTTTTATACAATGGGTAATTAATTTTGGAAAAAAAGGGGGATTAAAAAGTTTTTTTTTATTGCCCTTGTAGGCAGACGAGCGCACGGCCCACCTGATGGTGTGGTTACCGTCGCCCATGGACTTCAGCAATGCCAGGGGCAGAGCCAAGCCGCTGCCTACCGCTTAATACTCTCTAAAAGCTTCAGCGCGTTCATATGTCCCGGAAAATGCTGCCTGCTATCAAAAAGCGCAAGATAGAGTATCTCGGCCACGTGCTCAGGAACGATCGATACATGTTGCTCCAGCTGATAATTATGGGCAAAGAGACGTGCTGGGCGAAGAAAGAAATCATGGTTCTGGAATATCCGGGAGTGGACCGGTATTGCCTCCGTCGAACAGCTGTTCCGGCTGGCTGCAGATAAAAACGAATATAGAAAGCTAACGGCCAACCTTCAGGATTGAAGAGGCACTGGAAGAAGAAGAAGAAGAAGAAAAAGCCTCGCTTGAAGAAGGACATGTCACAGCGCTCGGGAAACACCGTGAAGGTTCATTCCATAGCCGGATGGTACGTGGCAAAAAATACCTTTGGAAACGCACTGTGGATGACCGCAGTGGCTCCAGGTAGTATGGATGAACTCTACTCCGGTGGCGGGCGATGCGATGGTAAAAACGAGGTGACGGTATCATCTCGAACAATTCCTCAGAGCACTCCCTATGGAACATACGGTACAAAATACAGATGGAATCGAAGTCCCTCCGCAGACCGAGAGGTTCCAATAATCAAAGTTTATAATGTATTTTAGATATCCGATTGGCAATTCCCGTATAAAGAATCTCACCACCCCGTTTGTGTGCATGGCGAACGACGACATGCATCGGTGAAGTTGCGCAACTGCGACCCCGGAGTTGAACCAGGAACCGAGATCTATCACTATGTTGAAGCTGTGAATTGCAGATGCCAAGTATTTATTTTCATTATTTTTCAATAGATATTTTAATAAGAAATCTCTCTTCACATAAAACCAAAATAATTCTGATTTTAAAATAGGTACATATAATGGCGAAAAAGATTTTTTGTTAACAACCGAAATTCATAAACAATACCGGTCATAATAATTTCAGTAAAAATGTTTCATTTATAAGCTAGTGATTTTGCTTTGTCAAATTTATCAGAATACAAAATATAACATAATTACTAGAATTTATCAACAAACCTCAATAAGCAGCGGTACATGCAATTCAAAGACCAATTCCAATTTTTTTTAGTTCACGGTGACCCTTTTCGATTTAAATTTCTAATACATATAGATCCCATGAAAACAAATCTTATTTTTCAGGTCTGTTCGTCCGAAGATACAAGTTGTGAATGGCTTCCACCAGATTCGTCTCTTTTAGGAGGACTCATTCTCAAAGAAGAATTGGAAGAAGAATTGGAATGAAAAATTGCAACTTTTATCTAATGACAGGATTTACGACAAGCATGCTGTTTAATAATTGTACATTACCATCGTGAACATTCAACAAGTTACTATGATCTTCATTAATATTATGTTTACAATAGATAATTAATGTTTTATGAAACAATTTACGTTGATTAATAAACAAAGATAAATAATATTTTCACTTTTTTGCACCACGGAAAATAATGTTTTCGTTCCCCGTAAGTAGGGTGTATTACTTGCTACTAGTAAAAACATTAAAACTTGCTCCATTCTTATTTATAGTTTTTACCGCTTTCTTTTGATGTAGGTTACTAATGGTTGTAGCATTTATGGTTGTACATAATGGTGGTAGGTCGTTACTGTCCTCTTGTATGTCATTTACAAGAAACAACTCAGTGTGCTTAGTGCAAGTTTTTTAACGTTCTCGATAGCGTAAAATTTAACTCAAATTTGTATGGAGTTGGAACGTTTGCCTATGTTTGCCGCTGTTCCAACTGCATACAAATTCGAGTTAACTTTTACGCTATCGAGAACGTTACAATACTCGCACTAAGCACACAGTACTGTGAATGTTCATTTTATAATTGTTATTTTCATATAAGTACTCGTTAAAACTGCAATTTCAAGGGTATTTTATACTGCTCTCTGAAGAAAAAAAGGTTATCTAATAGTAGTTTTGTAATAAGCATAAAAAGAGAAATAGCTGTAATAGTTACAGCATGTGATAAGTAGGTAGTCTTTTAGTATTCATGCAGTAGCCAAGTTTCGTAGATTATTTTGTTTTGATAGTTTAGTGCTACTCCATACTTTCCATTATTTTCTATTTTCCATCGTAGGCAGATGAGCATACAATTCATCTAATGGTGATCGGCAAATGGCGCTCGTGAATATAGCTTTATACAGGAATACAAAACGTAGTTTGTTTGAGATCATGCAATAAACGCTGATCGGATTTGAATGAAATTCTCCACTTATATACATTGATTATAAATCTGCATCAACATACATGTCTATTTTTTATCAGAGTGGTAGGTACTGGTGGTAGGACCTCTTGTGAGTCCGCACGGGTAGATACCACCGCTCTGCCTATTTCTGCCGTGAAGCAGTAATGCGTTTCGGTTTGAAGGGTGGGGTAGCCGTTGTAACTATACTGAGACCTTAGAACTTATATCTCAAGGTGGGTGGCGCATTTACGTTGTAGATGTCTATGGGCTCCAGTAACCACTTAACACCAGGTGGACTGTGAGCTCGTCCATCCATCTAAGCAATAAAAAAAAAAAAAGAGTGAAAGATATCATTTCGATGTAGGGTAGTGCAGTGCAAAGTATTTCAGTATTTATGAATTGAACTTTAATTTTGGGTTAAACTACGGATGACTTATATTTTAATAAGTAATAAACTAAACTGGCAGCAGTGTGAACGTGATAAACTGATTTAAATTGAATTGATTGAAACTGAACTTATAATAGGAAGGAATAAATAAATAGGAAGTACGCAAGTACAGGCCGTTTTCCAATTACTTGGAAAACTACCATTAAGTACTGGTTAATTACAGAGCATAATGCGACTCAGTGACGCACAATGCCGAATTATGCTGAAGCTTAGTTGAGCATTATGCCGCATAATGCGCTCTTGTGCTGTAATTGGAAAACGGCCACAGTTTGCTACAGTAAGCTGTGGGTAGGTTGTCAATCTATAGGTAGTTATTCTAGTATTTATAAGTCTGTGTCGTAGGTAGTGTAGGTATATATCTAATAAATAAATTATCTATGATCAAGTTAAGTGTGTAATTATCAATGAAGTAGGAAACCTAGTAATTATGTATTATCTATGGTCAAAACGCTCGATCGAATGTTAGGATTATTGTAAGAAATTTCATAAAACTTAATAACACAAAATATAACTCTTTATTTTAATAAAAGAAAATGTGAACAAACGTTCAATTGTTGCTATGTTTTGTTAACAAAATCAGTGTTATGGAAAACCATAACCATGAAATGTATTACAGTGTTAGTTATGTGCCTGTGTTTACATGACATTCATTCATCAAGTGAAGAGAAAACAGAATCTATCTCTCCTCTAAGACTTAATAGTACATCAGAATGGAACATCAAACTGGATATATTCTTTTCTAAATCTTTACCTCAGCATGTAACGAGATCTCCTGGTAGTGATGTTCGTTTTAAATGTGAAGCTTACATAAACTTTACGAAAGTTGAAAAGTACACTAAAAATGAACAAGGTATAGAAACTTTACATGCTGAGCTACCCCCGCAGCATATACAGCAAAGACTGTTGAACAATGTAAAAGTATATTGGCTCAAAAACAATAAAAGTATTGAAATTTCAAGCAAAGTTAATGTTACAACTAAAATCAATAATATAACGATTTCCACAAATTTAAAGATCAGAAACATAAGTAATGGTGATGCAGGTAACTACACATGTGTTTACAAACAAATGTATGAAAAAAAGCAAACTTCCTTACTCAAAGTTGAAGATAGTGTTGACATACCTACCCATGCACCATATTTCCCAAATTCAAATTTTGTAAATGAATTAAGAATTACAACCCCGGATGTGGTGTCAGAAAATATTAAAACTATGAATATAAATGTTACTGATTCTCCTAATATACCTCTTCAAAAACTTGAACCAATTTGTCAAGAATATGTTGGGAAAGTTTGTGCATTTCACTTAAGAGCCCAATCTGTTTATATCCCATATGATACCACACAGATTGAATTGGAAGAGAAGTTAAGAAAAGCAATACAAGTTACAAGATTTTCTAATGAAATAAGTTCACACTGTGAAAGATATGCATTACCTAGTTTGTGCTACTCCACTTTTCCCATATGTAGAAATCCTGTAGCTACAAATGCTAATTTCTTTAAAGATGCAAGANACTTAAGAGCCCAATCTGTTTATATCCCATATGATACCACACAGATTGAATTGGAAGAGAAGTTAAGAAAAGCAATACAAGTTACAAGATTTTCTAATGAAATAAGTTCACACTGTGAAAGATATGCATTACCTAGTTTGTGCTACTCCACTTTTCCCATATGTAGAAATCCTGTAGCTACAAATGCTAATTTCTTTAAAGATGCAAGACAGGTATTTCTCATATCAAATAGAACCAACAGTGCAGATTTTCCTGAAGTTGTATTTGAAAATATGCCTAATGGAAATGTACCTAATACTTTTTACTTGAAACCAAACAATATTTCAAATGAAATGTTTAACTATCGTCATAATACAACAATACTCAGGAGAGTATGTAAGAAAGAGTGTGAAATTTTAGAAACAGAATTATGTCAGAAAGAATATGCCATAGCGAAAAGGCATCCCCATATTGGTCAGCAATTAACTTTAGAAGAATGTCAAGATTTACCTGAAGATGATCCAGACTGTCTTAAAATTGAAATTGGAGCTTTAATGATTTCAGATGATGAATGTTATTGGGAAAATGGCAGTAGTTATTTGGGCAAAGTTAATGTTGCCAGTAATGGGCTGGCTTGTATTGAATGGTCAAAGCAAATGTATGTTACATTATCAAATTACCCTGTACTTGCTGGTAGACACAGCTACTGCCGTAACCCAGGAGGAGTCAATGAACAGCCTTGGTGTGTGGTAGATAAAGATGGTAAACTATATAAACAATTTTGTAACATTCCCAAATGTGCTCACAAACTTTGGATATACATAGTTGTTATCTTGGCAGTATTGTTCATAGTTATTGTGGGATTTGTTGTTTGTCTCATTTGCAGACATAAAAAAAAGAGTAATGCTGCTGCAATTAGAGACATTAACTTACCTAATGCTGATAAGAATATCTATGGAAATTCTAGATTGAATTCTCCAATAGAAATGACAGACTTACTGCCAAACCATAGTAATCAGCCCCATTTGACCAGGAGTACTCGTGGAAATGGTGTACTCAGAATACCTCAATACTCACTGTCGCAGATCAAATTCCTGGAAGAGTTAGGGGAGGGAGCTTTTGGAAAAGTTTACAAAGGCGCACTGAAAAAGAGTGGAGACACACAGTTTATAGCAGTCAAAGCACTCAAAGAAAATGCTTCAGCTAAGACCAAGGCAGATTTCAGAAGAGAAATTGATTTGATTTCTGAACTTAACCATGACAATATTGTGTGTATAGTGGGTGTTGCTTTAAGTGAAGAACCACTTTGCATGTTATTTGAGTTCATGGCTCGAGGAGACTTGCATGAATTTTTAATGGGAAGAGCACCTCCATCAGGAAAGGGTTTACCTCCCATGAGACTGCTGAACATTGCACATAATATTGCATCAGGCATGCAGTATTTGGCCTCACACCATTATGTACATAGAGATTTAGCTGCAAGAAATTGTTTGGTTTCCGATGATTTTGTTGTGAAGATATCTGATTTTGGCCTCTCTAGAGATATATATAGTTCAGATTATTACAGAGTAAGTAGACATCAAATCATAAAAAAATAAATTTACCATAAGTAATAAAATTTATCTAAAAATAAACTGAATGAATTTCAGGTACAATCAAAAAGTTTATTGCCCGTTAGATGGATGCCACCAGAATCTATACTTTATGGAAAATTCACTACTGAAAGTGATATATGGTCATATGGGGTTGTCCTGTGGGAAATTTACAGTTATGGCCTCCAGCCTTATTATGGGTATGTATAGACAAAATTTCTCCTTCATTATTTCAGGCAGATATTTATTTATCTATGTATTTACAGTTATAGTAATCAAGAAGTCATATCGATGGTGCGGAGTGGTGAGTTTTTAGCAGCACCATCAGCATGTCCATTGCCCATGTATGAACTCATGAGGGACTGTTGGAAACACACACCACATCGAAGGCCATCATTTGAAGATATAGTTAACAGGTACGACTAAATGAAATTTTAATATTGCAATTTATATAATATCTATTGTAGGATTTAGTACCTAAAAGCTGTTATTATTTACAAAAATTCAGGTTTTTGTAATCAGATAATTTTATTTTGAAGAAATTAATTATAATTTTCCAATTTCCCATTTTCATTACAAAGTTATACATGGGTTTTAGTTTTAAAACTTATCTACATATGTTGCAACTCCTCTTCTAGAGAAATTTCTGACTATTGCTGCACCATTTAACAAATCCACAAATCCACACTTCCACTGCAACATTATCTTTGCTATTTTCCTGCCAGTCTTTAATTCCTATACCTTGATGCAATAATGCATTCTGGTTTTAAGGATAGGATAGTTATTGTGCCAAGACTTCAAACTTATGCTTGAAGATTGGGTTATTCACATTTTGTTTTTTACTATAACTGTTTTTTAATATAATAAGCAGCTAGCTAGTCTGCTGATTTTAGCAAACTAAAAGATTAAATTTGAATATGAAGTTTATTATTGGAGTTTGACTATGCTTTGACTTTATTTTAGAATTCAAGAGTGGATCCAGATGGGGGGATGTTCAGATGTCGGACCATCAGAATCTAGCAGCAATATAAGCGCGTACAGAACGACTAGTACTAGCAGGGATCTTCAGGAAAGAGTTCCACTGTTGCCCCCTCATTGCTCTTCATCTAATGGCTCTCTTGCCACCGGGAGCTTAAAGAAATTTAGTGTAGCTGGTTCAAGTTCGAAGGTAACTGATGATAATTGCTCTACATGTAGTGAAGTACCCCCATTAGCTCCAAAATCTAAAAAACACAGTGCAGCATCGCTGATAGACTCAGACAAAATAGGCAACATGAGTACAAGGGAGACAATCATTAGAATACCTAATGCACAGCACGGTAATGAAATTTAGATAGTAAATGCCTCATGTTAAGGATGTTTTTAAGCAAATAATTTGCTAGTTGCATTCAAAACAAAATGATCAAAATATCTTAGGTATTAAAGGTATCAGGCCAATTATTATTTTGTAATCACAAGCAATTTATTATTTAAGAGCCATAGTATTATTGCAGTATGAACTAATTTATAAGACAAGCATATTTATCTGGTGATAAAATGGTATGAAAAATCGTTAATTTGTTTAATACAAGTGCTTGTAAAATTTTGGTTGTCTATGTATGTAAGTAATTGAGTGATTTAATTTATTCTGTAGTTTAATTAAAATTAAGTATTGTATTTACTAAGACTGGAACTTTTAAGATATTGAAGTATAAGTACTTAAAACTGGTAGTTAAGTACCTTTTTACATTCAAATCAGGTATCACTGCCAAANGAAAAATCGTTAATTTGTTTAATACAAGTGCTTGTAAAATTTTGGTTGTCTATGTATGTAAGTAATTGAGTGATTTAATTTATTCTGTAGTTTAATTAAAATTAAGTATTGTATTTACTAAGACTGGAACTTTTAAGATATTGAAGTATAAGTACTTAAAACTGGTAGTTAAGTACCTTTTTACATTCAAATCAGGTATCACTGCCAAATTAAGTAATATTTGACAGGTTAAATATTACTGGCCTATGACGTCAATAGACATCGGTCCTCTCTTTCCGTCAAAGTAAGGATCGTGTGCTTCTTGGGCGTTGAGATTACATTGTGTATTAAGACATTTTTTTGGCATGTCTTACAACATTTAGCAAGTGCATTATATCAAGAAAATGATAAGTTTCATCAAGATTTATTTGATTATGAATTTCGTTAATGAATATTTTCTTCGCTTTAGTGGTCGTACAACCTACTCGGAAAGCGCAAAAATAAGTTTCCTCGTCTATTCATATATTATCTATCTCCATGGTTAATCGGAATTTTAGATACTATGTGATTTGTTGGATTATTTTCTTCTAATATATAATACAAAAGCACTTGTACTTAATAATTACATTATTTGCTCAACAATGTTTATTATTCACTTGTTAAGTTTTTAGTTGTTAACAAATAGCCAATGAACACACTTATTTCTAATATATCATGTAGTGAAATGAGATTTGTTTTGTTGCTTTATTTATTAATTCCTTGATTTTATTTTTATTTATACTCTGAATTGAAAAGTCAACATTTTTGACACAGAGACTGAATATTTTAAAGCACTCCCTAGCTATTAATTTGGTTTGTCTCCTTTAATAAACGAATTCTTAAATAAAAATATATTGTTAAATAAAAACAACGACCTTTTATTAAGGCACACCATACAACTCACATACAGAAATACATTATGTTCATAGAAATTTAAGATATTGCTGTCCATTTGCTTGCCTGTAATTAAGTGCTTAGTGTGATAAGTTTAGTATTTAATTTAATCATATGTTTTCAATAATCATACTTCGTATTTTTGTTAAAATTGTTACATATCTTTATTAATTTAGTATACAATTATTATGTTTCATAGTACGTTTTGTACTTTGCCAAAGACTTTTCTTTTTGTATGTGATATATACATTTTTTACCTTATACATTATGTACTGCTGTAAATGTAATAAATAATTTTGTCAAAAAAAGAACAGTTTTATTTCCGAAAATAATTTTAGGTTTCTATAAATAATACATTATATTATTATTATGTATTTATATTCTTGAACTTTTAGTAACGTCGACGTTTGCTAAACTATGGTAACATCATCTTTGTTTTTCTTTTTGATGAGGAATTCGCCATGCACCCTCATGTGGAGCTTTAAATTATGATTCCCGGTGAAAGCTTTGCTACAAACTTTACAAACGTACGGCCTTTCACCTGCAACAGAATAGACATTTAAATTTTATTCATTTATTTTACGTAGTTTTTAATGTGACATACAAACAGATAAGACGAGGTGTATAGTATTTTTAGTAGGTTTATTGTTTATGTCATGCGCTACTTAAATTATCATACTTATCTACTTATGATTTATATTGTTCTAATGAGCATTGTTTCCTACTGGTTTATGGGGTGCGAGAGGGGCGCAATGGCTGTCGATAGCGTATGATTCACCTGACAAGATTGCCGAAGATATGGACTTATCATAAAAAAAATTGTGCGATTTTCACTGCGGCTGAACGAGTTCACAGTCTTCCTGATGTTAAGTGATTACTGGAGCTCGTGGACATCAATTCTTGATTGCCGTCAACTTGGGAAATAGACATAATGATGGTCACTTAGCGAATTTAACATCATCTATATATTAATACGTGAAGCAAAAACTTTGTATCCCTTTTTACGAAAATTGCGCGAAAGGAGGAGTATGAAATTTTCCACACTTATAGAGAATATAGAGAAGAAGTGCACAGTGCTAATATTTTTTTTAAATAATGCATAAAAGATACATTAAATCATTAAAGAAAACATCCTCCCTATGCTGATAGCCTTGAGAGGCTATTTCAGCTTCGCCCTAACATGTAGGTGAGCTCATGGGGCTCAAACCGGAGTGTTGCTAGCATTGGCCCTAGCAAGAGCCGTGCTTCGCAGAATTTACCACCGGGTCGAAACGCGACCCACTGAGAACATCCGACGACCTCCTCTTGCTAGGGCTAGTGTTAGCAAATCCTCTCAGTTTGAAACCGTGAGCTCACTTACCAAATCGTGCGTAGCTGGAACAAGCCCTTAGGTTACCAGCGATTTGGTAGGGAAAAAACATCCTAGCTACACAAAATCCAAGTTTGATTCTCGCTCGGTCTCAATATTTATATTAGAGACTAGCGACCCGCCCTCGCTTCGCTTCGGAAACATTAAATTTTATTATTGATAGGCGAGTCCCGCCATGTTGCGCGCGGTACGACAATAACTACGGGTGACGCCGCGGGGCGAAGCTAGTCTAAAAATAGTATCCTAAGTTACTCCTTATATCATCAGCTATCTATTAGTGAAAGTTTCATCAAAATCGGTCCAGCCGTTCCAGAGATTAGCCGGAACAAACAGAAAGACAGACAGACAGACAAAAATTGTAAAAAATGTTATTTTGGTGTTTGTACCGTATATATATTCATATGCATGTAGTAAAAAGCGGTTATTTTAATATTACAAACAGTCACTCCGATTTTATTTATATGTATAGATAAACAGTAATTCCTCTATCTTAGAGTCGTCGACAGTGGAACGTCGTTTATTTTTAAGTGATTGTTTAATAACCTGTATGTGTTCGTCGATGTTTGATGAGTACGCTGGCACTATAAAACTTAGCCGGACAATATTCACAGTGTTTCGTCTTATTGTTCTCGTGTCGGTTGATGTGCACTTTCAATCCATTCGACGTTCTGAACTCAGCCGGACACCTGTGACATTTATATATTGATTCTGGATTGTGTTTCTTCATGTGTTTTAGTAACTGAAACAAAAAAAATTGTCCTTTTTACACCATTCCTATTAATTCGCCTTGTCTGTAAACGATGTATGTATGTAACTAAATTACACGCTTATGTTGATAACCTACTTTTTTTTTTATTGCTTAGATGGGTGGACGATCTCACGGCCCGCCTGGTGCTAAGTGGTTACTGGAGCCCATAGACATCTACAACGTAAATGCGCCACCCACCTTGAGATATAAGTTCTAAGGTCTCACTACTATATCAACTATTCAAATTCAACATGAAATTTTCATATAAGTCTAATGCATTATATGATATTATGTATGTCATCATTTTTTACCATTCAATATTTTCATATATTTTATGAATGATTTCTCTAATACTGTTTTATAAAAGTGTAATTATTACAGTACAATCCAGTCATTATACAGAATATTATTATATATTCTCATTGTGTGCACGTATTGATAACTTAATATTTGTATGACTACACCTTTAATTATTATTCTAAAACACCCTCCACAGCTCTACATGATTTTTTTAAAGAAACAAACAGTGACGTTATTGCTGTTACATTTTTTGTATGTATATAGATTACCAATTTTATTGAAAACTAGCGACCCGCCCTCGCTTCGCTTCGGAAACATTAAATTTTATTATTGATAGCAGAGTCCCGCGATGTTACCCGCGGTTATTGTCGTACCGCGGGTGAAGCCGCGGGGCTAACCTAGTCTAAAAACGTAGCCTAAGTTATTCCTTATATAATCAGCTACCTATCGGTGAAAGTCAAGTCAAAATCGGTTCAGCCGTTCCAGAGATTAGCCGGAACAAACAGACAGACAGACAAAAATTGTAAAAAATGTTATTTTGGTGTATACCGTATATGGTGTACCGTATATATATATATATTCATATGTATGTAGTAAAAAGGGGCTATTTCAATATTACAAACAGACACTACAATTTTATTTATATGTATAGATTACTTAGTATTTGTTCAAAAGCGAGTTTAGCTATAANAGTGGGTTACCTGGGATTATTGCAATTACAAAATGTATTCCGTGACCCACCTTGAGACATGAGGTCGGTTTCTCAAATGCGCATCCATACTTCAGAACATACAGCCGTTAATTAAAAGATGGCGCGTAACGGAAAAAAGTGACGCGTAACCGAAAAACGTGACGGTAAATTTTTTTCCAACGCCGATAAGGAAGTTTCACTTCAAAAAGTAGCCTAAGTTACTCCTTATATCATCAGCTACCTATTAGTGAAAGTTTCATCAAAATCGGTTCAGCCGTTCCAGAGATTCGCCGGAACAAACAGAAAGACAGACAGACAGACAAAAATTGTAAAAAATGTTATTTTGGTGTATGTACCGTATATATATTCATATGCATGTAGTAAAAAGCGGTTATTTTAATATTACAAACAGTCACTACAATTTTATTTATATGTATAGATAAACAGTAATTCCTCTATCTTAGAGTCGTCGACAGTGGAAGGTCTTTTATTTTTAAGTGATTGTATAATAACCTGTATGTGTTCGACGATGTTTGATAAGTACGCTGGCACTATAAAACTTAGCCGGACAATATTCACAGTGTTTCGTCTTATTGTTCTCGTGTCGGTTGATGTGCACTTTCAATCCATTCGACGTTCTGAACTCAGCCGGACACCTGTGACATTTATATATTGATTCTGGATTGTGTTTCTTCATGTGTTTTAGTAACTGAAACAAAAAAATTCGTCCTTTTTACACAATTTCTATTAATTCGCCTTGTCTGTAAACTATGTATGTATGTAACTAAATTACACGCTTATGTTGATAACCTACTTTTTTTTTTTATTGCTTAGATGGGTGGACGATCTCACAGCCCGCCTGGTGCTAAGTGGTTACTGGAGCCCATAGACATCTACAACGTAAATGCGCCACCCACCTTGAGATATAAGTTCTAAGGTCTCACTACTATATCACCTATTCAAATTCATGAAATTTTCATATAAGTCTAATAATGCATCTTATGATGATAATATGTATGTCATAATTTTTTACCATTAACTATTTTAATATATTTTATGAATGATTTCTCTAATACTGTTTTATAAAATTATCATTAATACAGTACAGTCATTATACAGTATATTATGTATTCTCATTGTGTGCATGTATTGATAAGTTAACATTTGTACGACCGCACATTTAATTATTATTATAAAACTCCCTCCGTAAAGATCTACATGAAGGATTTTTTTTTATGTGGACGAGCTCACAGCCCATCCGGTCTTAAGTGGTTACCGGAGCCCATAGACATCTACAACGTAAATACGCCATCCACCTTGAGATATAAGTTCTAAGATCTCAGTATAGTTACAACGGTTGCCCCACCCTTCAAACCGAAACGCATTACTGCTTCACGGCAGAAATAGGCAGGGTGGTGGTACCTACCCGTGCGAACTCACAAGAGGTCCTACCACCTAAAAAAAAAAAGGAACAAGCAGTGACGTTATTTCTGTTACTTTTTTTTTATTCTAACCTATTATATTTTTACATGTACTTAAATATCTGTTCAAAAGCGATTTTAGCGATAAGAACAAACAACCTTATGATAATGTGATGACTAGATCTATGAATAACGAATGTGAGCTTTCAATTAAATACCTACAACCTCTAACTGCTGCGGCATCAAATTTCACAAATCTCACACAAGGATTGAACTCTGATCAACAGTCAGAATCCACTAACGAGGCGATAGTAAATAAATTCTATATTAAATTACCTTTCTATTGGTTTCTTCGATACCGCAAACATGACAAACAGTCGTTGCTTTATCACACTTATGTTTGTCACAGCTCTCTTGATCCTTAAATATTCTCTCGCAAGTTTTACAGTTAACTTTGCTCATTGTATGGTATCTGATCTTGTGATTCTGTAATTATTATATTATTATCTTTTACAAATTAAGAATATAGTGGCTATTCAATTTTAATTCATCAAATTCTAAGACTTCACTGGTGGTAGGACCTCTTGTGAGTCTGTACGGGTAGGTACTACCGCCCTGCCTGTTTTGGCCGTTGTAATTGTACTGAGACCTTAGAACTCATATCTCAAGGTAGGTGGCGGCATTTACGTTGTACTCGTAGATGTCCATGGGCCCAGGTAACCACTTAACATCAGGTGGGCTGTGAGCTCGTCTACCCACCTAAGCAATAAATAAAAAAAACTCCAGACTACCTCCGAACCAAAGCTCCAAGTTAAGCACTAGTCAAAGGATATATTTCAAATCCGGAGGGAAGTGTACGAATGTCGTGCTTATTCCTACAAAAAAGCTTTCCGATTTGAAGGGTGGGGTGGGACGCGTCGTTATATAATACAGCTGAGACTTGGATCTTATATCTCAGGGTGAAAGACGGTGTTTATGGCGTAAAGTGTATAAGCCCTAGTACTCGACTAAGTTCGGTCATCAAATTACGCAATAAAAAAAATTAAAAAAAACAATGTGCAATTCACACGTGGTAGAAGTGAAACCTTAAAAAATTTTGGCTTCAAAATAATGACACGAATGTAAAATTTCGGGAATTTTAATAATGAACATAGTGATACAAAGTTTGATAATTATTTTACATTTTATTCGAATTCGGACATTCATACAGAATAATGAGGCGTAGAGAGTTATCGTTCGAAGCTCATTAGCGAATCGCGTTTTATAATTTCATACTCACTAGTAGTCCCGCATGGTATTTGGTTTTATATTCACACAAGTCGCACGACAAGTGTTTTTGCGTTTCATGCTTTAGTATGTGTACCGCTATACTTGTTTTAGAACGGAATCTGAAAAGTGAGATTACAAACAAAATCAAATTTTATGTACAGGGTGAAGTTTTTTTTCTTCATATTCACCTTTTTACAGTACGCAAAAAAATAAAAAATAAAAACAAACAACTCTAAATGTTATTTACAAAAGCAAGCATAACCTATATTTAAGGGCTTTCTTCAAGAAAACCGAGGGTAAAAAAAGCGATCTACATATATTGGGGGAAATTTTGATTGATACACAGATATCGAGTGAAGAATTAAAGTGATAAAAAGGAGTAAGCACACCATCATCTTGCCCTATTATGCCCCAAAGCAGTCATAGGTCCCAATTTGAAGGGGGGAACACTTGTTTAATAATTCATATGAAAAGTCGACATCCCGTCTCTCAGGGAAAAAGCGTTATCTCAGGCGTTCAATGCTACATAAAAAAATAATATGCTTCCGTTATCTAAATATTTAAGTATAATAATAGTCACCCTTTAGAGCAATAATCACAGAAGAACTTAATTTCACCGTGTATAACGTTCATGTGTCGATATAGTTTCTTTGGTTTCTCAAATTGTTTCAAGCATTGCTCACATTTCCAACCTGGTCCCTGAAAATTGTATTCAAGAACGACACGATAGAGAGGTTCAGAGACCCACTTTTATTAATCATATTACGAGATTTTTCTTCTAGATTAAAAAGAGTACACTATATGGCACCTCTCTCTTACTGCAGACCATATAGTGGTAGTGTGCAACACTAACTGTTGATATATAATATCTGGGAGACTTATCTTTTATTTATTTATTGCACAGCCCACCGGGTGTTAAGTGGTTACCGGAGCGCCACTCACCTTGAGATGTGTTCTAAGGTCTCAGTATAGTTACAACGGCTGCCCCGCTCTTCAAACCGAAACGCATTACTGCTTTACGGCAGAAATAGGCAGGGTGGTGGACTACCCGCGCGGACTCACAAGAGGTCCTAACACCAGTAATTACGCAAATTATAATTTTGCAGGTTTGATTTTTATTACACGATGTTATTCCTTCACCGTGGAAGTCAATCGTGAACATTTGTTAAGTACGTGTTTCATTAGAAAAATTGGTACCCGCCTGCGGGATTCGAACACCGGTTCATCGCTCGACACGAACGCATTGGACGTTTTATCCTTTAGGCTACGACGACATCAAAATCTTCAATATCTTTAAAAATACTCGATTACCACTCATATCACAAATAGTATAAAGTTTGATTTAATTGCTCTTGTTTGTAATTAAACCTTCATTAAGACCTTAAGTTTATAGGTTTTTGTTTCTTGTATTCAAGTAATCATCAGCTGTTTTGTGGAAAAAAATTCAATGTAGGCCGTATTTTTTACCTGATGGAAATGATATATTTTATAATGAAGCTCCATATTTGAATTCCGCCACCAATACATGGAACATATGTGACAGCGCTGTTGATTATTTGGTAAGTGTTCCATCCTGTGAGCTAAAAGCTGTGCCCAGTTACTACATTTCCTATCACATAACTCACAATTTCTACTGTTCTTGTGTGTCTCTATGTGAGAACTTAACAATATGTTGGAGCTGAAGTCTTGTGTACAAATACCTGCAATAATTAGTGGCTTTTACCTTTTGGTTGAGAGGTTCTCGGTAGACTTTTTATAGTCTGCCTAATTACCAGTAGTGTTGTTTTGCTGTATGTGTAGGCAAACTCACATTAGTCTGCAAGACTTTGTTAACACCTGCCTTAGCAATAGCAGTATTTCACTGAATCTACCACAAGATCAGATTTGCGACCCACTCAGAAGATCCAACAATTTTCATTATGAAGTTTTATGATCTAAAGGATAAGGTGCCTGATGTACCTACAAATATTAAGGGTTGAGACTATGTTTATTTTAAAATACAATAGGCATATCAAAAAAATTGTAATGAAATACATACTTGACTCATTCTAATTTTTTTTCCTACCTAAGCTGAGAGAGAGCCTTGAGAGGCTATTTCAGCGTAACCTTAACTAGTAGGTGAGCTCACGGGGCTCAAACCTGACGACGTTGCTAAGACGAACCCTAGCCAGCGCCGTGCTTTGCAGAATCTACCACCGAATCAGAAATGCGACCTACTGAGAAGATCCGGCGAGAAACTCAGTGGGCTGTGTCTGAGGGTTAATTTACTCGTCCAGCCCTTCGTCGCAAGCGACGGGTTCGACGAGAACGATAACCAGTGTTTGAGGTACCTAGAAGCACCGTTAGTGGATCGGGAGGATCCGAAATGACGTGTTTGAGGCGACGTCGACTATTATGAAGGCGGCACGGTCGCGTACCGTCTTTAATTGGGGGCGGAATGTCCATCCCTCTACCGTGGGTGACACCTAAGTATTTGACCGTCGGGGCCTACGGTATGAGTTGGTCGTACATCGTGATGGGGCGAATGGCGGAGGCGGAGGTGCTGACGCGCCTAGTTGGGAGTGGGATGCTCAAAGTGGTGTTCGGAGGGCGACCCCTTTTGAAGAGCACCGCTGTGCTTTTCGTGGGGTTGATGTCGATGCGCCACTTCCGGAACCACTGTCCTATGGTGGTAGCTGCGGTCTGGAGTCGCCGATGTAACAACGACTTCTTCCTACACGAGTAGTAGATAGCCGTGTCATCGGCGAAGAGTGCCAGATGGGTCTCCGGAGACCGGGGTATATCATTGATATACAAACTGAACAGTAACGGGGAGAGGGCGAAGCCTTGCGGGACTCCGGCAGTAACGTGACGGGGGCGAGAGCGCGTTCCCTTGACTCGATATCGGAACGAACGGTTCGACAAGTAGTCTCGTATGATGAGCACCATGTTCATTAAAGTCTTAACATATCTATGGACTTCTGTAACTAATGAATACCAGATACCCTGAGCTTGTTTACCTGTCTAAGTGAAAAATAAAAAGAGAACATAGAACTTACCACACTGTAATGATCTATTTATTTCCTCATTTTTAATTTTACAATGTTTATTTTTAATTCCAATTTGGTTAGCTCGAGATTTTTTATTTGATTGTTTTTCTTTTCTTCTCAAATTATGAATAAGATCTAGAATCACAAACAGTTGAGCGACAACTGGTTAAAATTGAACCAATAGATAAATTATTGACTGAATTGACATTGTTTAAATAGACTGATCAATTATTGAAAAATAAGATTTCAAGTATACACATGAGATAGAACCTACTGTTAAAAACTATGCTCTGGGTAGGTACCTTTTTCAACTAAAAGGTTTTTTGTTTCACTTATATCACCAATTATATCAATATCTAATGCTGTTTGAAAATCATTAGCATCTTCATCTTCTTCATCAGTTTTAACTTCAGTTTTTAAATCAATTTGTGTTTCTAATATAACCTGGAAAAAATAGCATGTGATAACTTCTGTTATGTTATCACTTAAAAAAGGAGTTTATTTGATTCATATATATCTAAGATTAGGTATACAAAAAAGGTTTTAGAGTACCTTTAATCCAGAAATTCCTTATTATTGGTGGTAGGATGTCTTGTGGGTCCAGACAGGTAGGTACCACCACCTATTTCTGTCATGAAGCAGTAATGAGTTTCGATTTGAGGGGTGGGGCAGCTGTTCTAACTGAGATCATAGAACCCATATCTCAAGGTGGGTGGCGGCATTTAAGTTGTAGATGTCTATTGGCTTGAGTAACCACTTAACACCAGATGGGCTGTAAGCTTGTCCACCATCTAAATAATAAAAAAAAGAAAATACCACAAGTTCCTAGGGACTTATTTTTCTATATTGACAAAAATTTAAGTATATTTAACTTCTTACAGCCTGTACAATATTACTTATCATAAAATATACAATGTATTCAACGGTCTTACGTTAGAATTATATTAGGTAGGAATTTTTTTGTTTCAGCTAACTTCCTATGAAAATTTGCCATTCACCACTAATACTACTATATTATTATAGTTCTTAGATTTATCAATTAAAACTTACTGGTGTTATATTTTCACGAAGAGTAGTCTCAGATGAATGGGACTTGTCTCTGAATTTTACAAATTCGTTTATGGTTTCTTTACATTTTTTACAAATGAACTGTGGCATTCCATCCGATATTTTAATCTCGAAAAAAAAACCTATTCAGCATTATTATGATAAATAAACTAAGTTTGACTTAATAGATTACCCAGCTATTAGTTATATAAAGGCACACAAACACAAGCACATAAAATTTATTGCTTGCACTTGTATTGTATGTTTTAGTAGTAGTCTTACTACAATTTTATATGCCGTCTCATAGATGTGAATCATAATATGACCTGATTCATCTCTCTTGGTTTACCCATGTTTAGCTTTCCAATGCAGCACTTACTTCAAATAAGTAGCCGGGCAGAAAACTACTAGATAAATTAAATTAAAACATGGATAAATGTTCTATAGACCTCACTTACTGGCAGAAAAGACAGTGAAAGAGGCAAAGGCAGCCATAATTTCTGAAATTTACCAAACTTCTTTTATCAAATTTGTTTACAGGGTAGTTTTTTTTTCTATAAAATGTTTCCATGTCCACTTAGTCAGAAGTCGATTTCTTTTCAAATAAAGAGGCGCTTAATCTGATAATAGATTTTTGTTTAAGATGTTTGTTGGCTATTTGTATGTTTAATATGGAATTAGGAATTCTTAATAGGAATAATAGGAATAGGAATAATTAACTTGGAATTAGTATTTTTTAAATGAAAAATGAGTATCAGGCCATTTGGAAAACACGTTTATTTACTTCATTTGTGGCACAAAGATACTTTAACATTTATCATTACTTACATTAAGATTTGTGAGCTTATTATATTCGGTGACAATTTCTTCTTCTAGAGGGTATAAAAGTTTATCTGACAAACATGCTCTACAGACTTTCATCATTATAATTTCTGATAAAAAATATGGTTTTCGTTGGAGGAAATTGTAATATTTTAAATTGTGAACCAATGTGCAATTGTTGTGGATATATAAGTTTATTATCTATGGTGAATAAACTGGAACATAGATAATATGTACGTTAAGTCTTAATTAGGTGTTGGACAGGCAAAAGAAATAAACACCAAACAATGTCAAAACGCCAAATTTTAATCATGTCTCACACAGAAGTGAAACCCAGTTTTCGTTCCGAAATGGGTTTCTGCTTCACGGCAGACATAGGCAGGTGACCTAGTGGGACATATGGGTGTGGGTTTAGAAGACGGCTACCATTAATTACGTAAATTATAATTTTTGTGTTTGATTACGGGATGTTATTTCTTCAGCGTGGAAGTTATTCGTAAACATTTCATAAAGACTTATTTCATTACTTGTTACTTGGCTGCGAATTGTGAACACAAGCACAGTCGCCTCGCTTAGGAATCGATACAAAGCACCGGAAATTTTATTCTTACGGCCACAATGACTTCTTTAAGATTAAATCTAAGATCTGACTTGATTATTTATTTATTGTTTATTTTACGTTATAACTCTGAATTGAATTATTTTTAATATAAAATGTTAATTTCATTGAAAATTCTATTTAGGTATTTCGAGTAATCTATATCATTTGCGTGTATGACGATTTAAAAAGTTGTGGAATTGTCAAAATATATTGATTGTTGGACATTTGCGCAAATAAATTCTTATTTTGAGATGAACACTGAGTATTCATTTACAAATCTGGTTTTTAAAAATACCTTATGTTAGTTGTTGTTAAACTGATATTCATGCTGTTTTACTTGAGTGATCTGTATTCTTTTAAGTCATCATTCCATTGAAGAGTTAACACTCTTCAAGCAATTATAGTAAATTATGGTGGAAAACGGTGCCTCGAGTGGTGGCAGTGATAGTCCTAGTGCAACATGTGTTCGTTCTGGTCTTCTAGAGACGTTAGTCCGTGGTGTTTGGTATCGCGTTCATTGTTCATTAGAAGACGATTACCTGAGCGTCTGTCTCGATGATGGGTATGATGCGACAACGACTTTGAATGGCACTCTGAACAACAACAACGTCGAAACTCCGAACAGCGACTTCGCAGAGGTACCCGAAGCAATTGCAAACCAAAAACGTTTAGTACAAGTTGTGAAATCGGACAACAACGGGCTTGGTATATCAATAAAAGGTGGAATCGAAAATAACATGCCAATATTGATATCAAAAATATTCAAGGGTATGGCAGCTGACTTGACTGAACAGTTGTATGTTGGTGATGCTATATTGTCTGTAAACGGNAACAGCGACTTCGCAGAGGTACCCGAAGCAATTGCAAACCAAAAACGTTTAGTACAAGTTGTGAAATCGGACAACAACGGGCTTGGTATATCAATAAAAGGTGGAATCGAAAATAACATGCCAATATTGATATCAAAAATATTCAAGGGTATGGCAGCTGACTTGACTGAACAGTTGTATGTTGGTGATGCTATATTGTCTGTAAACGGTGAGGATCTCAAAGATGCGACACACGAAGAAGCTGTAAAGGCATTGAAGAGAGCTGGAAAAATGGTACAACTGGAAGGTGGGTCCTTATCATATCTTTTGGTTAAATATTTATTATTTATTGGGTCTCTTAATTTAAAATATGTTATAAATGAACAAATTGAGAATAGTCAACGTCATTGATGCCTCTAGTCATTCATTGACCTCAATAAAAATAGCCCTGCATTACACATAGTGTCAATTGGCTTAATTAGTGTAGTGTATGTATGCTTAATTGGTTTTTAAATGTTACATTAGAGGAAAAGTAAAAAGATATGAAGGTACTAATATAGAATAGAATATAAGTGGTAATGAAGGAAAATATGATGAAGGATGTAATGATGAAGGATGTAGGATGAGTCAGTTAAAAAAATTTGATTGTTTGTTAACACTTCAGTTTGTCGTCAGATTTCCAGTAAAATATTTTTGCTTTAAAGTATTGATGTGGTGATTTCGAATATCAAATACTAGTGATAGTAACTAACAACAACTAACAAATACTAGTAATTTTGTTTTTATGACCAGCTGTATGTGAAAGTATGTCTGATCTCTTGATCTTACAAGGGCGGGATGATAAGTAACTAGCCTAACAATAAAACACAAAACATTTTTCGAAATAGTCTCCGTGAACCTCTACGCACTTATTCCATCTTCGTTCTAAAGCAGTAATGCCTTCCATAAAATGATTTCTTTCGAGGCCTGCAAAATACTCCTCTACAGAGACTGACTTCATCATTTGTGGCAAATTTCTGTCCGCCCAAAAAAGTTTTGAGCTTAAGGAATAAGTGGAAGTCTGATGGCGCTAGATCAGACGAATAAGGTGGGTGGGGCAGCAAATCATACTTCAATTCGTTGATTTTTGCCATAGCTTTAATACATATGTGAACCCTAGTCTTGGCGGAAGATGATTTTTTTTTTCGACAAACCTGGTCGTTTTTGCTCCATTAACCTTTAGGAAGGTAATCTATCATCAAAATCCCATCTGCATCCCAAAAGACAGAAGCCATCACTTTTCCAGCCGACTTTACAGCCATGGCTTTTTTGGAGCCGGGCATCGCTATTGCGTCCACTGTTTTGATTGAATTTTTGATTCTGGCGTGTAATAATGAACCTTTGTTTCATCTGTTGTTACAAATCGACGTAAAAAATCGGCTTTATTACTCTGAAACGGTCCAGGCATTCTTTTGAGTTTTGCGCCCGAATCCTTTTTTGATCGTGCGTAAGCAATCCGCGGCACCCAATGGACCGATGACTTTTCATATTTAATTCCTCACCTAGGATATGATGTACCCGTTCTTTCGAGATACCTGTAGTGTCAGCTGTTTCAGATAACTTCAATCGTCGATCTGTTAAAACTATATCATGTACTTTCACGACCATTTCCGGAGTCGTGACGCTTTTTGGGCGTCCAGGGCGGGCTTCATCTTAGACACATGTACGACCGCGTTTAAACTCATCCACCTATTTTTTTACTGTGGCATAAGAAGGAGCACATTCACCCAAAACATTCTTTAACTCATCATAATATCTTTCCCCTTCATGCCCTTCATATGAAGAAACTTTATCACCGCTCTTCTCTCAATTTTATCCATTTTGAAAACACTTTACGAAATATATTTTCAAATGACAAAAAATCAATAAAATTTTCACACCACCAAATTCAAATTTAGAACACAGGTGGCCAGAGATAAGAAATATTTTTTTAATTTTAACTTTTTAAATAGTAGAGGCTAGTTACTTATCATCCCGCCCTCGTAAATAGTTTGTTACTCTTGAATAGGTTTAAAGAACTCTCGCCTTTATTGTTTTTTTTTTAAGTTCTTATCATGTTAAAGCTAATTAGAGCTGATCTGACTGCATATCTGAATCATATTTGAGACCAAGTTCTTTGCTAGCTTGCTCTAAATGCCATATATCTTTCATCTTTGCTTAGAAATTGCCAGTAGATTTGTGAAATCAGCATATGTAAGGGTAGAAATTCTTCTTCCACCTTCTCATCATTCTTGAGTTTTGCATAATTTATATTCTCCATTGGAATAGCCCTTTAGGCTTGAAAGATTAGGGCCCCGACTGATGGCAGCTGCCGAAGTCAAAGAACGTCGGCGGTCCCGACATGGTGGTGTGCCGCCTCTACACAGGGGTGGTGCGGTCGATGGCACTGTACGGGGCTCCCGTGTGGTGCCACGCCCTGACCCGCGACAACGTTGCGGCGTTGTGACGTCTACAGCGCGCGATTGCGGTCAGGGCGGTTCGCGGATACCGCACCGTCTCGCTTGCGTGCGTGCTCGCCGGGACGCCTCCCTGAGATGTGGAAGCGGGGGCGCTCGCTGCGGATTACGCTTGGCGATGCGATTTCCACTCCAGGGGGGAGCCGTGTCCCGGCGCGGTGGAAGTTGGGGCGCGTAAGCTCCAATCTCGGCGTGCCGTGCTCGAGGCGTGGTTTCGCCGCTTGGCGGACCCCGCCTATGGGCGACGGCCCGTCGAGGCGATCCGCCCGGTCCTCTCGGACTGGGTGAATTTCTCACCTTCCGGGTGACGCAGGTGCTCATGGGCCACGGCTGTTTCGGCCGCTACTTGCACCTCGTCGCCCGGAGGGAGCCGACGCCGAAGTGTCATCACTTCAGTGGCTGCAATGAGGATACGGCGGAGCACACGCTCACGTAGTGCCCCGCTTTCGCAGAGCAGCGCTGCGTCCTCGCTGCAAAAATAGAACCGGACTTTTTCTTTTTTTTTTTTTATTGCTTAGATATGTGGACGAGCTCGCAGCCCACCTGATGTTAAGTGGTTACTGGAGCCCATAGACATCTACAACGTAAATGCGCCACACACCTTGAGATATAGTTCTAAGGTCTCAGTATAGTCACAACGGCTGCCCCACCCTTCAAACCGAAACGCATTACTGCTTCACGGCAGAAATAGGCGGGGCGGTGGTACCTACCCGTGCGGACTCACAAGAGGTCCTACCACCAGTAATTACGCAAATTATAATTTTGCGAGTTTCATTTTTATTACACGATGTTATTCCTTCACCGTGGAAGTCAATCGTGAACATTTGTTGAGTACGTATTTCATTAGAAAAATTGGTACCCCCGCCTGCGGGATTCGAACACCGGTGCATCGCTTCAACACGAATGCACCGGACGTCTTATCCGTTAGGCCACGACGACTTCAACTTCGCTTCCGACTGTCGTGGCTACGATGCTTAGCAGCGACGAGTCCTGGCAGGCGATGATCGACTTCTGCGAGTCTGTCCACCATCACGCAGAAGGAGGCGGCCGAACGGGAGAGGGAGAGCTCTTCTTCCCTTTGGCCGCCGTGCCGCCACCGCCGAGCCGGAGGTCGGAGAAGGGCGTTTGGCCAGCTCCGGCCCCTATGAGGAGGCAGTCTCCTCCGGGTGATGGTCACGGGGCGACCTAAGGGGGTTGAGACTGCGCCGCACGCTACCGTCACTCTAGCGCGCTGGCACCAGGAGGACGGGACGACGCGTCGCCGGCTGCGGCCTGCGATGTGGTCCGCATTGTCGTCGCCGAACGTACCGTGGAAGAGCAACCCGGTTCAAAGTTGGTCCTGACCCAGCGGAGTATCCCGGAACATCAGCGGCATCGCCCGGGCGGCCTGGTAGGGCCGTCGTGCCGCGGAAACTGTCGTCGTTGGTCGTCGACTATCGCCTCGACGATCCGTTGGTCGGGCGTCCTCCAAGTGGTGTCGCGGGCCTGGTTGTAGTGTTGACCGCGGGAACCCCCCAATTCTGATCGGGTTCTGACCCCGGACGGAACCGATCTCTGTCGGGTGTAAGAGTGCAGGGGAGTCGTTTAGTGCGGTAGGGCCCTAAAATTCCTTGGACCCGCAGTCTGCTTCCAACACCTGCACATCGTCAAGTCCCACATACCCCGCGCGCCACCTAGACGCGGGGACCTCGTCGGAGGTTCCCACCCCCGGCCCGAAAAAAAAGCCCCTTAGGCTACAAATAATGAGGTAGAGATTTTTTTTTTTATGAGATTGTATTTGAGATACCAGGTAGGGCCTACTCTCTAAATAATCTTTTGCACACAGATATACAGTACCCACAAGATTATATTTATACATTCTGATCGGTATTGAATAACAGTTAGTAAATATATGCATTTTTATGTAATTAAAGACAATTTAGTATACTTTGCTTTTTCTCAATTGCCATAATTAACTTGGTATTTTCAGTGAAGAACTCAAATATCTGAGTTCTTCACTGAAAATACTTAATATTAACTATTCCTTGTAACTTTTGATAGTGATAATCTGCATATCTATTTAGTGATTTTTCATCAAATATATTAAATAATACCATTAAACTGAAAACGGTTTCCAAATAAACTATAAATAACATAACAGTTAACAATGTTGCAGAAGGAACATCCAACTCTCATCTATCTCTCTCGGACACTTTTATAAAAGCTTATTTTATAGTTTAAGTAGGTGGTTGAACTCACGGCCCATCTGGTGTTAAGTAGTTACTGGAGCTCATAGACATCAAAAATTCTGCCACTTATTTCGAGCCATGAGAACTTTTTGCAGTCCACATCTACCCCCTCCCTTCACACTGACACGCATTATTGCTTTACTGTAGAAATAGACAGGACGGTGGTACTTACTCGCGGTTCCGCTACTTCCGAATGACATTCCGGGATGTTATACCTTCACCGTGGAAGTCAATGGAAGTCAATCGTAAACATTTCTTAAGTACGTATTTCATTGGTAACTGGCTGTGGCACCCGAACACCAGCACAGTCGCATAACTCGATATGAATGCACCGGGCGTCTTATCCTTCAGGCCACGACGAAGTTATATTGTATTACATTGCAGTGTTGTAAGTAATTGTAGTGGAATGTGCATTTTTTTGTTAGCCATTTAACAATTTCTGAAAATATCTATAATTATTTGTCAGTTTTGGCAATTATAAATTTCTCTTTTTTTTTCCTACCTAGCTGAGAGCCTTGAGAGGCTATTTCAGCGTAACCTTAACTAGTAGGTGAGCTCACGGGGCTCAAACCTGACGACGTTGCTAACACGAACCCTAGCAAGAGCCGTGCCTCGCAGAATCTATCACCGGATCGGAAACGCGACCAACTGAGACGACGGGTTCGACGAGAACGATGAACGGACTTTCCTCATTTAAGAACAATAGCCAACATTTCCATTAAATTGTTGGGTGTTTTATCCTTTACAGTGAAATATCTCCGTGAAGTGACACCATACTTTCGTAAAGCATCTATTATAAGTGAAGTTGGATGGGAGTTACAACGTGGGTATATGGCAGACACACCACCGTCGCCACCATCTCCACGTCGTCGACGGGCAGACACTCGTTATGTACCACTGTTAATGGCATGCGTTGCCAAGAATCTCCGTCATAATGACCCAGGTCAGTTTTTAATAATAATAATAACAACTGTACAAGTCACGGGCCGTCATCTTGGCCCCAATTTAGGACTACCTCTGTTATGGGTACCTGATAACTGATAAACATACATGTTTAAATATATACATATAAAGATAGACACCCACAGAAAGAGCAAATAAACCTGTTCGTCAGACAATGCTTGCCTGATGTGGTAATCGAACCCTCTGCCTCTGACAACAGTCAGGGCCGCTAACTATTGCACCACCGAGTCATTCACTCACTTTAAAAAACTATATATGTATATATTTTTAAGGTTTCAAACCAAATATTTTGATGTAATGCAATTTTCAGAGGACCGCACAATCGAAATATATTCACCGGACGGCGTCCACGCATTAGCATTACGAGCCAGCTCAGCGGCCACAGCGTCAGGCTGGCATCGCGCGCTACATGCAGCCGCACGTCGGGCTGCACGCGCCGCTCTTGCTCGCGCCAGGCCGAGACTTCGCCCTCTTGTAGGCGATGTGCGATATGCTGGTTGGATGGCAAGGCGCCCACCGCAAGATCATGTAAGAAAATTAATCAATGTAGGATGGGTAAGAACGGAACGCATGTAAAGCGTGTGGAATGGAGTGTTAAGGTATGAGAGAAAACGGTAAGAAAGGGACAAAAGAATGAAAGACAAAAGCAAGATGGCGAGGACGATTGAATGAGCGAGATGTGAAAAAGGTGTCAGTTAATTTTGAATTATAATAATAGAGAAGATTTGAAAAGAGAATAATAAAACTAAAAAAGTGGAATAATTGTATGAATCGTGAATGTTCTGTTAAAAATAGATGAGCGCTTCAGGAGGGTCTGACAGCTCCGACGAGACTGAAGGCTGGCAGCCAACATTCGTTGCAATCACAGACAGAGAGTTAAGGTGAGCTTATTAGCGCACATAGTGCTTTTAAAATTTGCTATTTTGCAGTGGTGTCGATGTGGGCTTACAACAGAGAGATTTTTTTTTTAAAATTTAACATCATGGTTTATGTGAATTTTTTGGAGTATAATGGTCGTCATTGAACAGGCTGTACGAGGCGGCGCCGTGGTCGGCGGAGGCATGGTGCGCGCCGGCGGAGAGCCTGCGGCTGGCGGCGACGCGGCTTGCCTGGTGGCGGCGAGCTGGGGCGGGCGGGGCAGCGGCGCTGGGGCTGCGGGCCGGGTGCGTGGACGGGCTGGTGCAGCGAGCCCTGCGCGCGGACTCGCCGCACGACCTGGCGGCCGCCGCGTCCGCGCTGGTGGAGGGGGCGCACGCGGCGGTGCGAGCGCAGCCCGAGTTCACGTTCCGCTGCTCGGTGGGCGGGGCGGCGGCGCGGCTGGCGCTGGGGGCGGCGGGCGTGTGCGTGTGGGAGGCGGCGGGCTCGCTGGGCCGCGCGCTGTACCGCCGCCCGCTGCACGCACTCCGCGCTTCCGCTGATGACGACAACAACAAACTCTGGCTGCACTTCGCTGACGATGACACGTTGGTTAGTATCTATTTATGCCGCTCCTTGGTAAATAAGACTTGAATAGGCATGTGACGTGCTATTTAAAGATTGAAGTTACATTTCTTTTGGGCACGAAGAAAGTGAAGTGAAATTTATTGAAGTGAAACTTTTAATGCGACCTCCAACATGCTTGCGTTAAACGCTTAACGCTCGCTACCATACATACTAGAAAGAGACAGAGCGAGAGTGAATGCGTGGCACTCGAACGCACGCGCGTAGTATACCTGTTACAGGCCAGCGCGAGCGTTAGCAACGAGTAGCGTCCAACTTTTTAAAGAAGTAATTAATATATGTACATATTTATTTTCCTATCTATAATTTGAAAAATATATAATATAAATGTTGAAGATGTCGCATCTCTTTGTGATCCTCAATCTGATTTAAGGATGAAAAATGAAGAAAACCACAATTACTACACATCAAAAAAGAAGTTTCACTTCATTCACGTGCACCAAGATGCACGCGCACCGCTTTTTTAGATCTCAATATTTGATCTAGGGAAACCATTGAAAATGACATTTTTTACGCGACGTAGATTAAACGTAAGAAATACACATTCGTACGTTTGATCGAAAACGGCGATGCAAAGTGAAAATGTTTGCCCAAACACAGCTACAAGATGGCGTCACTAACTTGAAGTGCCAAACTGAAACTAAATGTTTCTGGTGCAATCGAAACAGAGATAGATGACTTATATATTTTCTCGTTTAAAACCTATCATTTCTATCACATCCGGGTTATATGCGCGATCGTGTATTTTTCATTAAAAATTGTTGTCCTTGTAATTGCCAGGAGCTGGAAATGGACGGTAGCCCGAAGCCGGCTGTGTTCATTCTGCACAATTTGCTGTCGGCTCGCGTCCACTCGCTGCCGGGAGATCCGACACCGAACCCGCTATAACCCGAACAATTTCAAGAAGGCATCAAATCATCATCGAACGATAACCACTGCCCGTCGAAGCTGCTCTCATCGATATGATCAGGGTTGTACGTGTTTTGATTTGTATGATCAACGCATTGGATCGCACTCGATTCGAAATTCAAATTGGATCGCACTCGACTCGATTTGTAGGGTTGGTTTGTAAAATAACTAGGTCGTAGTTTAGTAGAAAGGATTCAGTCCAGGTTTATATCAAACTAACTCTTTGGAACATAGTAGTTTTGCAACAATAGATAATTGCTAAACACAATTATCTATTGTTTATTATCTATAATTAACTATTATCTATATATATCTATAATTAACTATTGTACAACAATAGATAAGAACGAAGGTGTTTTTTTTACACTGGCAACCCATGCGACTAAAACAAAAATATATCATTCTAGAAGTAAATTTAAAATAATTGTAATGTGTGCTATTTGAGTGTGGCGGTTTGAGTCTTTTCTGCTAAATACCGGTCTATTTTAAATATCGGTACAATAATCGACAAATACGCTCGGTCATGCTTTCAGAACCTGTAAAAGCAGGTCCTGTGAAATATGTAATAAGTAGTAGCAGATCCAAGGGAATCAATACTATTCCTATAATGTCCTTGTGTACTCTAACACTTTTTGGCCTAATAACGTAACTAAAAAGCTCACGATGCAAAAAAATAATAATATCCTATATTTAAATAAGGAACATTTGAAAGTTTCATTTAACGTCTGTTTTCATTTAATATTAAGCGACGAAGACAAAAAAAAATCGAATAATTATATACTCGTATTATGAATTATAATAAATTGAGGAATACATAATGCCACCTAGGCTACATCAAGCCGAAGTTAAAAAGAGTATAAAAATCTGCGAATCTTCTAAATAAATACTCAATAAAATTATATAATGTTTTCCGTTGAAATTGAATCTCTTTTATCAAAATAAACGTATCTGTGATTGTGCACAATTTATCAAACGAAAATTCTGCATATCTGAAGCGAATTCTCAATTCACTCACTTCATTAGTATAGTATATACAATAAAACAGATTGGTTTTTGCGTAGTTTTGACTGTATATTTGTATGGCTATTCTGTAATAGTAAACATCTCGGCATATACATTTATCGTCTGTATCTATTTTGCATCATTCATGAAATTGTATTCAGGACGGTTTCGAGATTCGATCGCGATATTTAAGTATATAAATAGACATTTAATTAAAGCGATAGCAAAGAGTAGCCACTTGACACTTGACACTTGTAGGCGATTGACAGAGACATTTTCTGGCCATGATTACCTACATATATATTCGTGATTACAAGTCTCAATGCCAGGACAATGCAAAATTCCAGGGGGCCATATTCTGAGACGTTACATCGACTCCGCTCAACCGAATTTGAGCAATTCATCATGCTTATAAAGAATCTCCATCTGACATCCCTGGTTTTAGTCACACGAGATTAGGAACTGACTGTCGAATTTAAAGTATGTTTCGAAGTTACCTAAGGGATTCTCGGAGAAACCACGTTTAAAAATCAATATTATAATTCAATAATTTTACAATCTAGATAGAGGATTGTTGAGTTAAAACTAGCTGCAAATACATAGAATATCAATCTCGAGAATTCCTGGATGATATCACTAACAACGTGTTCTTTGAGTCGAGATAGCGAAAGCTTATATACTGGGTGTTAGGAGACCGCTTCCGAAAACGAAGATAGACGATAGTAATAATGACACCTTTGATGATGGGACGGAAAAAAATCTATACTGATTTAAAAAAAAAACATATTTTTAAAACGTATTATTAGCATTATTTACACTCCTTCGTGTTAGTACTGATAAATGAAGCGATAGTTTCATAAAAAGTACATTACTTTAATATTTAAAAAAAACCAGCAATGAAACACAAAATAAAAAAAACAGCTGATACTCGGATCAACGAACGCCCGGGTGTTGCGTTTCATTTTTACACGCACACCGGCGCGACGTTGATACCGCGCTCCCCAAAATTTATTATACATTGCTTACTATCGTCTATTTTCATCTTCGGTAGCGGTCTCCTAACATCCAGTGTAGGTCGGTAACGTCTTAGAAAATGGGTGTTAGATTAAATTGACGTTATTTCCAGAATTTTGAAGAGATATTAAAATTTTAAATTATGCGTAACCAAATCGATAAAAGTATTTTTTTTATGTGTGGTAGTACTGATAAACGTATATAACATTTATTATTCAAGTACATTAACACCACAAGTGAAACGCAACATAATAAAAATAGTGCTTGTTTTAGTGTTTAGTTAAAGGTCGATCTTTAAAAACAGTTCCGGCAGTAAATATGAGTTACCTACAGCTTTCTGTATATTCAAATCTATAAATGATTGATAAGAAAACAGTGAAGTACTAATTGTAGTAATTGTGTGTTCGAATCTCATGGTATCTTTTAAGATGCTCAAAGCGATGATCGCCTCCATGACGATTATTGAAACGAATGATCGTTGTAATTCGATATAATATCGTTTTCCTATATGATGCTCAAAGTGATGATCGCTTCCGTGACGACAATTGAAACGAATGATCATTGCAATTTGATATCATATCGATTTCTTGTTGAGCAGTGCCGAGAAGAATGTTCTCGAAAAATTTTTAATTCGAAAAAGAATTGAACACCAAAATCGAAAACGGGACAATAATTATCATATTATTTTACAAGAAACGAAAAACAAATGATTCTTAATATGTTTCCAAATGAAAAATATAACTTACTGGTCATAATCTTCCAAAGAAATTGTTTTTAATGATAATTTTATATGTTTATTGATTGAATTTGAATTTTAAAATGTATTTATGTATTCAGTGGATGTAATAGTATCCGAAACATTCCAAGAGTTAAATCTGTAGATATATTATACTTTGTTTTAATAATGAATGTTATGTGTATTTGGTAAAATAAAATTAATAGTAATTTAAATAAATAAATAAATGGTTTTGACCACATTGACGTCTGTCTGTCAATGTGGTCAAAACCGTTTTTTTTTGCGTTGAAGCGACCGATGTAGTAGGAATGTTTTGTTGATTATACCCTCTTTAGCAGCAAGACTTATTTGATAATAATTTTATGGTCATGAGCATTTAAAAACAATACTTTGTTGAATTAAAGAAATAATATCATGTCCTTCTTTAAACGAGTTTTGAAGCGCCCTTAACAGTAGACAGAAGCATAGCTGTGGCCATTGGCATTGCTGAATTCACGAGCGACGGTGCTTACTTATCATCAGTGTGCTTAGTGCGAGTTTTTTACGGTTCTCGATAGCGTAAAAGTTAGCTCATAATTGTATTGAATGGGATCGTTTGCCTACGTTTGCCGTTAGGGGCGCTGTTCCAACTGCATACAAAATTGGGCTAACTTTTACGCTATCGAGAACGTTAAAAAACTCGCACTAAGCACACGGGTCGATCGTGTTCTCGTCTCTCCTGCACAGCAATAAAAACAACCTTTCTCGTCTCATACAACTTTTACTGAATTTATTATTATAGTATTTACAAAGCTCCTATTGAGAAATATCGAGAAGCTTTGTTACGGGTACGATGTTCTAAATATTTATTCTTAATAATTAACGAAATTGGTTCACCAAGTTCTCCCGTGGATACAAAAGTAATGTGAAGTAGAGTAGTAGTGTGAAGTAATAATGATAAATAATATGATATTGTTTTATCTTTTCTTTAAAAACGCTAACCAATGAGAAATTCGTAATTTTTTTAAAGTAATATAATAGTTGATTAATGCGCTCGACTTGCCTAAGTATATATATTATTATTATTATTATTATTATTATTATTATTATTATTATTATTATTATTATTCATTAAAAGCTGCTCTATACCTATTGGGGTCATTTGGAATGTAAAACGGTCACATTTTTCTAAAAGAACTAAGTTTGCGTGGGTTAATAGAAAAATGTAGGTAATCTTGCCACTAAATAATAAAGTCAAGATCATAGCCATTTTTCTTGTGAAGATTTTACGGCCTGGTAAAGAGACCTTTAAGCCAGATCACAGCCAAAGACACTAGACCATAGACACCCAAAATGAGCAATAAAATTCGTTATTTCTTACCAATATTTTTAGTATAAAAATCTGTATTAATAAAATAATTGGTGGATAAAACACTACTGATGATGTTTTAACTAAAATATATTAAAGTTAAGTTTTAAAACTTTTTAAATATGTATTCGCTTTTGCTCTAATCGCGAGGTAAATCCTAAGCTATAGACTCGACTAGGTACGTATAGTTACCCTATTATATCATATTAAGTGACTTGTTTATCGTCTATATAATAAATGTGTGTAAACGCCATCTTATATCAAATAATTTAAGGTATAATCTTAGTATTTTTACTTGATTTTTACTACTCTTTTAAATAAATTTTTAGTAGTTATCCAGAGTATAATGTTGCCTATTAGTATTTAATTCGAACAATGAGGTAGATGATATTTTATGCTATTTGAAATAAATAGAATCAAGATGCCGTGAGATAAGTGCTATAATTTCTAAAGCCTTCGTCAAACAGAACGCGTACTTAGCGCCGCGTACTTAACGTCGCGCTCTTTTCATGTCACACAAATTGACTAGATGAGCCCAACGCTCCTTGACGCAACGCAATAGTGCCTTTCGATAGCAGTGTGAAAATTTAAAAGTATTAAGAAATCGAGTCATTCAGATGTGGCATTGTATAAGCATGGGTATTTTCTAACTATTTATATAATTTTTTCGGGCATTATCTAGTATTTTAATACACATTCACTTGGACGCTAAAATAAAATTTGTAAAAAATTAACGCCTGACGTCAAAGCGTCCTAACGCCGCGGCAGAGCGCTGTGTACTTATAGCGCTGGGGCTCTGTTTGACGGTATGTTACCATAGTAGTACAACACATCTCGGCATCATAGCGCGGCGTCAGTTTAGCGCTCTGACGCGCGCTAATTACGCGTTCTGTTTGACG